GCTAAAAATGGAAAGAGAGATGCCACGTGGCCCTACTATCGGGGTCCTTTGAGACCCCATCTTTGATTGGTCCAAAGCCGTGTGCCGGCCCTGCCGTCCGCCATATACGGTTAAGAGCCAAATAGTGTCAAATAGATCGCGTAGATCTTGAAACGATCGCAGGAAACCTGCGAACGGCCGGGGGGTCCAAGACCCACTACCTACGGTAGCGGGAATAAGGCGGTAGGGCCGTGCGAGCGGCAGAGCCCGCTACCGTAGACATAGATAAGATTTGGTAGCAAGCTGAAAACTTGACATCCTGAGCAGCATCATATACTAATATATTTATTTTGCGAAAGCAGTTGTGTTCCAGCCATGATTTCCGACTGAGCATTCACCTCAACGATTTGAAGAGATGTCCACTCACTCCTCCCTCAGGTTCTGAGTATACAAGTCATTTATGTAAAACAGCTGACATTGAAGTATGCTGCTTTCACCTGGAGACCGCATCTCCAACGCCCCAAGCTAGGTCATGTCTGTTCTCTTGAGTCCCTTGACCAGCATCCGCCACCTTGGCTAAAGATGGAAAGAGAGATGCCACGTGGTTCTACAATCGGGGTCCTTTGAGGACCCCATCTTTGATTGGTCCAAAGCCGTGTGCCGGTCCTGCCGTCCGCCATATACGGTTAAGAGCCAAATAGTGTCACATAAATCGCGTAGATCTTGAAACGATCGCAGGAAACCTGCGAACGGCCGTGGGGTCCAAGACCCACTACCTACGGTAGCGGGAATGCTCTCCTAATCCATCGACGAATAGGTTCTAGGTTCTAACATTCTTCTCGGCGATAACAATTACCAACTCCCAGCCCGCCTCTTCCGTCCTTTTGTCCGCTCTGTACCGTGCAACAATAGCGGGTAAGTTCTTTGCGAAGCTCCCACTAATATTTTCTTTCGTATCGCCTAGTCCGTTATAACCTCGCGTGATGTGGGAACTCGCTTTTTGGGCATAATCCTAACATGTCTGAAATCTCCGCTCAGCGGCCTACTGTCCTCAGCGATGTTTTCAACCTGCCCCTTCCAAAGCCTCCTGCGATGAGGAATAGCAAAACATCATCATCGACCAAAGGTCCGACGGATTCACAAAGAGACATGATACAGCACAAGCAACTACAGTGGGTCGTATACGATGAAGATTTGGCCGAACGACTCGTCAAGAAAGCCGACGCGATAGCGGCGAAAGTCAAGATTGACGAGCGCGACGACGATCTGCGGACCAGCTGGCGTGGAAGAGTGTATCCTCTGCATACACCGACTCTTTTAACTGGTATAATAAATAGTGAAGAAGACGCTCGGGAATGGATCCACCAAGTACTTGTACACCCAGCCCTGGCCTGTATAAGAGCTACGTTGGACAATGGTATCGGCGGTATACTAGGCGATCGGTTGTACATTGCTTCTTCGCCAGCGCAGCAGAACAAAGCCATCGCCGACGGCCTCTTTTATACTGATCCGCACGCAGATGAACGGGTCCTTTGCTTCGAATACAAAACCCCCAACTCTCTGGTACCAGTCCAGTTTGCAGATATACAGAGTGACCCCTATATTGCTGACGGTGCATCAAGCAACGCTTTTAACAAGCTATGAAACTACCGTCTTTTTCTACCGCGCACCTGATCAGCCGAACACCCTGTTTATGTCCAAGCAATATGTACTCCAGCCTGGAGAGTCCTATCATTCCCCTCTGGCGGCCATCTATGCGTGGATGCTGTCCGCTCTGGGTCATCTTGAGGTTGAATTGCCAAGAATAGACGCAGACTGGAAGAAGAAAATCGCGGCTTTTCCTGCTATTAGTCACGGACTCGACACAAGGTGAGCCCGACACTTCCCTTGAGTAATTCAGACGTGTCCTGGACTCAACATGCTCCGCAGTTCCGCTAAGAGCGTAGGAGAAAGTTTGAGAGGAGCACAAGCCCGACTTGAGAGTGGCACTGGCCGCGAAACCAGGAGCATTGCTAGCTATCGCCGCGATCGCCTAGACATGCACGTGAACCCGGAGTCGCCCCGCGGGGAAGAGCATCTGGAACACGAAACCCCCGCCGACTCTGACACTAGTCCGTCAGGGAGGATAACACCTCCACCCCTTCCACTGAGCCCTGATACGACGCCCAGAGCGCCTAGGGTGGCGCCGAGATCTGCCCACCCCGCCCAGCAGCCGCCTCCGTCCATGACACCCACTGAGGATCGCCAAGAGGGTACGTCGAGAAGTGGGAGGCAGCAGGCAACCCAGCGCGGCGCGCGTTCGGGTGGCGTGTCTCGGGATCGACAGGCAAGGCGGAAGGGAACCGATACGCGCTAGGATTTACCGCCAACACGAAGTTAGGCCGGTACATTTTCCCCCTCTCACTCATGTAACTGTAATAGTAGGTCTGAATAGTGCCTCGTCCGGAACGCTGATTGTACATGTGAGTGTAGACGTCATGGCTGTGGCCAGTGGTTCAATTACAGCTACCTCCCACTAAGGGGTAGCATTAACGGTGGTTGGACGCGGAGGCAGTAGGAATATTATTGAAGTTGGAGAGCGTATCAACTTCTATGTTCTAGGGGGGGCAGAGGAGACGCATCTCCTTCGGGCGGCCCAGGTTCATTTATGCCCGGTCATGTAGGACAACCACTGCAACCAGTGCTATTGGGACCAAGCCGGTAGAACTATTCGTATGACTTTCTGTAGGAGATCAGGATGTTAACTATGTCGTGGTCAAGGACCACAAGGTTATATATTGAGTCTCCGAGTCCCGTCGACCATCCAAGAATTCCAAGTGTGCGAGTATCGACGTATCGCGCAATATCCGGTAGTGGTTGTCGTAGTTCAGGCGGATCTTCGGCTTAACCTCCTCCTCCGAATCCGCCAACGTCTTCTACATAGCGCTCCCCCGTGGCATGGTGTGCCTATAGACTAGTCACGAGTATCCTACACATACCGAGTCAGTCCAGACTCTGACCTCCTCACGCAACGAAACAAGAGTAACTCTAGATTCATAAGTTTCTGTTGGACAGGATCTCAGAGAAGAACGTCATATGTTCTGGAACAGCGGCCGGCAGATCATCGTGTCCCAGTTCTTCGCGGTTACCAACAAGAGCGTGGGTGTCCCTGGGCACAAAATCGAGGTACGTGCGGCACTCGTCGTATGACGCGCCAGAGCCGAACGTCGACAGTGGATCGTGGAATGCCGGTATATCCTGCGGGGTCGAGCCTGGAAAAAGATGTAAGTACATCGATTATCCGCAGGAATATCGCTCAAAGCCAACATACTCTGCATCATCGTCCCGATATTCTGGTCCCAGGAAATTAGCCGGGGCAAATCCGCCTGCATGTCGCCCTGCCCCGAATCGGGAGACCCGGCGGATGAGGATGGGTTGGAGGAGACGACCTTGAACTTTGTCCGCCCGACAAAGGTGGACAGATGTTCTGCGACAGACGGCTCTAGATCTGAGCCGGGGAGGCGCGAGAGGCGCAAGTAGGCCTTTTCACGCAGTTCATGCAGGACAGGCTGCATGAGTTGGGTTTACTATGGATGGTGTTGCGGAATGGAATACTCCGAATGTACGTACCAATGATACTTGCGCTCGATGCGACTGAGAGCCGCCCTTTTCGAACAACTCGATGGCAGCGTGCAGTCGGTCAAACGCAACACTCGCGATGCTCACGGTTGAAATCTTGATCGCCACGAATGCTACGACAATCTGGTGCCCATCTGTTCATCAGATCTCCTTTCCCAAGAGTATAAAGCGACAACTCACCGCTGCTGAGAATGCATGCAGCCAGATGAAAAAGAATCGTTGACATAGAACCGGGCGTTGCTGGAGGAGTTGTGTGAGAGTCTTCAAATCTAAGAGGGCAGCGCGATACGTCGCGATGACCGAGGCGCCGTACGGACTGTGGATTGGGTCCGCGGGGTAGTCGAGGAAGGCTTTGGCGAAGAACGGGCGGTGGATGTACATGCGAACTAAAAACAAAGGCAACGAACGCCCTCACCATCGGCGTTCCCGCAACCATTTTGGAAACACTCACCATAACAAGAGCTGAAGATACCCAAGAGCGCGTTGGGGCTGGCGGGACTCGGAAATTCAATATCGCCCACATCGGATTCCACCTTCACCTCCACACCGGGTGGGGGTCCTCTAGCGTTCAGTTTCTTGTCCAGATCGAGGATAGCGCTGTAGCTCGGTACTTGGCCGCCGATGGTCAGCTTGACAGCCTGCCATAGAATGTCACGATTGAACGCATATCGCTTCCCGGCATCTATATAACACTTAGGACAAAGCTCCGACCCGGACAGAGCATTGGGGGAGGCGCGTACGTTGATCAATGACATCTGCAGCTTCTGTATGGTTCGGGATGGGCATTTTGCAGTTGACAAAATCCCAGTGTGTGCTTGGTGGTCGACCCGTGCTCAGACTCTGTTCCGACGTAAAAGCACGTCAGGCTCTGACTGGCGCATTGAACATCTGTCAGCTCACCATAGGCAGCTCCTGCGAGACGAGTTCCCAAAACAACAGTCTTCTCCTGTATACGGTTATCGGGTCCAACTGCCAATGTGCGCTGTCCACGTCTGATATATGTGGAAACAGATTTGTCACGCAAATTTTTTCGAAAGGAGTAATAAGTACTAACGGAGGCCGATCTGCGCGACAGAGTCAATCAACAACGCGAAGAATCATCGAAGACGCTCACAGCTTGAGACAATTTGATTGCCACGGCGATCAACGGCCAGGCACTCGATAGGCCATACCGAGGCTCACAGAGGATATGGTAGGTCCCCATGTATCCCAGCGCTTGTATCACCTCGATAGACGGTGCCTCGCTGATATCCTGCATAGACACCATCGAGCTCCCCGCCTGGTAGTACGTCTCTGCTTCCGCATTGTACGGCGCGAGCGTCAGATCCATGAGCGCCCCGTGCGACAAGACGAGGAAGAGCACCGCAAGCTTCTGCGGGTTGTACGTGCGAGTGCCTCCGTCACGCTGGCTCCCGAGGAACCGATATATCGGCGTGAGCAGCTCGTTGATCAGCTCGTCGCGCTGGATCGGGCCGAAAAACCAGGAGGAGTGTTCGAGGTAAGACTCGCAGAGTGACGTGGCGCGCGCATAGCTGGGAAGGCGGGACTCGAGGTGGCGAAGCGTTGGCTCGTCGTATGAGCCGCCGTGGAACAGATCTTCGCTTTCGGAGGGCCTGCGCTGCAGGCTCGGTGGAAGGGATGCAGGATTGCTCTTGCTACTGGAAGGAATTGGGTCTGCGTCGCGCATGACCTACGCTGCTTTAGTATATGTCTGGCATAGCTCATAGGGCTAGTCTAACCTGCAAGAGGATCTGCGATTCAAGTTATGAGTGGGCGCACCGCGGACTGCAAGTAGAGGAAACTCACTTCGGGACCTGCAGACCTGCCAAAGTAAGTTATCCGACCGTCTCCACCCAGAGTCAGAGTGCCATAGTCATCTACGAGTGTGTCTATAGGAGTCGGTGACGGCGAGCGGGATGGAGATGGGCGTGTTGATTCAGGCGTTTGGCTCTGACCGACGGGTTTATCCATCATTTTGAGCGCTAGCAGGTCCTCGCTGAGCAGGGGGTGAGGTTTGTCGGACACTCTAGATGACAGCTTGGCTAGTGCATTCTCTAGCTCATGGATCCGATTACAGAGTGGTTCAAGTTTCTGCTGGAGAGCCTCTTTGTCGGCGTACATGGTCCTGGCCTGTGATAAGTCGCTGTAATGGGACCGTAGGCAAAGTGAACACTCACCTGAATACTCTTCTAGTGGGCAGAGTGCCTGTGAATCAGAGAAGGGGGGTGAGCAGAGCACACATGATCCTCGTATTCACCGACCGTTGGGACAAATGTCTGCACACCCGCGGCGGATGCAGGGCCCGCAGGGACGCTGTTTGTCGCAACGGGACTTCATTCTGCTCGATGGTAAACCTCCGCTGCAGGAGTCCGAGTCCGCAAGTTACGTACCGGCGACATTCTTCGCAGGAGACCCTCGCAGGGCCGTATCCTCTACTACCGTCTTTTCCGCGGGTCGACATGTGCCACTTGAGGTTCAGTGGAGGATATTTCAGTCCTGGGGCTGGAGACGGTGTTGATGAGAGAGAAGCAGCATGGCATGCACAGCGTTTCTCTTATATCCCCTGCATCACGCAGGCATCAGCGCCCCCGTATCCTCAGGCGATCGGAGTGCTTCAATAAGAAGCCTACCATCACTCAACGGCCCTTTCGGAGTCAGTTGATGCAGAGCAGTCGGATGTGTGGCGGTGCTTCCCCAGCTTACCGTTCGCCTTGACGTACCTGGAAACTTTATGCATTATTTATTGCACACCTCGACTTCGTACACGTATGTTGCGGTTCCATTGCATGAAGCGGACAGTCAGTTACTCCGTTCTCAGATTTCTGATTTGTATCACTCGATGGCATCCGGTGCTAGGGCTGCGCTTTGTGAGACAGCTGTCGCCAACTATAACGGGACATCAAGTCTAACAATGGTACTATCATTCCTGTCCCAGAGCGGAGTATGTTGTTCTCATCCACTGCGGACTGCCACGACTTCCGGGAAGTCGGAGGTGTCGGCTGTCACAGATTGTCACGACGAGCATGGTGTAAGTCATCAACGCCACGCCAGCGAATCTCTTGTCTCATCTAGCATGTCAGTGATTTCCTTGAGATCTCTGGAGCCCTTTAAATATTCGCAAGATGAAGGAGGTCGAATGACCAAAGAACTGAATACTGATGCGACTGCATGAAGTCGTGAGTTGCTTGCAGTCCGCGAAAAAGGTATTCGATCCTACTTCAACCAGAACAAGCCAGCAATCAGCGAAATAATAGAGAACTTCCAGAACTCTTAGCTCAGGCAGCCGAGCCCGGAAGGGTAATTACACCCGGCTCGCGCTCGGGGCCACAACACCCCACGACTAACCAGTCCCAGTGACCCCCCGGGCGTTGATATAAAACGCAGCAATAGCAGAGCAAAAGTGCTGCTATTACCCTCCGACAAGTATGCCACGGCGAGGCTGTTAAGCAGAGAAAACCCTGCGTCTCTATCGTTTCGCTGATTGGTGACAAACTCCCATCGGTTATGACGACTACGTCTCATCGGCGATGCGCCACAGTATCTGCAACTATGAACAGTATACTTGATCATGACCTCCTTCGAAATACGGACCTGATTCTGTCGACTGTCCTCACGCTAACCTTCGGCGCTCGTGGATCGGGCACCCTGCCTCACCGACCTTTGCTCGTTCAACAGCTCGCTGCTCGAATGTCCTCCTGCATAGCTGTGGACCTCGTGCATTCGATAGGAAGGCATTAAATCTCGCTCATAATCCGGCTGGTGACCTGTGGCGCCTTCTTGGAATCTTGTACTGAATCTTTCGGACGGGATGGAAGCATCAGTCCTTGTCTGATCCGCCAGCAACGCAGTCGCGATATAACTAAGGCGATGCCACGTCTCAGGCTTGCTGCTGTCCGGTTTGGGGATCTCAAGCTCGGTTTCTGGAGAGACGATCTGTTCTTTCCTGCCATCACACGTGGATGGAAGTTACGCCCGCCAAGACGGGAATTGGCCCGTGTACCAGTAGAGCTTCCGCCATCTCAACTCTTATAGGATACGATCGACGCTCCTTTAACAAGTACGAATATGGTTAGAAGAAGCATGTACCTCAAGAGTAGCACGACTACGGCATCCGTCAAGCTTGTAAGGTGCCGCTGATGTCGTAGGCTCGTAACCACCTTCAGCACATTGAGGACAGACTTGTCTTTCGACCGTCTGCCCTCAATAGCGATAGGATAGGGTTGTCACGAGCCTACTAATGTCCCTGTCGTTGTAGAACAATGCAATGATCTTGCTTGTAGCCTTGCTAAGCGCTCACAATATACTGGCCGCCTCGAAGAAGCAAGACGGTGCCACGAAGTTCATATCTATCACTCCTCGCAATCACAGGAGAGACGAGGCACGGATGATCACAGATGATCGGGGTCTTTTCCTCTGCCTCTTTGGAAGTCATCATGAATACGACGTATCGAATGATAGCTGGGGAGCACTGATTGTAGACGAGCGCCCAACCGAGCCAACTCCCGCCGCTTTCCCATCGCTGCCCGAGATGCACTGACTCATTACCCGCCCACATGTGAGTATATAACGACTATCTATTTCCTCTGCTGCTCCCTTCTGCGGATTCATTCCCAAATAATGGAAATGACACCAGACAAGGCGTACTTGATAGGTTTTGCTCTCGAGACGTTACTATATGGTAAGCAGTTCTTTCCCTTCGGTAGAGTGTCATGGGATAAACGGGCACCCTTTTTATTTTCAGGAATATACGTCGTGCTCTTTGCATTCTCCGTCGTTTTCCTGGGCTGGCGCAGGATAACGACATGCTGTCTGCGGCCTGCTTGCCGTACGCCAGTTCCACTGCGCACTTTGCCTTAAGCTTTGATGATGTTCCCAAGCTTTTTGTGCGTATTTCCAATGCTTGTCATTTTTCTGCGAAATTGAAGTTGATTCTGCCAAAAATGCGGCTCAGATAACGATGCGAGATATGCCGGCTGGACTAGCTAATTCAATCTTCTAACCGGCGTTTCAGATCAAGTCAACCAGTACAATGTACGTTTGCGATATAATTGGAGATCTATTTCTGCTAAGTGCGCTTTGCCGCTTCGACAATGAACTACCCACCGTCCGTCAGATTGAGCGCTGTTGGCTCGTCTGGGAGAAGCAAATACTTCCAGTACTGGCCCCGATAGCATCATTTTGCGCGCTATTCGGAATGTCCGAACATTGCATACTGACATCAGCGCAGCATTATCCGTCTTAGCTGCTTGGGAGCACGGTCGGCTCCCTAACGACCTCCCGGACATCTCGTCTAGGGTGGCCCGCTACATCTCAATGACACTCATCCTGTCCCTCGTCGTGACCGCCACCCTGACAGCCCCCACCCTTGGGCGCACCTACCTGATGGCACGCCGCGTAAATAAGCTGCTGCCCCTGCGCACACGCGGCAGTATGCGACCATTGCAGGGATCGTCGTCGAGTCCGGTGCGATCTTCAACGCAGCGCAAATAGCGCTCGTGGCTGATCACCGTGCGCAGGCCGATCGAAATATACCAATAATGTGGGGCAACTGAAGACGAACTGCTCCCCAGCCCAAACACCGATATCATTGCATCTGGCTGGCTCACGATATACATGGCTATCCGACATCGGTTCTGGTAAATGGTAATACCAATCAGTCAAGAGCGACGCAGTAGTTCGACACCTGCAACTTCGCGTTCGTACCCACGAATGGCTCAGTTCCAGCTTGAATTGCTGTTCCCCATACTGGTTAAGTCACCGCTTGCAGGTGAAGCGCAGAGGCGGAACTCACAATTAAGATACTGGCTACTCGAGACACCTTCATTGGACTCCAGGAACTCAAAGAACTCGATGAGGTCGCCGGAGAAGGCCGTGATGGTGCTGCTCGCCACGAATGAGTACACGGTCATCTGTCCGTTAGGGCCGGAATACAGCTTCCAGGAGTGGCTGCCGATGGTGGGAGTTGCGATCGGGCTCCCTGAAGAGGAGATAGGGCCTGCACCACCAAGTGCGTCAAGCCTGACCGGGACATAGAATATAAGATCGATGGCATGTCCGGGTCACTGGGATAACATTCTCACCAAACCATCACTTCGTACTGAGCGGTTCCCCCTGAAGTGGAGGAGAGGAACATGTCGTACGCGACGTCCGCCACTGCTCCAGAGGTCCCAGTGTACCTGTTCGAATTCTCTACGCGTAAGTTATTCGCCTATATCCGTGGAAGATCCAGCGTACGTATAGTCCCAAGTGGTCGGAATACTCTTGATGCCGGAAAGCTGCTTCGGCGTCATAGTCAGGCCAACATTCGCAAAACTCTTGACATTACTGCAGTCCCATGGAATATATTAGCCCGATGATCGAAGTACAAAGATTTGACGGGACGCACTACTGGCCACCCTGCCAGGTCCACTGGGTACCCCAAGTGATGCAATCCCCGGAGGTGCTATTGAGCCAGCTACACTGCGACCCGGAGGTAGCGGCACTTTCGCCCCACAGGTCCTGGTACAGCGTGAAGTCGCCACCGGTCAAAGTGTCCCTGCACGTTAATTCGGTCGACGTCAACTTGGGCTTACGTGCGCTAGTAGAAAATGCTCACCATTGACCGCAGATCTGGTTTGAAGCGAGGACGATAGGAACTAGGAACAGAGATGCGGCAAGGGCCAACATTTCGATTTGGGTTCCGTTACCTGCTCGGGCTGGAAGCCACTGCAGAAACTCGCTGGTCTAGGGTCATACTTATACCTGGTATGAAGCTTGGGTCTCGAGTTTGAGAAGCTCCCTTCGTCCATATGCCTACAATACTTTGACGGTTAATATGTTAGTCACAAGCTGTAGCAACGATGGAATGCGTTTCTCCGCGCGGGCCGGACGGAGAGCATAGAGATGCTTCTATGGCTACCCATTGCACTCATCAACAAGTCAGAGTTCCTTCGGTGGCTTTTCCATGGCCTCAAGTTGGTCTCAAGAGTCATAGGAACGCGCGGTGGGCGATGGTCGGATGACGCTGTTCCGGTGGCCTAATTATGCAGGTTCTGTGTTCCAGAGTCTCAACGTATCCGTCCCTCTATCTACTTGGTCGTCGGAGAAATGTTACATGACATGTCCGACGACAAAGTGGAGAGAAGAGGGTCACGTCGCCTCGGTCAGGTACAGCGTAGAAAATCCACAATGTCACGCTACAATTATCGGGTTCGCAATGGTTCCAGTTCGAATCGTAGGGTGGAAGAAGAAAGGACTTGACTGGATGTATGTTCACGACTTTAACGGAGCTGCAATCCAGTCAGGACATGGACCTCCGAAACCCACGTCCTCGACGCGGGTAGACCGGAGACAGAGTCTAGCATTTTTGTGCCCTATACAGGTGATATCTCTACAAAGGAAAATCCGATAGATCAAAACGTTGACGACATGCTCATTCGTCCTTCTTCGTGTTGACTTTCTTTTCGGCCTCCGCAATGGACGCATTATCCGTAGCAGGCTCTCCGGCTGCGCCACAAAGCTAAGTAAGCACATCCAGCAATCAAACAACGGAAGTGACTCACCACCGAACATCCCACCAGCAGCTTTGAAGGGCCGCTTCAAGTCACCTTCAGCCGGCTTGCCGAGGACGTGGATCTGCACGACCTTGGCGTCGTACAGGTTCTTGATACCCATAATGGCCTGGATAAACAGGGGTTGAGTGTATTTGAGGTACAGGTGCAGGAAGCACATCATAGCGACGGAGAAGAGAGCGCCGCGCAGCTGCGAACGTTTCAGGTCCGGTAAGTAACGAAATGGGGTGATTCAAAAGTGAGCTTACAGCTTGGCTGGTTTGTCCCAAATCATAGTCGCGCACAGTCGTAGTCTTCAGTTCCCCACTGCCTTGGGCCTGCATTTCACCTCCGAATCAGAGCATGTTCTCCTTCCAGGGCTCCGACGAGCGCTCACCATTGGACTTGGTGGCTCCACTGCACAAAGAGCTCAGTAACCTGCTCAATCAGACATGCCCATGCCACTGGACTCACCATATTTCAGGACGGTCTGATCATTTTTCGACTTGATCTGTCCAGAACGAGCACCATCTCAGCATTTCACGTCCGCTTTCTCCCCTGAACGCTCTGCCACTCACCTTCATCGACGTGTAATAGTACGTCCCGAGGATGATCGCCTGACTGACGACGTATCCAATCCGCACGTATGTCAGTATCTGCGGGTCTTCAAAGGGCACTTTCCGTGCCACTATACACCGTGAACGAGGTCAGTAGTTTGCGAGCTACAGCGCGCAAAGACAGCACCGACATTGCATTACGACCAAGGAGACGACAAGATTCTGAATAGCCGGGTTCGAGGCCATGTTGAGCAGATCTGTAAACGAAAGCCAAAGCCAGGAAAAAAAGACCGCAAAAAGGGTGTGGACGCTGTGCGCGACGGTGACGAAGCCGCAGCGCCAAATCCAGGACTATGTCACACTCCTTCTGTGATGGCTGTCACGTCCCGAAAAGGCAATTGTCGGCACTGACGTCAAAGACCGCGCGCCCCGCGCGCGTTTGATTCAAGCCCAGGCTATAACATCGCCTTCAACCTGCGCCAATTTCCATCTTCCCGACCGCCCTCACGACCGCAAAGACGATATCTACGGAATAGGCAATCTTGAAGATATAATGCTGAACGGCGACCGCGACACTGTCTCGATATCCCGTGCGCCGTCAAGGGCGTCCAGGCATACCGCGGCGGGCTCGACCGTCTCGCGAGCGCAATCCCTTATTAAGAAAAACGTGGCCCCGCAGGACTTACGCCCCTCGGACATCCTAATTGAACGCTTTACGGCATGGAAGGTTATCGTGAAACAGCTAATAGCGTACTTTGAGGTGAGTTCATTGCCGTACAGTATGATCAGGCTCTGAGATAGTACAGGGCATCGCAGACATCGAGAATAATACAGCGAGGGAGCTGACGAAGCTGGGGGCCGTCATCCAAGTCCCGTTCCGCGCGGGGAACCAGTTCCTGGGCGAAGGAGGGCTGCAGGATATATTCTACGGGGTCCGGGACAAGACGAGGGTTATTGCGGACCAGCACGCGAACCTAGGTAGGACGATAGACAGCTCCATCGTCCAACACCTGCAGAAACTCCGTACGGAGATCAAGGCGCATATCAAGGTTAGTACGCCGCAAACGGTATTCAAGCCGGTTGCTGACTGTTCCTCACCAGAACGTCCAAAATGATACCGGCAAATTAGCAACCACCGTCGCAAAGGAACGCGAACTATCCGCTCGGATGATCGGAGAGCTCGCCACGAACATATCTATCTTCAAGAACACGCCCATGAACGTCACGAACAAGAGCGACCCGTACGTACACACAATAAATGTCACGCCCGTCTAACCCTGCCACTAGTTACGTAGCCAACACTGCCGTTGCTCGCCAACTACAGAAGCAGGTTCACGAAGAAAACACGCTGCAGAAATCGATCATCATTATGCAGCAAAACTCCGCGCACTTTGAGGAGGGCATCGTGCGCGCGCTGCAGTCCGCGTGGCAGACCTTTGACGAGTGGCAGAACCGCATGTCCGCGTCCGTCCAAGAATCGTGGCGGACGCTGTCCGTGCAGTTCGCCTCGCTGCCGCCCGACCGCGAGTGGATCACGTTCAGCGCGCGCTCCGATCACCTCCTGGACCCAGAGACACCGCTGCGCAACCCCGAGGCGATCGAGTACCCGAGCAAGGAGGACCCGTGTGTTGTACCCGTGCACACCGGGTACCTCGAGCGCAAGAAGCGATACACGCGGAGCTACAAGGAGAGCTACTACGTGCTCACGCCCGCTGGGTTCCTCCACGAGTACGCGAGCTCCGATCCCGTGTCGGCGCCGCAGCCGGTGTTCTCGCTCTTCCTACCGATGTGTACGCTCGGGCCCCCGTCGTCGACGTCGGCCAAATCGCACAAGTTCCACATTGAGGGTCGCAAGGACGGCACGGGCACGACGAAGGGCGGGTCGCTGAGGCTGAGCTTGGGTCGTGAACATGCATGGTCGTTCCGCGCACGCAGCCACGAGGAGATGATGGAGTGGTGGAACGATATTCGGATGTTGTGCGCGAGGTACCTTGTCGCGAGCGAGCAGATGGAGCGCAGTGGGCCTGTCGCGGCTGCCGTGCGGGCAGCGGGATACGTTAGTGACGGGGAAGCCTCTGGCGAGGATGAGGGAAGTAGCGTGGAGGAGGAAGCCGAGGCTGACGGGACCGCTGAAGAGGACGGGGAGTTTGCCGACGCAAGAAGCGAGGAGCTGCCCGGGTATTCGCATGAAAGCAAGGTCGGGGAGCATGGGTACTTGGTACGTCAATCCCTCCATTGTGTTGGATTAATCCGCTGACGAGATTTCAGGAGGATAAGAAGCCTGCTCCCGATACCACCTCGGGCTTGTCCCGCAAGTCTAGCAAGCGTCAGCAAGAGAAGGCTCCGGCTGGAAGGTCACCTAATGATGTACCTGGGATGGTGTCTGCTGACGATGATGGTGCGGGTCCCGCGGAGGCTGAGCCCGGTCCTGCCCCTGTGGAGAGCCGTTTCTCGGAAAATCTGTAACATTCCGGTCTTGTGCGCGAGTGGTATACGTTTGTCTTGCAGGAGGTTGATATTGTATCCGTGGGTCTGTCATGATTGGTTTGTATGTAGGTAGCACACATACCTGTTGTACTCGTTTAATGTAATATAAACTCTGTGCATCTGCACCCACTCGTGGAAGACGTTCGACTCAAATTCACCGAAGCAACCGTTCGAAATGGATATCATCGGGAGACTACTGTACAAGTCAGGTACTAGTACAGTTGGACGTGATGAATAGTGTCGAGTCAGAGGTGATACAGCCCCGGCAGAAGGATGCGATGTACTTCCTCATATTGGGCCATCATCTACGATGGACGGAATATAAAACGTGAGCACGCCTCCCGAATCGGCTCCTGTGGACCCGATGTAAAAATACAATATAAGACAATGCCGGTGGCAGACCGCTGGATGCCACACATTATTAATACGCTCGACGACGCATCTGTTGGGAGCCAGCGTACCCGCAATGACCTGTCCGCTGACGATGTGACAGTTCAAAAACTTGACAAAACTCTTCGCGGCGATGGGGACGGTGTACAGTTTCTCCTTGTCCTTCTCCTCCGGCTCGCCGTCTTCGTCGTCGGGTTGGCGCTCTCAATGCGTAGAGGGATCAGAGATTGATGGATAGGGAGAGATCGTTGTGCTTACCTGTTTGCACAAACTTGACGGAGAACTCGACCTTGACGCGCACTTCGTTATCGTCGCCCGCGACTTCGAGCAAGAGACGCGTAGGCGGGCCGATGTTGGCGCGGAGGAGGAGCGTGGAGGAGAGCGCACGGAGGCGCTCGACTGGAGAGCGGAGGGTCGGGAGGGATGGGAGGAGTATAAGAGTCTATTCATCTATTGGAGCACCATGCGAAGGAAGTTCGAGTGCACTTGACTTACGTCGGGCTCGGGGCATAGCGGCTCGGTGATCTTCGCCATGTCCAGAGGCCGCAGGACTTCTATGCGGACGTCGTAGGTCAAGGACTGAGAACGACCGGTGCGCGAGGGCGTTGTCAAGGCAAAACTCAGAAGTGCCTGCTAAACCGTTAGCTATAGATGAGCCACGAGACGGGCGGTTTCACCTGATCGTTCTTTTTCGCGAGCTTCATGAGGACTTCCTCAGAGCCCAGACCTGTACTTGAGCCAGAGGCTGCCAAAGCGTTCTGTATGCCTTGTAGGGCATGTAAGAGGGATGCTGAGGCTATGCTCATGGATATAACGTTATCCGCGTTTGACTGGATGCGATAGTCATTGAATAACGTCGATACTTTAATCTCTCTGCATCCTCACTCAGTACGATAAAAACAATTCGTGTAAAACGTTGGATGCCCACGACCAGACTTGGATGCCTGCTTCATTCGCATCACTCATGCATATTATCCGCATAATTTCAGGCTTGAATTGGATTATGCATTTCTTCTGGAGTCGTTCGATGACTTGCATGATTTCTGATATACGGGTTGAGTAGATGTGGAGCCAAAATAAGGTGACTTACTGCAGAATGTGGGGACGTTTTCGATGCATGCTCGAAATCTCATCTCGCTAATCGAAATGAAACGCGTAGTCGCGGAATAGACGCGTGCAGCAGATGAATCGCGTGACACCGATCATGTGATCTGTGACATCCGCATTGATGACCATCATAGTAGTGATACCGTCCTGAATGCCAACTACTGCAAGGTTTCTGCGACGATAATCGCGATATTGAAATGTCGAGCAAACATAATGCTATCCTGCCGCATGCTTTGAAAATCCCTGCTCTTTCTAAATTGGCCGACAAACGTGTCATATTAGCTTCCAATAGCCCTCGGCGTAAAGAGATTCTGCAGACTCTCGTGAGTACGTACACTCATGCTTCAATCGCGAGTTATCATTGAACGAGTTATGTGTCTTAGGGTATCGCACCTGAGATAGTTCCATCGACATTCCAGGAAAATCTGCCGCAAAGTTCGTTCGAGGATGTGCACGAGTACCCCGTGGCAACGGCAACGCACAAGGCCGTGGAGGTGTACGAACGGCTTGTGGTGAGTACCCTTGTACAAGGAAGAACATGATATCTTGGAGGTTACAGGAAGCTCCTGCTCCTGTATACTCTGATGGTTATGCGAATCAAGTCCACGTTCGTTCTGTGTGATTCAGCGCGGGCCATCGTAGGAGGTAGCCTTTAAGCCTCTGGAGTGTCTCCTGCTGTAGATCGCGTAGTCCACATTTTCACCCCTGTGTAGTCCTGACGCGCAGTCGGTCGCTGACCGTTGCTGCTATCCCAGCAAGAAAATCCTGACGACCCGCCAGATCTCGTAATCGGAGGTCTGTCTCTCCATCGTCACCACCATCATCCTTGGTTGAAGCATGATCCTGATAATCATGTTCGATATGCACAGCTGACACCGTAGTTCTCACCCACATCCCCGGTCCCACCTCCGAATTCACATACGCCCAGCCCCGACAGGAAATTCTCGAGAAGCCCGAGTCAGAGGCGGACAACCTGCGCATGCTGCTCGACTTAAATGGGGGCATGTGCGAAGTGGTCACAGGTGTCAGCTTAGGTAGGTACTCTCGTTATTGGTGCAAGCCGTCGGAGCTGAGTAGCGCCTAGTATACCCTATTCTGTCTGCACCAGGGTACGAGATCAAGTAAGAGTTCAATTCATGTCGTTTTCACCATTTTCTGAACGTGATTTCTAGGTCTTTGGACGAACGCACGTTAGTCCACTTCGCGGATAACGAGAAGTCCGTTCTTCAGGCGTATGCCTCCAACGGAGAAGGCCGCGACCGCGCCGGTGGGTTCGCCATCCAGGTTCGCGTATTCGCATGCCGTGGATATATCCAATCCTTTAACTCTGTATATTCTTCCAGGGACTTGGTTCGCTGTTGATCAAGAAGATCGACGGTGATTACAATAACGTCGTCGGGTTCCCTTCTTCTTCCTTCGTCAAGTTTCTCCAGCTTCTGATCGACGAGGAACCGGATTTCTTGAGTATATAATCATAGACTCGGGGCGAATGCCAGCCCCCTTATTGAGTACAAGCAGGGAGTGGAAATGGAGCGTACGTGTATAGCTCTGATAGTATACATGAAACTATTCGAAAGAAGACATAGACCAAAGATATGCAAAAACATACATCCCTAGATCCCAAGGCACTGAGGATTCAAGCCGTGGGGTTCCCACTGTTACCCCTCCGAACTCTCTGTGCAAGTGGGCGTACGGTGACCAGCGGCAGCCGCCGAACCCTCGTTTCCCGCCTCACCGAACCACTGTACTGTCGTCCCACTCGGTCCAGCGACAGGCTCGTGTGCGTAACCAGAACCCGACATCACCGCAATATCCTGAGTAGCGCTTCCATAATCCGAGCGCTGACCCATACCGTCCGTGTCCATGCCCGACTGTGACACGTCCAATCCGAGCATCTGAGCCATTGTAAACGCACTGAACGGGTCTGCGAAACGCGTCATCTCGTATGGGTCAGGCCACATATCCCAAGACACTCCGCTCCGTCCGGTTACTGGTTCAGGCATGCTAGTCATGCTAGATGCCGTGACAGATGTTGTCCAAGTACTCGCTGCGGGTGTGGACGCTGGGGTGATGGGAGCATGCCCGCCTGTCTGCAGTCGGAGCTTGACGCCCTTCAGCAGGTCACAGGCCAGCCCGGCGCCGGACCAGCATACCTAGAACAGTTTCAATGATGGGCGACGGGATGGCGTTGCACACGCAAACCTTCATTGCTTCTAGTGCTTTGATCGCCCGCAAGAGGCCCTGCGACGCAGCCTCGTGCATTACGCCGACACTGACTATATGATGATGAATCGGGTCAGGCCAGTGGTCACTGACTGAAAGGAATTATATTCACGCACGAGTGATGACATGGGTAATGCTACCCGCGTACCAGTTACAGCAAACTATCCGGTATAGAGGGGTAATTATGCTCACCCAGCATTCAGCACGTAAGAGCTCAAGAAGGGCGGGCTATAATCCAAGCCGGCTCTGTCATGGTAGCCACCAACTGCACCAAGTGAGTTGCTGATTGCATTCAGCTGTGCAGCACAAACAGACCTATATCGCTTATCTTCATAGCGGCCGCATGGCATCGTTCCAAGCGAATAATGTGTCCTTCGCCTTGAAGAGACTCGGGGCTGAAAGAATTCGTCGACAAGACAAGCAGACGTGCAATGTCGCTTACCGTATCACGCTCGGGAGTCTACACGAGGAAACACACGTTAACTGACATCTCCCAGTGACAGGTAAATCGTGACATCTTACAGGCTACGGTGCAGGAGCAAAGTGGCATACCAATACTCCACGTGTAGTAACATTATATGCGGCGGAGCGTCGGCTAGCTGAGCCACGGAAAGATATTGCATCTCTTTAGGCAGAGAACCGTACCACTGATGCAGCCACGCCGACATCGCCTGCCACGCTTGAGACGGCGCTTGCGCATCCAGGTGGGTCCGCTTAACAGGGTACATGGTATTTATAATCTGGCCCATGATAATAGCTGGAATATTGTGAGCCAGCAAAGCTGAGTATTCCTGGATGTTACGTACAAAGCGAAGCGCTGTAATGATAGCACTGAGCGAAATGGCCTGACACGGGTGAGAAGGCGGATGCAGCTGGGTCTTCGTGCACAGGCTGCCACAGGCCATCGTAGATCTGGACAAGGCACTCGGTGTCCATGCATTTCTGAAGCGAGTTAGATAGAACCTACAGCCTCAGGATCAGGCAGTTTGACATTATAGTCCTTGTCCTGGATCGATATCGGTCGTCCTGTTGACGGTTAACACGACCCATTGCCTTGACAGCAAATCTTTTCTGTACCTAAAAAAGCACTCATGCGCCTATCCGAGCGGGCTCCGCAGTTACCACAAGTAGTCACTCAACAGCAATAGCGCTCACCGATCTACCGAACAGCACGCCCACCATATTGCTCTCCTCGTTTGCTTATCGTTCACGGTAAACACCTCCCGTCCTCTGTACAACCAGTGTTCCGGATCGCGGTTGAGCCCTAGATCATACGCCTAGGCACCAGGAATGGTCGGTCGCTGCTAAAGCTGTGGAGTCATGTACATTCCCACACACCATACGAATGGCCATTCCTGTCCCGCTCATCAGCAGTGCGCTCCACGCGACGAGGGAGAAGGGACATGTACCTGCGTATAACCACGCTTGCTCAGTCGATCCTAGGTAATGGGTCAAAGTTGTCAGGCCCACTCCCCCGTACCAGATTACACTGGTCGGGCTTGCCTATCGCGAACTCCCTCACCCCCAGCAGCAACAGCGCCTGGCACGTGACCGGATGGCTGTGGTGGACGGTTTTCACTGTCGCACGGACATTCCTAGTTAGTCACTCTATTCGCTGGAAGCAAAAAAGGGTTGCATAGACAAACAGCCTCTACGCACTGATGACTTCCTGGGCGGAATACGCAAAGTCGCATCCGGCCTCTGACATGACTCCCTCGGGCGGCGGCGGCATCGTCGCCGCCCGGTACCTTTCCGCAATCGCGAAGATGCCGAGGAGCAACCCTTTCGACAGCCCCTGCGTCCCGCTCGGCTGTTGGCGGCTGGATGACAACACATCTAGTAAGAATTGCTGGAAATGGGAGAGTTGATATTCTGATTACCCTTCCAACCTATGATAGCTATTAGCATTAGCGTGAGCGGCTCGCGCGAAAAATGGCATACCTAGCTCTGAAGCTCTCCAGGAACTGCTGCTTGTGTATCAACGGGATGAAGGGGTGGATGTACGTGAAATAGACGTTGACGAGTGCCTCCTGTTGCTCGGGAGGAGGCATCTGCACGTCCACGTCGTCTTCATCCGCATACGCCAGTCGCGACTCCATGGCCAGCGGCCACACGCGCGCCATGGGGAATTTCCTGTGTCGCTCAGTCAGAATGGGAGTCCCCTGATCACGCGGACACCTACCATATCCCGCCCTCGTTCCGGCCATCAAAGCGTTCTTCCGCGCCTAGCAGGTGATACCCGCTTGCGCTGCCGTGATACCGAAGCTGGTGGGTATAGCCGTTACTTAAAGCGCGCATTTGAGAAGCGACTGGAACGGACAGACCTCTTGGTTCTCGTCCACCGAGAGGTGATTCAAGCCGTCTATAGCTTCGTCTACTCCCGAATCATCAGGACTTGCGCTTTTGTCCTCTAGATTTGGTCTGTTGAGCTCATGGATCACGTCAGCAATATGTATTATGACGCACCGGATGAATCCATTGAATATAATTGAGTGGTGTCAAGGGCGTCGTACTCTGCGTTCGCTGGCGGCTGGTATTGCACTGACGGTAAGGTGCTTTGGGATTGCGGGGAAACGAGGCATGCTGTGAGACGATCTTGCCACTGCCCCAGTTCCTGGAACGTCATCGCAGTAGCTAGAAGGTAAAGATGGATGCATCGTCGTCGTAAGTGGCTGGCACTGAGAACGAGATTTCGGCGTACTGTTGCTTGACACCCTTTCTCTCGAAGCTCGCGACTGCTTCTGGGGTCGTCTGCTGTCACTGACAGTGGAATCATCAGCGACGTATGCGAGCACTTCCTCCATCGTTGCAGTCGACGAGAGCGAGGCGCGCCCCGCGACTCCCTAGGTAAAATCAGCGATGAAAGGTAGTAGACGGCCTTTCACATGTGCACTCACCAAAGGGCCGGTGGCGACACTTTCCATGACTTCGCGGGCTAGGTCATCTTGCTGCAACAGACGGGAGAGTTCTTGAACGTAGGGATTGCTGGACGCAGCAATCAACACCGCGAGGATTGATTCCGACCTGTACCACCTCTGCTCAAGGGCTTGTATGTAGCCTTTCGGCGGACCTCGTTTGAAGGTAGGTCCTTGCCGGTACAGTATGGACGTCGCAGACGGCCATGAAAGGATATCGCGTCGACTTACCTGAGAAGACGCATCCTAAAAGGAGGTCAGATTGATATAGCATGTGGATCGTCCGATACCACTCACCGACCTCTGCTGCTTGGCAGGCCTGACATGGCTCGTCCTCGGAGGATCGATTACAACGAATCTTCGCCTTTCGGCAGAGATCGCAGGCTGAAATGCGTGAGACTCCGGGCGCGCACTACGTACGGACAACGTACCTCGAATACTCCGTTTCCGCGGCTCGCCCGTCACCCGCTGTTCGAAGCCGTCTTCAGTGTCTGCACCGACGTGCATGACGATACAGATGATGGGTAAGGTCGTCTCTCGTTGCGTTCGCCTATCAGTCCTATTCCCGTGAGAGACGTCGCGGTCTAGGCTCGATTGCGAAAGGCCCAGAGTGCTTTCACTTTTCTGAAAGCTGTCGCACATTGCACAGCATATCACAAAAGGTAGGCTACCCCGTGAGAAGTCGAGGTTGGATTGGCTCTGCAGTCTCAGCAAGAATAGCGGCATAAGTACAATCTCAAACACTTGGAAGTTGTGGCAGACAGGTGCAATAGCATGCATCCCACCGCAGTAGACTTCACGATCCGGGCCACCCTACTTAATGGGCCACCTTCATATATAGCATTCAGTACTATGAATACAGTCGACTCTCCCATAACCCATAGCGGTCCGTGGACCCAGAAAGGTATGGGTTACCAGGTGTGACAGACTGTGACATGTGGCAGGGAGCACGACATATGCCGGGCGGTCCGTGATGCCATATTATGCTATGTACAGATGCGTACTGCCATATTTGTATGGACTTTGGGTCAGAATATGAGACATCTCGATAGTAGATGATGTAAAAGTAATAAATGGTGGTCCATATGGCTCTGATCAGGCTAAAAATAGGATTATTGATGGGTTATGGACCCTTCAGAAAGGTATGGGTTATGGGGTATCAGCGAGTTATGGGTTGTTGTGATTATTAATTAGGAACCAAGTTGGTGGACACAAAAATGGATGGGTTATTAGAGGTTATGGGTTATTGCAGGTATGGGTTAAGGGTGAGTCGACTGTAGTATCTCCATTACCACACCCAGTCACAGGAATATCTCTGGTAATCTTCACTATTTTTACACATTTTTTCTGATTTCATATGGTCACTGATGCCAATTGCTCATGCTGTATAGTACTAAACATAGCAATGATAACTCGACATCTGACTGTATCAATATATGCAGATTTTGTGCAGATTTTTCCTTTTTTGGTGCCAAGCTAAGGAGCTGCTCATATATGAGAAGCAAGGGAAAGACGGAATCAGCGAGTGCAATGCTGAGTCCAATTTCCAGGGTTTGGGGGGAGGCTCGGGTCGGCTGAGGCTGGTGTGGCATCGGCGGCAAAGCCCGCGGTGGCTGAAGTGTGGCACCGGGATGTGGCAAGCAGCGGGACCGAGGCTCTGAGTGCAATGGGGAAGCCAGAGCATGACATCTTTGGGCCGCAATGAAATCCGTGCTACACCAAGTACAGAGCAATAGCTCACAAAAGCCAGATTTTGGCTGAGCTGAAGACAGGTCCCCCAAACCAGAGGTATTGCTCGGAGGTGTCACAAGGACATGACATAGTGTGACAGCATGACAGGTACAGATGTGTGGACAGGAGCCTAAGGCATGAAAAGTATCCAGAGGTGTAGCTACAGCATAACAGATGAGTTTGAAGTGCTGAGTTGGACTGTCCAGACTGTACTGGGGAATTAGCAACAATCTGTACATACAGACACGGAGACCAACCACAACAAGCAGAATGGCTGAGCAGACATGGAAACTGGAATACATGAGGCTAAGGACCCACAACAATGATACAGACAGCTGAGCAAGGCACAGCAATGAGAGTCCAGTGAGCTATGAGTCCAGGACAGGTAAGGGATGGCGGTCAGGGATATGGTTACATATACAATACTGTTCAAACTCAATGCAAATTTGAGAAATGCAATTTGTTTCATAGGACTTGGAGATCGTGAGTGGAAGCAATTGCTCCAGCTCCACCAGTACAGCAGAAACAGCAGAGACCTCTGATGCCCCTGTACTGCAACTGTCTCCAGTGGGACACCGGTGCCACCAATCTGAAAGCTGTGACCTGATACATGGGAGATATTCAGCAGACACCAGATTTCCTGGCAGCACCGCAGGAACCAAGACTTGACCATTGGCAGCCAAGAACCATTTGCCGTCTAGAATGTGCACCGCGGCACAGATCCCGGGAACCCGCTTGTCCACGGATAGATGACAGTGTAGGACCTGGACGGGGCAAAGTTTTGGGCAACCGGTGAGAGAGATGTGAGCGCCGGCCTCCTTCTCCACTTCACCAAAAGGGTTATGTAAATGGGCAGACTCATATGACCCGCGGCTTCCTCCTCGTCTAGGTATTCAGCGATGAACTCTTCATGGTTGGAACAGGTGGGGTGGTTCGGGAAGATAACTGAGTGTTGCAGCAGAGTATCAAAGTCACCCATAGGAAATCCTTGGTGAAGCTTGTTGGATAGGTTGGCATGTTGATCAGAGAGGCTGTGTTCTACCAAGAGAGTATCAAAGGCAGCAGCACCATAGGGAGAGCAGATTCTATTCTTGATTCTTGGTTGTTGAGCAGCAAGAAAAGTTCACGAGATCGTGAGGAAAGCTAGACTTGCAGTCAGAGCATGTGGCCAGGACAGGATCAGTGGTTGTCTGGGCGTCGTCATCAGTAGGAGAAGGCAAAGTGGTCTATGGAGCCACAGAAAGAACAGATGTGTCGTCGGGAGGGTGGGTGACCATCAGATCGCGCACCGTGCATTCCAGCGCCGGCAGATTTCATGCTGAACAGAACGTGCCGCCTCACATTCCGATTCCCCTAGAATCGGTTTACTGTTCAGTCGTTGTATAGGGCACTCTGGTGATCGAAAATTGCCAGCGTTGAACAGGGGGTATACCCCTTATAGCCCAAATTACCTTAACTGTAACGGGAGCACCCTCCTTAAATGGAAGGTCCACTGATCCAAATCTTACCACCATCAGCAAATAGGAGCTATTACCTCTCATGTCAATAATTACCGTTTGTGAATAGGGACTAATTCCAGATATGTAGTGTGGTCTCTGCACGGCACGATCCTTTCAAGATCTCGGGCCAATGGCACTGTCAGGCATCCCCGGCTGTGTGTGGAATTGCGCCGATGGCAAGTACCCTGCTGCCTACGGCACAAGATTGGTAAGTTACATACGAGGCATAGTACTGGCAGCATTGAGGCCTCAGCCTGATGACGTGCATCTCAGCTACAGTATGCATGTGCACTGACTCGATAGTAATGCTACCCGAGTGTAGTACTGAAGTAAATAGTGTATTGTGTATTGAAATAACTGTACTTGACACCGAGTATAGGATGATTGAAGGTTCTAGCCACACACAGTTATGTTTGAGAGTTACAAACTTATATGATTTAGTATCACTGAGATCAACATATAATAACTAGGAGTATTCTTGATGCCGCGCAGCGCCCGGGAGGCTAGAAAGACTATTTACCTACTTGTAGAACCCTTGCCACTCGTTTACCTTACGAGGAATCGGACCTGGCGTGCCGCGCAGCGCCGAATACTTCCCAAGTCTCGGCATAGACAGGCGATCCATCAGTAAAGCGGTCGGAGGAGCAGGTGAACGCATTGTGTCCCTATGACGAAAAACGTTGCGCGCGCTGAGCTCGAAAGGGAAAGGGCGGCGCTCGCGTGGCATCTCTCGTTTGCTCTTAAGTAGCTTGGCTCGACATAAGCCCAAGTCGTTCGTGCCTCACGTCGGGCTTGTAGAACAGCAGCCTAAGTACTGCCCTCGGGGCAGAGTATGGCTCTGACGTAGTTGGAATGCACTTAATCCAAAACTCGCAATGCAACTACATCATAGCTTGCTTCAAAGCGCGGACTACAAACCTTTGAAGTCAAGTGGCCAAGAAAAGAGGCCAACATGCCACGGGCATATGGAACAGTGTTTCCTTGGTCCTATGAACACTTTGTATCCCCTAAGTATTCCAAAAGTGTCCCAGAGAGACCGCTGACCGCTATCGTGTCCTCGAATGTCAGATTACACAGATGCATTGCATGCCACGGCAGTAGGACAAGTGGCCGTGCCGCTCGTCAGGTCAGCATATTGGACGTTTCCGTACTGTAACGCAGACGCAAGCACGCTATCAGTCTAACTTCCAGATGCACACAAACGAGCCCTGAATCCTACCGCGTCATACGTGCACACCCCAGCGTTGAGGTACGCGCACTGATATCCGCTGAACCTGTTAATCAAAACGCCCTGCGCGCCCGTGCGGTCCAAGGGGCATGCGCACCCCGTAGCTGGGCACGGTGCATAGGCCGGGCAATTCTCTTGGGCGGTGTTCTGCAGCGCGCCGGTCTACCAGAACAGCGCACACACAACCATCAGCCTTGACAAAGACAACAGGAAACGAAGGGATAAACTCACGATATCACTCCACGAGCACGCGCCGTTGGGGTACGCGCACTGATACCCGGGGAAGACGTTGACCAGGATGCCAGGGATGCCCGTGGCATCGGCGGGGCAGTCGCACGCCGTGGGGCCGCCGAGGTAGCAGCCCACGAGCAGCGGAGCAGAGGGGGCGCGGCGCTCAAGACTGCTGCCGGGGCTGCTGGTAGGGCTGGCGACTATGGCCGCGATGAGACCCAGAATGCTCAGGATGCGAGTGAATGACATGGTGGTGGATTGGGCTTGTCGGCGCGGCGGTCTGGCTTAGCTTCGAGGCCTCGGTGAGTTGACGATCTATGCGGATTTCGAGCCTGGCTTTTATGTGATATTGCATTCAGCTAGTGATTCGAAGAAAGTCACATTCGGAGGAGCCCCGAGAGAGGCATCCCGGCTCAGCTGAGGGACCTAGACCAGCGAAATCACCTCTCAGGAGGTGATCAGCAGAAAACGTGAGAGGATGAAATGAAGTGTAAGACTAAGATCAGGGAGGCCATGTAATATCGAACCGGCGTGACAATGGCGACTGGATGGAGAGCAGACAACCCCTGGGCATCCACCTGGTCAGGGACGGGCTGACAAAATATGTGAGAGAGCGATGACTGGGTCGAGTATGAGCCCCCGGGGATATAGTGATTCCGTCGATATTGCCACACATATGGACTCTCCAATAAAGGAGATCAGCACAGAGGATGATCAGACATCCTGGGGGCCACCGAGGGTAAGAATAGTCTATAAAGGAGCTTCCTGCGCTCGAAGCCTGCGTCAAATGACGGTTATCCCAGAGCCTGCCGCTCCATCTTTGTACCAATTTCAACGGAATATAAGCTGCACTAATGTCCACACTACCCAACAGCATATTCATATTGTTGCCGTTGGTACCCGCTAAACATGAAACCCATTAATCATAAGAAGACTAGCTGTCAATTAAGCAGTAGATTAACCTTTAACTTGAGGAATCACGTTCCGGCGTCTCAGCTGCTGAGCGGATGCTTAATTGTATTCGGAACCGAGAGAAGAGGACTGCGTGTCAAGAATAGTTGATTTGAACTTGCACAAGAGTTGTGATCAAGTGTCGCTGGGGTTCGGACTGTGGCAATCCTTACGAGATGGACCAGCATCGGAGGGAAAAACGGTGTTATTTAGAGATCGTACAGGGGCGGCCGTAAGGTACGGGACTGAATCTCGTGAAAGGGCTTGGGGTGAGCTTTCGGAAGCATAAAACATATGTGATCCAAGCGAGAGGCTAGAGTCTTGCACCACATACAGTATTTCGGAACGCCAGGGTTGTGGTCTGGACCGTCCGCTAAGAAATGTTCTGCCGAACGTCCGGAAATATCACCGCTGGAAGTGAGTGCATGATTACCAGCGAACAGCCGACAGCGGTACACCTATGAATCGAACGAGACTCACCTTACCTGCCACAACTTGGTTGACGAGATGGAAGACCTCGAAGTGACATCTGGACGGCGTGGTCACTATGGTTACAAAGTCAACCAGCACTGGAGCAGAAAAGAACCTTTGATTGGAGTTCCTAGGGCTGAAATCGTACCATACGGGAGCAATGATTGCTGCAAGCCATCACGAGAAAATCTCTAGAATGTACCAGCAGAATACTCCACGTTCGAATCGGACATTACATCGAGGGTCCGGCAGGTCAGGCACTGGCATGGGATCTTGACCTGGAAAGATAATTATTGGTTCACGACCCAGCGAAATCAACGGGCGTGGTGCTCACCTTCGTCTCACGAATGATCTCCATTAGTCTTGATATTCCTTCCACTTCGTCATTCTCTCCTGCAGATTAATGACCTCTCCATCGAGCGTAAACGTCCCGTCTCCCCGATGATGCATAGTCTTCCCTTCCTTCGCATCGGGATTAATCCAGCCTCTCACCACTTTCAACACCCACATATTATACTTGCTCACAAGCTTTGTGTCTTCCACTACACACTCCAGATTTGCCATGCACTCTTTCACGAGCGGCGCGCCGACCTTGCCCGCCTTCACCGGCGTCAGCCCGAACCGCGCGAACTTATCCAGCTCAGACTCGTCCCCAGAGCAGTTCCCAATGTCCACGACTTTCTCCGCCAGCTCGACGGTCGGGATGGCTACCACACACTCTTTGTTCTTCTTCAGTGCCGCGTAGCTGTGATCCCAAGGGCCGATGATGACACCTATCAGAGGGGGATCTTCGTGCTGGATGACCATGTGAAATCCCATGGTCATCAAGTTGGGCTTGATGTTTTCGCCGACCGTGTCCAACGTTGAGACAAGTACGACAGGGCCAGGCTCCAGAAGCCTGTACGCTTTCCTGGCTGGATAGTTCTCCAGCCCCTCCGGCGACGCGAAGGCTGGTTCACTCGCGTCAATTTCCGAGGCCTTTCGTTTCGCCATAGTAACGTTGACTGTTCGCAAGAGACAAATGTGGCCCGCTCGGAGACGTCCCTTATAAAAATGCCCAAGGACAATGGTTCTGTATAACAAGGAAGCGACCGACGTTGGCGCGAGTAGTTGTCACTAAGTTGTGGCAGACGTTCATCGGTATCGGTGCCGGGACGGCCCGGTAGATGCCGACGGCCACAGAATTGCCACAATCAGGCAACGAAGAATATGTGCATACACAAACCGCCCATTTCTTCTGTAGCAATCTTTATTTCGTGACATGACGCCTACACCCTACACTAGTAGTACAAACTACCTCTGATTCCTGGATTGAACATAAACAGTCGCGATCAATGAACGTGCAAGGTACTCCGCTGACGAGTGATGACAATGTCCATGTCCCCAAGGTTAAAAACGTCAATGTGATAGGATGGTATACAAATGGCGTTGGGAGTGACCCGATTTCACCTCCACGAGAGCGCATATTCGCCGTGCTTCCGCTTGTTGGCTTCGATGTCCACATCTGCGCCGGAGCCTAGGCATGGGCGTCAATAAGAGACTGGGAGGAGACTGGGATAGAAACAAACTAATGTTGTCGTCCTCCGTCGCAGGATCTTCAGCCCTTTTGGTATCCGTCATCTCGAACTCGTCGTGGTGAATCTGGACGACTTCGTGAGACGAGGAAGAGACGGGCCCGTCTAACTATACATACCGTAGCGACGGTGGTGACATGTATCCCGCTGACCACCGCGTTCGTCTCATGGCGATCTTTCCACGCGGTGTCCGTGTTGATCACGTGGCCAGAGCGGCTCGACTCGCCGCTGGTGCTCATGCGCGCGTTGAGCGTCGACAGCAGTGAGTTGCTGTACAGCTTCGGGAGGGGCAGATTGAAGATAAGGTGAACCGGCGAGGGCTGGGATGATGCGATGTAAGCAATGCACCGAGGGAGGCAAGAGAGGACGTACTACGGAGAGATAGAGGATGAGGTCCATGACCGCCCAAACCGCTGTCAACATACCAGTCTGCACCGTAACTGATGAGAGGATGGATAACCCGTTTAGCACATCAAACAGTTTAGAAGAACGTCACAGCAACGTACTCTTGATGAGCCGCGTGATGATATGGTCAGTCGCCACGAAACCAGTGCGGTTGCGTCTCTGCATGAAGGCGTCCCGGTCAGATTTGCTTGTGGAAAGAGGGATTGGATGGTGAGTCAGGCTTACCAGGTAGAATGTAAGCGTGCCAGTGATAAGACAGTCGACGGTCGCCGCGAGGACCAGCCAGACCACGATCGGGACTTTGACCTGCCACCTGTTCCACTCGACGAATGGGGTGATAATGCTGCCCGCAATCCCCGTTCCTGTAGCCCCAACTAAATGATATTATTCAATGGGAGGGCAGGCAGAAAGGGATGACATAGGACGTACGGAATTGAAGAAAGATGAGGCAGCAGATGAACCCGAAGAACCAGCGCATGTGCGTTAGGCGGTAGACCCTCCACGCGAAGAAGCCCTGCACTGTCCCAGCGATAATGCCCTGAGACGCATGATTCGTGTCAGCCCTGATATTTTTCAGTATCGTCGAGTAATATTCGCACAATAAGCACGGGGCCTGTGCCCGCTCGCCAGTTCCCATTCGACGCTGCTACGAAATCGCCTGGTGCAGGGATACGTCAGGACCACCCCCTCTGAGGAAAGCCTGAGAGGAACCGACCGAAGTTGGTAATTGTGTAGCCGTATACCACCACACACTCGAATGCTGAATTGAGCGTGTCCATGAATAGGAGGAACCATACCTAAAGCCGGACGAAGTCGCGTCAGCAACATGCACGGTATTCTACAGGAGAACGAGATACGAACAAGCACTCGTATCCGCGGGTTATCCCTGCCGTTGCGAGCCCATCAGATTGGTGAAGGGATATGGAAAGAAAACCGTGCGTACGTTTTGAAGGTGATAAAATAAATGTAGCATTGCGTGACCATGCATCCAAACAGCAGCACGTTGAAGAGGACACCTAAATAGAATAGACGAGTGGTGAGCGGCTGACAGAAAGATAATTCGGTCCAGGTCACCTATCAAGGTAGGGCCCAACCTGAGTATAATCGCGTCAGTATAATTGTACCCGGAAGACCGCACGCCTGTCCAACGTACACAAGGTCCATAACCGCCATTTTTGTCGGATGCAAGCGGAAGCAAAGGGGCTCAGGCGTCAATGCAGGTGAAGCTTAACCAGAGCTCTTTGCCACCGCTCGTCGAGCCTCGTATATGTACAATACATTCAATACGGTGGTAACAGAGGCTGGATGTAGCCAGGGCCGATAGCCAGCCACCGCCGTTCAGCGACTCTATACGATCAATTGAAGTGATATATGTTTGACAGGGCGGAAGCAACGTATATGGAAACAAACCGATGCTAGACCCCCGAAAACGCGGATTGGGACCGACCCCGAATCTCGTATTTCCTTGAATGGATTATTTCGGGCTCCCGCTCTAGTCCTGGCCAATGAGGATCGTGTGGAAAGTGTTCCGCCATAGGAGAATACCTCGAAATAATCCCCAGGATGCCTAATTTCGTCCAGACAGCAAAACAGGGCCCGTCGATCGGGTGTCCCAGGCACAGCCACAATGCCTACGACTCAAGCCTTCAAAGCTTCAAGGTGCCTGACAGGATCTGACAGACGGAATCTGCCTGTGTGGCTGGAAAGTAGTTGCCAGGCACAGAGTCTACCGAGTGTGCTTCGGAGGTCTGTTACCATCTTGTAGCTTGACATGTGTACGGGACTCTAGATATCGACGTATATCAGTGGATAGTCGCGCTGACGACTCGTTAGAAGGTTTCAAAGGAGTACCTAGTTGTCGATTTTGAAGGTGCCGTGCGCACGATAACGCCGCGGGGCCGAAAAGAAGAAGGACCCCCGATGATACTGCCAGAGGGGGTTTCCGGATCGTAGATTTTGATGTCTGAAGAAATGGGTCCATATTGTTCAACTTTCCCCCCAGGCTCCAGAATTTCAGCACTTTTGTCCGGAAAATGACCTCGGCCAACGCCGCCCGTTGGAGCCCGAAAGTTGAAGCAACGCGGTCCCTCCCCCGCCCCCCCCCCCAACTCCCCGCAGTGGAGAGGAATGCAGTGGTCAGGGCCGGGAGGGCAACATGGTCGGGCCCCTCGATGTCCGCCAGGGCCACCGGCCCCTTCACCAGCCTCCAGAAAATGTCCGGACTTTGCCTCCGGCGGCGCCGAAAATCTGGCCCCAAATGTCCGGGATTTTCACGGCCTTCCGCTGCGTGCTGCTCATTTTGGTCTGGCTGGGACAACTCCTATCCATATTAACGGGGGTCCTAATGAAGATCACTGCGAAGTCTTGGCTCGAACAATTTTAAAAGTAGCCTGGACCGCTCGTCGGTCTAGAAAGGCAATGCAGAGGGCTCCGCGGCCCTAGTCGTACTGGTCTCGAAGAACAGTCTCGGCTTACAACATCCACAGCGCTTCGCCTGACATGCTACAATGGACGGTTTCATGTCAAGGATATAATGGTGGAAGAAGACGTTGTAAGATCGCGGGCTGCACCTGAGTGCGAAGCAGATGCAGCGTCAGACTAGCAGCATCCACCTTGATACGCTAGCGAGCTGAAAGAATATTGACCAGGTATCAATCATTAATAGCATCCGACATGCGGACATAGGCAGGACTATATTAATACTATACGCGGAATGTGAGACTGACAGGTCGACTTACTGATGGTAGTTGCCAAATGCCTTGGAAGAAACGGAAGCATTCCTTAGAGGTATAGGGCGTGCGGCGGTTGCGGGGTGCACAGTGCGAATCGGTGAGCATTCTCGTCAGGTCTCCTGTGGTGCACCGAACCCAGCCTATATGGTGATGAAGAAAGTAATTATGCCTGATTCACTGCGGGGTCACCGACGAGAAGAAGAGTGGGATGTCCATCTCACTCCGCAGGAACTTCTGAATCTGAACGGGCCCGTCGACTTCGCTGAGTATCGATTTACATCGCGACGCAGGCAAGTAGGTCATAGAGCGTAGACATTTCCCCCATCATTCGGTGCTCTAGAAAGAGAGACAGCGTAAGCAACACAAGTCATTCACTCATTGCATTGCCGGGTCATCATTCACTCATCGACACGAATACCTCCGAATCGGCCGTATACGTACCCCATCACCCCTAAATGCCCCAGTCAATGTACAATACACTTGTGGTGCCTGGCGGTCGACCGCCAGCCAGCCATCAACATTTCAAAGGCCGGGTTGTTGCATAGAGTCAGAACGTGATACGACTTTGACTTCGGCCACGACAGTGTTATTTACAACCTACCCAGATGATAGGATGCACCAGCAGGAATTATAGCTGAGCCGTGAAGTGTCGCGCGGGCGGTGAGATCTGGCCCCGTATTAAACGCGATTACAAGGTGCCGGTGAGCTTTCCATCCTAGAATTTGGTGTAGAATTACAGCCGTCCGTAGACGTAGCACATCGAATGACGTCCATACAGAACTACAAACTCAGGACAGTCCTCGGCTTCAACCCGATAACGCCCCCGCCCTTCCCGTCCCACCCCGGCAAGCTTGCGCGGCACACTGGACACCTGTTATGCAAACGTTCAGCAGCGCATATCGACCTCGTAACCGAGGGATACTGGAGAAAAGAGGGAATGAGGGAGAGTATGCGTAAAATCTGACCTGGCGTCATTCATCATCACCCCGCCCGTGCGCGCGAGCGCGGTCTTGACCGCCGTGAAGAGGCACTCGCCGCAGCACACGTGCCCGCATGGTGTGAGCGTCGCGTGCGTCGGCGGGCAGAAGCAGATCGGGCAGTTGAAGGCTGAGAGGGGCTCGATGGTGGGTGGGGGATCGGGTGCGGTGGATAAGGGTGGTGCGACTGGTAAGGTAGGGGCAGGAAGTTTAGATTTCGAGGAGGAGGAGGAGGAGGCGGGGGCGGGAGGTGTGGGCTCCGCAGAGAAGGAGTCGACGTCGATGGGTTCCTCCGCACGAGCGTAGGGGAGCGGGACGCGTGAGGATGAAGGACCGGGGAAGAGGGAGGAGCTCAGCGCCGGTCCAGCTGTAGACTCCGATTCACTGATCATACGCAGAACGTCTTCATCCGGGTCTCCCTCGGACAAGTCAATGATTTCGGGAGTGATCCCGCGCGTCGGCGGGAGGTCACGAGCGGTGTCTACGCCGATGCCTTCAGAGCTGACCCTCCTTCGCTTCCTCGCCCGACCAGGGCTCGAAGGCCCGGTGAGTACCGGCTCGTTCCTCTTCAATCCCCTCGGTCGAGAACTAGACTCAGCTTGAGAGACATCTCCCGACGAGGGCCCCATAAGGTTCGTTAGCCCCGCCATCATAGTATCTTCGCCCATAGGCAGAGATGGCGCGCCGCTGCCGTGCCCATTGTCCGCCGTAGCAGTGTACGACGAACTGGCCAAGTTGGACGGCCCAGCTTCACTAGGCCCATCGTTGTTTGCGGAGACTGATTGTGCCACCGATGAGGCCCGAGAGGAGTTAGTAGACCTGGACGTCGTGCGCGACGTCGCGCGCGACCTGTACGGACGAAGCTGACGGCTTGTAGATGGAACAGGCAGAGGATCGTGCGCGACCTCGTTCCCCGACATCGTTGTATTGTCACGATACTTTCCACAAAGTGTCCAGGCCGCCTGAGCAGATAAAGGGAAGGCTGGGAAATAAAACAAAAGGCATAAATGGTATGTCGAGATGAAGGATGGCTGAGGCACGTGACCTCAACGCGGTTAATTAGGTTTAATCATCGCTACTGGTCGCACGCGACGCGCTTTGCCTTCTACCACCACGTCCTACGTTCTGATTTGCCTTCAAGGCGCTTATATAGTTGTATGCATACTACTGCTCAGCGGTAATCGAACGTAAGTTTGACATTATTTGTGAATACGGTCTAACATGAGCTAAGATTGGCAACGTGCGGCGATTTTGAGCTTTAGTACAGAGTAGGATGGCCTACACTTCGTCGAATGAATGGTCGGAGTCTGTCTTACTGCCGAGACGATAAATGCGGTATATGCCGTACTCCTGGAAACATTCATTGGTTTATGGAATTTTACTACCCCCATTGCCGCTACTGCAACATAGAAATCATCGTGGTCGAATGCAGGAAGGATAGACGTTCCATACTATCTTTCATAGATCTGATACGAAAGTGGTAAGTGACTACGGTATTCGTCGGTCCCCCGATCATCTAGGACGCATATACTCAGCTGTTATATTGCGACTATTGCCACCTTTTTTGTTGCCGCTATGGCCGTCCTGCGGTCGGTATAGATCAATATATCTAGGCATACTGCTCCTGGAACACTTCCCGGACTAAGTCCAACGTAAGTCCAACGCGGCTGAAACATATTTTTTTTCACGCGGAGGGAAAAGCTAATCGATGACACTGATGTCTCTGTAAGGGTCCTATATGCGTGTTATAACCCTGCTGGAAGGAAGTCATCTTTCCGATGATACCTTCGAGATTACGCAGCTCACTCGTCAGATGGCGGATGCCCAGGAGGATTAAGTAATAAGGAAGTGATTCCGCCGCCTCTCCGTCTGAGGTGACCTAGTTGGATCCCTGCATGCCAGACGCCAAGTCTGATCCAATTGTTTCCTTAACACTCGACGTGGAGCGAGCGAAAGGTGAGTATCGAGCAGCCTATCATCTACCATGGCCTTATCTGACCCAATCGTTGAATGTCTCAGACAATTATAGCGCATTGGCCCCCGCCTTACTATGCGAGTCAGCTGCAGAGCACGCTTTGGCCATGCTGGCCAATGCTATACTCGCCGCATGGGCCCTCATCACCAAGCGTCCTGTGGCTCAGTAAGTATAAAAGAGGTACAAATCCAGCTGACATTCTCTGCTTTCCCAGCATACACTGCTACACCTGATTCCTAGACTAACCTTCCGAGCCTCAACATTTTGTTGAAGGTCATGCATGCACAATATGGTAAGTAGCCGATGTTGGTCATACTCATCCTCCGGCTGATGACATTCATTTTATCTTGGTCTCCCGTTAGCGGAAAACGGCTCTCCTCGTCCCCTGTCGGACATTTTCGATTCCGAAGGGCGATCAAACGCGCGAGTCACGTGACCCTAATTCCCCCGCGGCCGGCGGCCACGTCGTCGATGCGGGGACGCGGTCACGGTGCTGATCTTTACGGAAACCCATGTGTATGCCATTGAGCTGGCATCTGGCATCTTTCACTGTCTAATTACTCTGGTGGTCTAAGGCTTTGGTCACTCGCGATGGCGGCGGAAAACGAGTCGATCCTGGACAAACTGGACTCCATGGCGCCGACCCCGCTGAAGACGTTCGATGCGTTCCCCAAGCTCCCGTCGACGTACAAGGAGCGCACGGAGTCAAGAGGGTTCCTGACGCTCTTTGTGGCGTTGTTGGCGTTTGTGCTCGTGTTGAATGATATTGGGGAGTTTATATGGGGTTGGCCGGACTATGAGTTTAGTGTGGACCAGGACAAGGGCAGTTTCATGAATGTGAATGTGGATATGATCGTCAATATGCCCTGTGCATGTGAGTAGCCGCTTCTTCGTGGATGGTGCTTGAGACTTATGATCTAGACCTGAGCGTGGACCTGAGGGACGCGCTGGGCGACCGACTGCATCTGAGCGAAGGATTCAAGCGGGACGGCGTACGTCGCCTGTTCTCATTCACTTAACTTCGCTCTGATACCGATTGAACAGACTCATTTTGATATCGGCCAAGCAACTATTCTAAGGTGTGTGCGGGTACTGGAAGGAAGTTTCAGAACCTGACCACAGTCCAGGACGCAGCAGGAGCAGCTTTCTGCGACGCAAGTGGTCGCTCAGTCACGCCGGTCTCGCGGTCTTTTTGCAACCCTGTTCCGCCGGAACAAGTCTGAGTTCCGGCCGACGTACAATTATCAGCGTGGCGGGGGTGCTTGCAGGATCTACGGTTCAATTCAAGTCAAGAAAGTGACAGGTTCGTGACCTGTGCCATGGAATCGCTAGGAGACTCACACACAGTGCTAGCGAACCTCCATATTACGACGTTGGGACATGGGTACGCGAGTGCTCGTCATGTCGACCACAAATGTAGGTGAAGACTGCCTGACGATACTTCGGTCTCTGACACGCGCTGAAGATATGAACCTGTCGCACGTTATCACCGAGTTCTCCTTCGGCCCTTTTATTCCAGATATTAGCCAGCCCTTGGACTACTCGTTCGAGATTGCGCAAGAACGTACGGCCATGTCATCTGCCTCTGATATGTTCTCGATCTTAAATCCATTCGCAGCTTTCACTGCATACCAATACTTCTTACACGTCGTCCCGTCTACCTACGTTGCCCCACGTTCCAAGCCGCTCCGCACCCACCAGTATAGCGTCACGCACTATACGCGGGTGATGGAACCTGACCGGGGCACTCCCGGCATCTTCTTCAAGTTTGACCTCGACCCGATGCAAATCACCATCTACCAGCGGACAACCTCATTCTTACAACTCTTGATCAGGTACGCCCAGTCCTCGAGCCTCTTCCGCATCCTGCTGACTCGCACGCTGTAGATGTGTGGGTGTCATCGGAGGCATCTTTGTCTGCTCAGGGTACGCGATCCGACTCGGTACTCACGCAGTGGATGCTGTCACAGGCGCGGACAAGACGCCCGGCATCGTCGCTGCAGAGGCTACCGGCGCCCAACGCGGGCTGCGCGCCAAATGGGGCGGAGGAGAGCTGCGCGCACGTAATACATCCCTCGGGAAAGTCGTGCGCCAAGGCAACAGCTGGGTCGTGGAAGGCGGATCACCATACTCGAGCTACGCCGGCACGCCGATGTCAGGGGCCTTCGCGACGACGCCTGCCTCGCCCTACCCCGCCTCGCCCTACGCTCCGCCATCGTCGACTTTGAATCCGCCGGGGTCGAGCTTTGGCCTTGGGTTCGGCCCGAACAGCGCGTTTGGGCCTGCACCGTCACCTCGGTTGGGAACTCCCGCGACTGGAGCATCGGGCTTCCCGAGCTCACCTTACCTGCCGCAGTCGCCTGCGCCTGGGAGCGTAGGGTTCGCACATTTCCCGCCAACGCCTAATCCCGAGGCGAGTGGGTTCCCGAGGAGTCCCCCGCCGCCCCCTTCTAGGGCCCATCTTAGTAGCGGGAGTGTTAGTGGGATTCCAAAGAAGGACGATTAAACACCGAGTATAAGAAGTGCATCTTGCCGCCTAACATTAGCTGACTATATTTAGCTGAGGTAGGGTTTCCGGGCATTAGACGGGTATGGGGCCTAGTCTAAGACCAGGACAGGATCAATGGCGACGCCTATGCAATGTACTGTATCCCTTGCAGATGTTACTTATTCATTCCCCCAGATCGACGATGAGAGACTGTCGGCAAATATCTTGATGTCTAGTTGGGTGCAGACTTGAGCCACGTTCTCTCAGCCAGCATAGGGAAGAGATTTCATCTCGGCGCACGCTTGTTGTAACTTACGTATACCGTTATGACATGCCACTTCGTGAGCTCTCTCTTGATGCTATGTTTGACCTTCATATGTGGCTATTGATTGTCTAGGCGCCTTTTGCCACCTCTGGTATGACGAACCATCTCGGAGGCCGCGAAGCTTTATCGTCGATTACGTGGAAATTCATCGCAACCATCTCAGAACGTGTTGCAACTTTACGAAAGGTTATGGCATCGTCAGTAGCTTTCTCGTTCGCACCATTCTAGCCATGGTTTTAAGGTAACAGAGAGTTCTATAAACTGATGGAGTCACCGGTCGGTTTCGCCGTCGTCGATGCCACGACTGTCATATTCTCGTTCGATGAGACCTTCACTTCTTTCTCATCTTTCAAATTCGCGTTTCACATGTATATGGCATGTTCTACGTCGGAGACGCGATATTCTTTCTCCCGAGGCACGTTACACCCTTCGTGTAGCATCGTGACAGTACGTGCAAGTCATTCTTCACTGGAGATACGGTGGTCTTAATTGCAGCGTTCCGGCTTGAAGGTCACATCTCGCTGAGTACCCCGAGTAAGTTGAAACTTTTTTCTGTTCCCTGGGATGTAGCTAGCATGCCCGTCCAACCTGTGCGTCTCACTATTTCTGCCGCTCTTCCTCTGACGGCTCCGCAGATCCGTTCACGCCAATATCATTAGTAATACCCTTTTGTCAAACTCCCTCGGTTTAGCTCAGGCGCGCGAGTCCCATATGTTCATGGTCTATTCTGGATTGCAGTCCTCGGAGCGGTCATCTACCATGATGAAGATGGGGCCCCGTCCGTGGGTCCAAAAGCAAAGGGTAAACATGCAACTGATCCTCTGAGAGCTTTCTTGAAGTTCTATTGTCATTTTCGAGAGCATTCACAACTGTCTCGGTTCGTCTGTTGGTCTCTCAAGTTTGGGCCAACTGTATTGCTGATCTATCGGGGCCGCCGTCGGGATGGTGATAAACAGGTTCTTCGTGTCCCATTTACGTCTACCCCTGACGCTATCTGCGGAACACATGCATTCTTCTTCTTTTATGTTGACCATGAGGTCGAGAGAGAACGAAGCGAAAGCTATACCTCTTCGTCCGTCCATGCGGATGGGCTGAAATGTCAGAACTTACGGCTCCATTTCATCTGTCGCGGTGCGGCACCGCGTTTTCTCAAGCCTCAGCCACACCATCGCTATAAGATTGGTGATTAGTGGTAGGACAGGATGGTTGGCCCGAAGTTGATATGCGGTCTTACCTGGAGCTCGCACTGCTTTCTACCGTGGCCGTCTGCGCGAGTGTGCTGACGGCGGCGGGCTCCTCAACGGCAGACTCCAATGTAGTCCTTGATGGAGGAATACACGTGAGGGCGGACGTTTCGTCAGTTTGTTCCCAGATCGGCGACGCTCTCTCTTCTGCATCAGCCTTGTATTACCCTGGTACAAGCATTTTGTTTACACACTCTTCGTGATGTTAACCCTGAACGCTCGCTTGTTGCATCAACAGGCTCGATCAACTATTTGGAAGACAACTATCACTGGCTTTTATCCAGCTCACAATCCTCAACTTGCACCGTGGAGCCCGGGACCGCCTCGGATGTTGGTGAAGTTGTAAGTTCTAACCACTCTAGAAGTACTTCATTCCCCCTGATTGTCCGTATTCTCTTCTATCAATCTCAGCTGCAAATCCTCGGCGCAACAAATACCTCGTTTGCTGTACGTCCGAATCATGCTCAGAAACCATCGACTATCGAAGCTGACATGTCCCTCAGATTAAGGGCGGCGGACATGCGTCCAATCCAGGCTTCTCCTCCACCACAGGTGTGCACATTGACATGAGCCGTTTTAGCAGCGTGACCTATAACGCTGGCGCATCCACCGCGGACGTCGGCGCGGGTCTCGTGTGGGACGACGTCTACCAAGAGCTGCAGCCGCACGGCGTCGTTGTCGTTGGCGGGCGTGTCTCGGGCATCGGAGTCGCGGGGTTCACCTTGGGCGGAGGTGAGCTTTCCGTACGAGTAACACTGTACACGTTCGGGCTCCTAACGGGAATCAGGCTATTCGTGGTTGACGAGTCAGTACGGCCTCACGGTCGATAATGTGGTCGGGTTTGAGTTGGTCCTGCCCAATGGAACAGTTATGGGCGTGACGGAGGGGTCGAATCCGGATTTGATGTTCGCGCTGAAGGTGAGTGGGATGGGAGTTCCTGTAGTGTCCCATAGTGCGTGTATACTCATCACCTAGCACGGAAAGGGTGGATACAACAATTTCGTGAGTTCGCAACAGGTTTGCAGAATTAACTCGTGGGTATTTAATGCGTCATTATGTAGGGCATCGTCACCCAGATTACGTTGAAGACATACCCCATAGGGCAAATCTGGGTCAGTTGAACTCGTTCTACGCTGTTGAGCTAACCCTTACTCGAGTGCCTCGACACCTCATGTATCCTACAGGGCGGCTTGATAACCTACACGGAAAACACTTTTCCCCAGCTGGCGCAGGCCGTCGCCAACTTTTCGGAGAACAACACGGACCCGAAGGCGCAGATTCTCACCACGTATAACTCCGCCATCGGCTTCGTGTGTCTGATCGTACTTGCCATGCCCGACTAGCAGCTGATCTTGATCCTGTGCAGGCGGGAGTCACGCAGGTCCTGTTCTACGATGCGCCAACGCCACCGGATGGATTATTCGACCAGTTCATGGCAATCCCGTATTTCACAAAGGACGTCGGGACGATGAGCTTCCTCGACTTGGTTAAGCTGACGCCGTCGAACGCCACGGCGAATACCAGGTAAGTTCGCGGAGCATAGTAAGAGAGGTATCCGATAACGTTTGCCGTGACCTCAAGGGGTGTCTTCAACACCGTCTCAATCCTGGACTATTCCGTCGACATGCTCAATGTCATCGCGAACGAAACTACGGTGAGCTTGCCTGTCCCCCGTTTTCTTGTTAACCTTCGCTCACCCTGCTTGTCCGGGGTAAAGTACTGGGGCTCTGAGCTGACCTGGGCATCGGGCTTCCTCGTCTCGTTTGACGTCGAGCCCTTCCTTCCCTCGCTCTTCTCGCACGGGACCACGAGCGCATCTGCCTACCCGCCCTCGCGCGCGCAGCCGCTCCTCCCGCTGAACCTGTGCTGGACGTGGCTGGACGAGGCGGACGATGAGCGCTTCTGGGAGGCAATTACCCAGAGCGCGGATAACGTGAAGGCGAAGGTGCGTCATGAACTGATATCTCGAGCGATGGGTGAATATCTAGCCCCTGAATGTGAATGCCGGTTTGCAGGCCGTATCATTTGGGCAGAACGTCGGCAATGCGCCGTTGTATGGCAACTACGCGATCTTCAGCACGCCGCTGGAGTATATATTCGGGGACCAGCTTGCTCGGCTGCAGAGTATCAAGCAGCGGTATGACCCCGGGAACGTGATGGGTTTGACGGGTGGCTGGAAGGTCCAGGTTTGAGTAGGTCTCGATGGAAAGTTATAGTACCATTATAGCTTGCCTTACATAGGTGCTTGTGGGTCAGTTAATCTTTGAACCTCCTTACCCCTGACTTGTGCCTCCGAACTCAAGTGCGACGTATACCTGTCTAATCATGAGTTCGTCCGACACGACATTCGACCCGGACGGCCGTAACTCTACCGCGAATACAGTTGTAGCGGAAGTGAACCGTTAATATTAAAGGAGTCTTCTATTCTTAGCGTCAACTTCCGATCAAGGCGCGCCACCGATGGATTGATTGGACGTCTTCGCTGCCTCAAGTCAATTCACCAAACTAAACTCAAACCACCTTGTGGCGTCATGCGACGCGTCTATCCTCGCTCCACAAGGCACTTCGCGGTATGAGGCCGTCGATATAAAGCCAGATCATGAGGAATGGGAGGATTATATCTTTGAACCACTGACGAATACATTATGACGAGAGTATGTGCGCCAGCTCGCTTGATTCCTGGGGAACATCACTGACTACACTTTAACGTGTAGAACGAAGTGAAAGACAAGAATGGTGAGCCGATCCACGAAGGCGATAAAGTTGGCACGAAATTCAGAGGAGGGCGGAGAGAGGGTTTGGTACATCCATGAATCTTACCATTGTTCCTTTATTTGCGGCACTCACCACGCGTCCCACGTAGGTCGAGAAGATCGTGACTTCCGACTCCCAAGATACCTCCGACCTCCCAATAGACGTCCAGAATGCACCAAAGGTGCGCCCTGCGGTCCTTGTATTTTGTTCTTGGACACCTTTTTTAACTTATTCATGCGACAGGTCGTCTTTAAGGACCAGCATGGCCATACCGTGTCGCACAACCCTGGCACGCTCACACACGCCAGCGAGTAAATGATCCGACCCATTGATCAATGAATGTCTGTAACATACTTCGAGTGCCATCTTCGTCTTGATTATATGCTTTGTATAATACGCATCTCTCGTGGATGGAATCTCATTCAAATCTAAAGGCTCAGGCAGTAGCTGTGGAGACTACCCGATTCGAACCTGTAAGATATCCAACGTATACATATGTCCTCGAAAAATCTTTATATCATATAATGATCCGTACGTTAGAGTATAAAGACCCATGAGATAAACCTACACTACAAAGGAATGTACTGGATGTAATGTAAATAATATACAACATCTATAATTTTCATCCTCTCCTACAGAATCCCACCTACTAGTATGCTTACTTCCACTTGACCGAGTATTCGCCCTTCCCGCGGAGCTCGGGGATAGCGTCGTCGGAGTCCCCTGCCGTGACTGCACCATCGTTAGTCAGCTTGGGCGCACACACGTACTACACAAAACACCGAGACGCACTCAGATCATTGCCCGTCCCTTTGGGCAGCGCACCCGGCTTCTTATCGGACAGCTCGAATTCGTCGCGGTGGACCTACCAGTCCGTAGTCGGCCTTGCTCGCAAGTAGAAAATCAGATGGACGTGATGAGACTCACGGTGGCAACAGTAGTGACGTGGATCCCCGTCACACTCGAGCGCTGCTGGTGGTCCCAGTGCATATCCGACAGCGCGCCGGGCGCCGAGCGGCTCGAGTCTCCCGCGCCGTTCTTGCGCGCATTCAGAGTCGACAACAGGGAGTTGGTATACAGCTTCGGCAGGGGGAGGTTGAAGATGAGGTGCACGGGTTGAGGCTGCGCGGATGGTCATGTAATTCTAGAGGTGGGGAGATGGAGAGGAGAATTTGACTTACCACCGAGAGGTACAAGACGAGATCGAGGACGGCCCACACGGCTGTAAGCATACCGGTCTGTACAGTGACTTCATGCGGCATGTGAGACACCGCTTTCAATTATGATCAAAGATGCGACTTACGTTTGATGATTTTAGTGACAATGTGATCAGTGACGGCAAAGCCAGTACGGTTGCGTTGCTGAAGGCAGACAAAACGAGCGGTAAGAAGCAGCACTGAGAAAACGCACTGAGAAAACATCACAAAATCGCGACGTACCAGGTGGAACGTCATGGTAAGCGTCAACAGACAGTCCACCGTCGCCGCGAGTACGAGCCACACGACGATGGGCACTCTGACTTGCCACCTGCCCCATTCCGCGAACGGCTTGATGATGCTTCCCGCCACTCCAGTTCCCGCGGCGCCAACTATGACAACACCCAACACCAAGTTCAGCAGGAGGGACCAGAGAGGTGGTGCTAATGCTACATACCGAACTGGACGAAGATAAGGCAGCAGATGAGGATGAAGAACCACCGCAGGTGGGTTAACCGGTAGACCCGCCAGGCGAAGAACCCTTGCACTGTGGCAGCGATGACGCCCTAAGCCGTGGACTTGAGATTCCAACTTTGGGGAGATGCGCGGACGGCACGTACGATCAGAACTGGCCCGGTGCCGGCGCGCCAATTTCCATTCGACGCAGCGACATAGTCACCTGCACGGAAGGATAGTCAGCACAATAGGGCCCTTACCATAACGGGGACGTACCGAAGCTGGTGATGGTGTACTCGTACGCGACGACGCACTCGAAAGCGGAGTTCAGCGTGTCCGCTATGAGGAGGAACCACACCTATGAACCCGCATTCAATGGAAGTATTTCAGGAAAATCGGCTGAATACTCACCAAGAAACGAATACGGGGTGAATCGCTTTGATATCACAATTCAGAGTTGCATAGAACTGCCTTTTCCGGACGACACAGACGACGTACTTCTTGAATGTTATGAAATATAGATAACACTGCGTTATCACGCAACCGAAGAGAAAGACATTGAATAGGACCCCTGCGAAGCTGTATGAGATCTCAACGGTCGGCCTCGAGAAAGAACGCTAATAACCTATCAAAGTGGGTCCCAACCTGTATATTGCGCGTCAGTCGGATCCTGAATGAGGCGGCGGCGGCATCAGCGAGCCTGAGATCAGATCAACTTACACCAGGTCCATCACCGCCATGTTGAGCGACTAAAAGCAGTTTAGCGGGGGGCACTGGAGGGTTGTGAATACAGTAATAATACAAATGGGGAGGACGCCACCACGAGCGTCAACCTGCGCTTTATTGCTTTTGAATCGCGGACCAGAGAGGCTGCTCCCAAAGCGGCGGAAGCCGCGAAACCTGCAGTCCATGGGCCGCCGCCGGCACATAGTTCGAATCGGAACGCAAAGTCCAGCTGTCGATCGGGGCGTCGGATTGGCTCAAAAAGACGCATTGTGGCAACTGATCCGGAGGGGAAGGCGCCCGAGCCCGATCCCGCTGCAGCGTATAATTTCACCGAGATGTCCGACGCACAGCCACACCTTGTGCCTGACCGATGCCTCGATATTTAGTATATATTAGACTCCTGGTCGGCAGAATATACGGCGGGAACGCCAGGCACGACGTCCAAAGGCCGGGCCCGTCGTGGTTGCGTCAAACTGTATCTGAAGGCAATAACTGTTGTCTTGCGATTGTCGCTAACCCCGCTCAAGTCGCAGTCATCAGTCTTCACCAGTCCAGGATTTATAGATGTTCCTCACCAACTCGATATATCGGTGATCAGAGCCAGCGTTAGGGACCACGGACCGGTACCGGGACCACTAACTGTGAGTACAGACGAATCCGGGCTGGAATCGCCATTATTGGCGCAAGCTGTCAGACTCCTATGCGATCAGCACGTTCGCCATCGGCGTACTTCGTCAAGGTGGCCGGTATCGGGCTCACACCGTTCATGTGTGTACGACATTTTGCGTGATAGTTTGGACGTCACGTCAGTCGGGAATCGTGAATAGAGAATTCCATACCTGGAATTTCCGATGGCCAAGGTGGGCTTCTAGATTGATCTACCCAGCATGTCATAACACAGGAGGAACTTGGGGAGACGTCTCTAGCAAGTGAATTGGATCCTGCCGCCACTGCCTCCGTTACTAGCTATAGCATGCCAGATACCAATTTTCGTACAAGCGCGGTTGTCGCAGAAGCCACGGTAATGTAAGCTTTGCTTCAACAACGTGGAAGCAGTGTATTCTTCGCCTTGAAGCAAGAGGCTGCCCGCTCCACCCCGATGTAGAGGATGCCCGAAGCTCGCAATTTGCTGAGGTCAAGATCTGACCATAGGGACGGCATACGTTTGACAAATGATAGCTGATAATAATGCCATACCTGGACTTTCCGACCGTACTCCCCAACACATATAATGGAGCTAAGAGGTTAGTTTATCCAGCGACTGTCAGGGTGAATGCAACAGGTCTGTAGGGTGGAACTTCGTCAAGAAAAGCACTGGAATGTGTCAGACGTGATAGGACAGGCAACGATGAGATGTACGAAGTCGACCGTGGTCACACAGGAGGTGGTGATCGCCATGCCCTGCGGCCAAGGATCCAAGGAAACTGAGATTTTACAGTGCCTGACAGTGAGAAGGCGCGTCGGTCTACTCCCTCCTCTCTGACAAGGCATACTCGACCCGTCATCCACTCCTGAGGTCGAGATATGAGGGTATGAGGAGCCGCACACGACCCGACGCGAACGCAGGAATTCGAAGCGACGGCACGACGAAGAATTAACAGAGCCTTCCGTACATGTTGATGATGCACTCTAATGGATAGATACCTAATGTAAGTCGTACCCGACAAGACTCCTGCGGCCTAGGATCTCGCCAATCTAAACGTAGTCAACACATGACGACGACCTCACACAAATACGACTATTACTCACCTTGAAGATCCCGTACGCCTCGAGTCCGTAAACACCTATCCTCTTCCACTCCCCGTTCCTTAACACCTCTCTCCAGTATGCCGGATTACTGGCACGAGCCCAGAGAGTAGAATACGCGTTGGTGATGGCGGATAATGAGGTGGGGGGCTGCAGACGCTCCGCGACGTAGACCTGCTTCAGGATCTCCCGGGCGACGGCAAGGTTGTACAACAGAGGTTGCTTGTAGCCTAAATAGATGTCATTACTTTTGAGTACTCGTACACTTCAAGCGGGCTGAAACGCGACGAGAAAAATGCAAGCAATATCCATCCCCGCGTGCAAAACCCAGTTGAACACTCACTTCCGAGCAAAGTGCTAGCCTTCTCGCCCGCAGGTCCCAGCATCTTTTTCGCCGTCTCGACGCCCTGCTGCCCATACTTCTGTGCGGCCTCAAACCCCTGCCCGCCGAGCTTCTGCGCGGTCGCGAGATACTCCTGCGCCTTCTTCTGCGCATTTTCCGTCGACGGTGACGAGGCCATCCCGCGCGACTGGCGAGGGATGCGGCGCGCGGCTGCGCGCAACGATGTCGGGCGCATCATTTTTGACGATGCGGAAGGGGTTGGCGACGAAAGGAGAGTCGAGGGAAGGCTTCGAGCCTGTGAGTGTAATGCGAGTTGTCTGGTGAGGGATTGACGACGGGGAGAGCCGGTAATACCCGGTGCCGCCGGGAGTGGCCGGGCCCCCGCCTGTGGCTGCGATTTCTGAATTTCACCAAGTCCGAACATCCCCTTCGAGACGAATGATATCGCTCTGCGCACGTACCACCCAATTATATACCTTCAAATATTCGCAGCGCGATCCGCCCCCGGATACTTGGCATACTTTCTGCGTGGGGCAGAGCCTATTGAATTCAAAGAGGTTGGTCTTGCCACCCGCCGTATGCTGATGTTTAGGGCAAAGTTGCAACACTCTGCAGACCAAGAATGTCTGACTTTGGCTCATGACAGGGAGAAGAGCTTATCACGATCCCATGTGAAGTGCAGCGATATCGAGCCGGACCCTTGCGCCTTCATATTCTATTACTATTAGACGACCCGTCGGACGGATACCGCAAGTGTCAGCCGAACGGCGGTAGATATCGGGCGGATGACACTGACCAAAGCGTTTCATATTCACTATAGAATGAGTAGAACACTTCGCTATCACCCATCCAATCATTTTGACCAGCTCCAGCGGCTCAATTTACCTGGTTGGACGGTCCTCCGATGGCTCTGTATCTCTGCCGAGGCTCGTAAGCCCCGTCCCCTGTGCTACTATTGGATGCTGAAAGTAAACTCTTTCCACTTGAATTGTATATAATCTCAATGGAACTCGTCTTCAGATAGCCTCATGGTTTCCTTTCAGACTGCGCCCGTTATCCCCGTTCCTCATTACCATTGGTTATATCTCAATGTCATGCGCCCCAAACTTCTTCATTGGACCGATATAATGAGGAGAATCGGAGCTAGGCACAGCTAGCCTAGCAAGTACGCTATTCAGGGGAAGTAGGGCCGTTACCGCTTCTCTGCTCTAGAGACTGGCTTGTGCTCTTCGAGCAGCGGGCTGCAGGTGCCTCCACGGGGGACATCACTGGCATTTGAGTCTCTACTCTACTTCGAGCCGGTATTCCCTGCAATATGGTCAACACCTCACCATTTAACTACAGCTACTTTTCCAAAAAAGGGCTCCCCTGAGAAGGTATCCGTTCTGGATCTTGCGACGTTGGAGCGGGTGGTATCGCGCCAGCCTCAAAGGGTCCAGGGAGTGAGCGGGGCCTTGTGAGAAGCCAGCCTGAAGATGTGGATAGCTGGATTTGCTACTCGAACCGCAAGTGACTGTTTGCGTGATGAAGCTGAGGATAATGAACATCTGCCAATCCCCGTGCGATAGCTATATGCAAAAGAATTATGATCAGATTTGACAGTCACAATACTTACCTGTATTGTGCCACACAACAATAACCAGACAAAGGCCAAACTTTGTTCAGTGCCCCTTGCCGCCTTGCAAAACAGATGGATGTTCAAGGAATAGTACTGAGCAAAGATCATTTTCTGTATGAGGATTAGATTTTCGACAGCAGTATGATTCGAATTCTTTTCAACCACTGTTGAACAAAATTAACCTTTGACTGGCCCGGGTCGTTTTGACTTTTCACAGTTTGCCGCATACTCGATATCGGTACCCAGTGAGTCGGCCAGGCTCCTGTACATACAAGATGGTTAAGGTTGTCTATTCAGAGCCTATGTGTTGTGGACTCTGTCGCATCTAGCGACTTTCCCAATCAGCCACACATCAAAAGCCGCGGATGCCGATGATATCACGGCAAGCACATATTTCACCGGGAAAAAGGTGGGTGCTTCCTTCCACTTGCATGCTTTAAACCCTCGAATGCTTCGATCGGGATTGTAGTGAAAGGGAGTTCAACTTCGTCAGTCCACTGCCTGCTAAGTTGTTGCCAGTGCCACAATTCTCTTCGAATTCCTTTTCGAGATATGGTTGTCATCAAAGATATGTCGGCGACCCTGCTTCTGAAAAGCTTGGCTAACGGGCGCAATAAGATATGTCGCGTGCCCTCCGAGCTTGGCATCTGCTTGCCTTGCTTGGCCCAACCGTTTCACGGCATGAACTGCACGCCGACAGCGATGCACACTCGCTTCACCCAAGCTTCACCTTCACCTTCTCCAAGTTCCAAGTTCCTTTTCCCCGTCCTGTCTCGTACAGGAACATGCACGCTCGTTTCATCCGCTCGTCTGCCATCTGGCTATGCTGGTCTGTAATCTCTGTAGCAGGGGCGAGGCCGCCTGTGGACGTCAACTTCCCTTCGAACCCGCCCGCGAGTTCCGCTGTCAATGTAGTTTATGACAATTTCTTGGGAATCTCCTTCGAGCTCAGTTCTTTCAACACATTATGGGGCGAGTCAAACACCACCATACCTCCCGCCATCCTCAATTACCTCCACAACATCCGGTCTAGGTTAGCCGATTCCTCCCCGCTGCGTATACGGGTGGGAGGTAACTCGATGGACGAGTCTACCTACCTGGCCGACCAGTCTCAGATGCTTACGTTCCCGAACCCGGACGCACCTTCGAACAACATCCCGACCAATTTCGGGCCGAAGCTGTGGGAGGTCCTGAACGCCGTGCAGAAGAAAGTCGGCGGGATGACGTTTCTGGTAGGCTTGAGCATGCGAGAGGACCTGCCGAGCTGGGGAGAGGGGAACGTGATCGAGGTGGCTGAGGCCGCCTACAAGGCACTTGGTAGCTCGTTGGATGGTTTCCTCCTCGGTAATGTACGCTCGAGTGCCGGCCATTGCTGACCTAGCACTGAAATCGAAATAGGAACCAGACCTCTACTCTGGCCATGGGAATATTCCGGGTTACAATATCTCGCTTTATGTGAGGCCTTGTGTTTGCTAGTCAACCTTTCGCGGACTGACAACTGCAGATTAACGACGTCGGCACGATCCTTGACGGACTTCGTAATACGCCGTCGGGCAACCTGATACAATCCCCTTTAGTCGGAGGCCCGACTGTTTGTTGCGGATGGTAAGTCTGCGGTAGCCAGAACTATGATGCGAGCTATAGCCATACTCTAGGAATTTAACGGACGTCATCCACGCTGGTCTCGGAGACATGAATTACAAATATTATTCGTAGGCGGTTCCGCATTGCTCTCGTGAGATATTAGCCTAATGCCGAAACTAGAATGCAGCATTACCCGACGCACATCTGCGGCGGCGAGAACGAAAAGAACACAAACATCTCGTATTTCCTGGACCACTCCAACCGTAAGTTGCCAGCGACGCTGTTGAAACGGGCGTCTCATGGATGAATAGTGGATACGTTCGTAAGCTGGAACAAGGAGGGCATCAACCTGGCCAAGGCAACAGGCGTCCCCATGCTCCTCACAGAAATGAACACCGTCTCCTGCGGGGGCTCCAACATCTCGAATACGTTCGCCGCGTCCCTTTGGGTCATCGACGCCGCACTGAAACACGCCGCGTCCAACTTCTCCGCGGTGTACCTCCACACGCGCGAGTACGACGTGCGGTACAACCTGTTCGACCCGCCGAGCGCGCCACAGGACCTCAAGAACCTGAACATCTCGTCCAACGCGACGTCGAACCGACCTGGGTGGCGCACGGGCTCTCCCTACTACGCGGAGCTCGTGCTCGCAGAGACGCTCAGCGCCTCCGGGAGCGTCGTCGTCGACCTGAACCTGAACGCGTCGGAGACGGTCTCGGGGGCGAGCGTGGCTGCGTACGGGGTGTACGACGACGGCGGTTCCGCGCGGGGGAAGCTCGTGCTATTCAACTTTGCGGACGACGCGGGGCAGAACGAGACGTTCCGCATCCCCGGCGGGCTCAAGTCGACCGCGGAGGTGCGCTACCTGCTCGCGCCGTCCGTGCGCGAGCGGACGGATATCAGCTGGGCGGGGCAGACGGTGGGGGCGGTGGGGGACCTACAGGGCGAGCAGGTGACGGCGCAGGTGGACTGCTGGGACGGGTGCGAGGTGCAGGTGCCCGGGCCGGGGCTCGCGGTGGTCTGGGTGGGCGATGATAATATTTGGACGGGCAATTCGACCCTGCCGGATTTCGTGGTAAATGGGGTGGGGAGGATGGGGGTGGATGCGAGGCATGTCCTCGTTGTGTTTTCTGTTTTGTGGATTATTCTCGTGTAGACTCGGGACTTTGGCTTAAGTGTAGGTATTGGATGGGTCGTAGAGTTATAATTTCTAATGTTACAGGATCATAGTTTGGGTAGTCTAGGAGTAGAAGTAGACTTGCGAAGACGCCGGTATTACATGGAGCGATGCCTACAGCGGCATCGTCAACCTCAGCACATGGGTAGCCGCCGCGAATTCGAACATTTTGGATGGATGTGGCGGGGCCAAATCTAAGTATTCTCACGCCATCCTACTGTGTTCAACACGCTTACCAGTACCCGCCGTAAGCCAACTCTGCGCGAGGTACAACACTTACGAAGCTATCCGTATAGCAATGCAATGCCTGGACAGATTTCTCCCAAATCTGTCAATGCATTGCTCTGCACCGAGATGCGCCAAGACCGTGTACTCGGCAGTCCACCGCTGGCGCGGGACAAGGCGGTGATCTCTGCGACACATCAGCGCAGTAGGCCTCTGCTCGGCGGATATGAAGAGCTTGGCTACGAGTCTTGTGCTCTGTCCGAGACCTCCTCCAATATTGCCCCGGGAGGGCATAAATTGCTGTACCGGCTGGACCCTGCGCCTTTCCTTTTCTTTGGTCCCATCCACCCCGGACTTCAATTGAACACACATTTTGCGAGGCAAAATGATGAGGGCTATGACGAGTCTGTCGGTATATTTGCTAGTACTATCTGTACTATCCGTCAACTGTGAACCAATACCGATCTCATCCGGAACGACTATACCCATCGTACGACGGTCGCGCGATAGGACTGGCGCCAACTCGGAGGATTGGGCCCAACGTAACCGAAACCATGTAATTAGCAAATATGCGGGTGGAAACGATAGGGTTAGAAGGGGGAGTGGTATGAATTTGTAAGTCCGCTAAAGCCTGCAGTGACCTTGCAGCTTACGGTACGTTGTGGGCCTCGCAAAGACTAACAAACCAAGCAGTGGACGGAGAGTAAGCTGTAACTCATACGAATGCATTCTTGCGGTACTGACAGATCGTGCTTCGTTAGCTATTTTGGCACTATCGCTGTAGGGACGCCTCCGATAGCTTACAATGTTATCCTCGACACAGGCTCTTCAGACCTTTGGATAGCATCGTCCTCGTGCACAATAGGCTGTACTGACCCTGAAGGAGGCGTCATACCCACGTTTAATTCACATCTCTCGAGCACCTTCAAAAACACAGGCAACTCATTCAACGTCCACTATGGTAGCGGAGCGGCTTCAGGTGTCACAGTTCAGGACGTGGTTCAAATGGCAGGTTTTCAGGTCAAGAACCAGGCATTCGGTCAGAATACATCTTTCCGGGGCTTAGAGATTCACCTGACTTGACGGGAATGCTTCACCAGGTCTGTGCGACCAAGTACAGGGGATCCTATCACCCCCGCTTTCCGGTCTAATGGGGCTAGCATGGTCCGGCCTTGCCAGCCAGTTAACCACACCTTTCTGGCAGACCTTGGCTTCTGCCAACGCGTGGTCGGAGCCCGTGATGTCCTTTCAGTTGACCCGGTACGGATTTCCCTTTGCATACAACCTTCTGACCGACCGCCATCTCTCTGTCAAGATTCAACAACGCTACTAATGTCGAGAGCCTCGAGCCCGGGGGACAGTTCACGATGGGTATGGGGCTTTAAGTCCTCTCGGAACGTTGCGCATTAACCTTCTGTAGGATTTTTAAATCAATCCCTATATACCGGCATGATTGACTACCAGAACGTACCCTCCGATAGATTACTGTATTGGACCATACCCATGACTAGTGCGACTTCCTATCATGTTATGATGGTTCCGAGTATTGAACACGATGGCTTACTTGTCCAGGTTTGACTGTGCAAGGGAAAATGATTTCACCATCACCCGGAGAGCAGTACGCTGCGATCGATACTGGAACGACCTTGATTGGTGGTCCACCGGACGCGGTATCACAGATATATGCCAATATCCCCGGTTCAGAGCCTGGGACGGGAGGATACACGGGATACTATCTCTATCGTAAGCTCCATTTCTTCTGGCACTGGGCATCTCTGCTTGCATCTCGGTTTTCTCGTTCTTAATTCACGCTTCTTCCCACGAATTGTCTCGGCTTTAGCATGCTCTACGAAAGTCAACGTCACGATATCCTTCGGTGGCCCCGCCTGGCCAATCTCAAGTGCCGACTTCCAACACGCAGCTCTGCAAGATGGCAGTGGGAAATGCATTGGGGCATTCTTCCAAATCCCGACAGGCACGGGGGTACCTTCATGGATTATCGGCGACTCGTTTTTGGTAAGTTGGACTGCACGAGGTTTTTGTCACTTGCGCCGCCTGCTCACTTGTCCAGAAAAACGTGTATTCGGTATTTCGATTCTCGCCACCCTCCGTCGGGTTCGCGGCACTTTCGTCTGTGGCCACGGGTATGAACGGCGTCCAGGCGCCGATACCAACCGCGACCATCGGGGAACCTGGAACTGCGGTCACTGCAACAGGCATCTCACTCCGGAACGACGCATCAGGGCCATCCATAGGGTGGATGCATTTTGTCGCAATCTTTATGATATCTATCTTGCTGGAGTTATGCCTGTTGTGATGTCCTCTGTATTGTGATGGTCGTGATTACGGCTGTAGCTTATGATATTTTATGTCGGGACGAACAATCTCAGGGCCTTACGGTATATTGACCTAGCGTATGGTCGCTGTTGCCATTCGGGAGTGGCATCGAGACCAACTAGTCTTCATTCTCCGATCGCCAGCCAAGTTAGGTGCCTTAGCGCTGACGTGTGATGGTGGCGCACCAGCGCGGTGTGTCAGGTATTGAATTCATTGTGAAGGTGCCCTCAGTCGAAGTCCGTGTTCCATGAACGTTTTCGAGTGTCGGGTGAGCGGTGGCTCCGACTCTAGCGTTATAGCACATTCGAAACTAGTTGTCCCTGCGTTGAACATTAACCATCTGACAACTTCACGGGAGGTCTAATTCAGTGCAGATGGGTCTACAGACTCGTCACGGAGATATTTGAGACACTTACAATGTAATTTCGTATCTCCAGGCAGACTGGTGGGCACCGTGCTGTAGAGTGGAAACCGCAGCAATATCGCGCCCACATAAGAGAGAAGTACTCATCGACGCTGGGCGGTTCAGCAGCTCATAACAGAGCCTCAGTGGTGAGTCCATTAGCAGACGCCGACGAGGGCATAAACCACTCACAAGTTCTCTCCCAGTCACCTGCAGGTCCTACGCTCAATATTCATTGTCCTCCCATCTCATCGCGATTTAGGTGGCTCGTAAGTCTGTGTTACCCATTATGAATCCAAATGTGTAGCTGAGTCGTCGCATGCGCATACCTCCATTGGCCTGACAGAACATGAGATTCTCTATTGTCGCCACAGTGTTGTGTCTCGTCTTAGCCCACAGAACTAGCGCGGCTATCCTGGAGGGACGTCAGATAGTCTGTGATATCTTTTGTCCTCCGCCGCAACACTTGTGTCCGCCCTGCAATTGTACCACCGCGGTTTGTTCCCCGACCAAGAGCGGCCTGTAGGTTTTTGACCTTATTTGAACGAGAGATCAATATACTACTCTTTGCCAACATAACGACTTCTGATAAGGTACATTGTCGGAGCCGGGGTCCCGGGGTATATCGAACGCCACCATCTCGAACGACAGAGTGAATAACAATGTTGCGACTCAACGAGACACGTACGGATAGAGTACCGTCAGCGCCCTCCCAATTGCGGGTTTTAGCCATCATGAATTCGACAGATCCCACCACGCACCGTCAACGCAAATATGGACTGCTCGGGCCAGCTGTACTTGGACCGTGGTGCCTATATCGGGTGACACCGTAGTATCCGGCTGGGGTTGGTTTCGCAGGATAGAGCAGACATTCTCGTGGGTGTCAGGAGAGAATGGTGATTACGCCACAGGAACACGGAGGTCAGATAATCAGGGCATGACAATCAACTGCGCTAATAGCTTGCCGCAGTATTTCAGGGCATCATATAAATGTAGGGCCCGCGAACAACACGTCGGGTCGGAGAACCTTTTCATAGAGCCTTCGTGAGTGCTTGACGCCCGGATCGCGAGTCACTCCTGATCGCAGTCCGTACAGGTCCTCTGAGTTATTGAAACAATCCCATTCCTCGAATCACGGACGGCATCCCATTGTAAGTCGGCATTCGTTTGATCCTCGGATAGGGGCTGAAGTAAATATAGGTACAGGACAGAAAATGAGACTTACCATGCTCAGCACAGTATTTGTTCTTGCGCTGGCTCACATGGGTAGAGCAACTTCAACGGAACCCATAACCTGCGATATTGCATGTGAATTGGGGTACCACCTCTGCCCGCCCTGTAGGTGTACTACTGAGCCTTGTTCCCCCGAGACAAGCACTTTGTAACACAAGAACTGCCCACGTACATAAGGGACGGTATACCGTCTGGGCTGACTTCTCGGAAAATGAATGAATATCATGCTGTTAGTTGTAATCAGCCCGCAGTGAGCTATATATGATGCGCTCCCAGAGGTGTTTGACGGCATTCTAGTGTATCGCCCTTTCACTCGCGTGGCCGAATACAGCGACGATCGAAACAGACGTGGAGTCTCATTTCATGCACAGGGCTGTGGAGCTGGAATGAATCATGCTCCAAGGTACAGCACGGACGCACGAAATATCATTGGAGATATGGTCTCAAACTAGCTGCATCATGCAGTCTTCCTCTCCATTATGGGGAGCGTCCGCGTGAGGCGAAACACTCATCTGGCAGGCAGCGGTAAGAACGAAGGTTTCATGATCACTTACCGGAAGTGATGGGCCTTCTTCCGGAGTCATCAAAAAAACCATGCCAAGTCTGGCCGCAGTATGCTCAGAGATTAGCTCGACGTATATAACATGCAGAGAAGAACTCACAAAAATTACACAACCAACTTAGTGAAGACGAAAACGTAAGTGGGGAGTACAGGTCATCGATTGATCCTCACTGCTACCTCAGCTCGCTGTCCAGCTCGAATTTTTGGTCTCCGTGTGGTCATACTTCGAACTTCAGGGCCGTACACCCCGTATGTCACTTCGGCGTACTCATTAGTCGAACCGAAAACTGAGCCTGCAGTCTATCACAGCGCACGATGAAGACCGCATTCTATACGCTGTGCGTATTGGTGGTAGCCGTGGCAAGCAGAGGCGCTGCAATCGAGAAGCGTGAGCCGCGATGTGCGATATATTGCCCACCGCCTCAGGTGTTTTGCGACCCGTGTGGGTGCGCTGCGTCATTTTCCGAGTGTCCTGTTGTCGGGCGAAGCACCCACATCGCGATGTGATAGCTGTCTGTCCGCACTCCAGCAACTGGATTATGAGACAGGTTGGGATCTGCAAGATGGAGCGCAGCTTATGATACAATCCATTATTTCCTTCGATATGCCTCGGTGTGCCCACTTTAGCATCATGATCCAGAAGGAGTGCCCCGACGTACCTTCAAGATGGAAACAGCGACTCAGAACTTCGCGAGGATAAATGACCAGAATCATAACGGGTGATATCGTCCTCCAAAGGTATGAGTTCCTTCATGCAGTAGCCGCTCAGCGTTACCATAGCTCTGTCAGCGGTCTATCACTAGCTTAAGTTGAGTTACAGCCGTTTGCAGATCGACAGGCCATCCATTAGAATGTCGCCTACAGTCGGAGTACGGCGGAAATGGTGCCAGGGACGCCCAGAGACGTCGGGACTCGTAAGAGTCCAGATGGTCTGATTCTGGTGTCTCAGGGACTTCCATTCACCTCTCCGATGTGGTCCGACTATGAACGATTTTTTGAGAAGTGGGCCCATCGATCTGCAAATGACTGTAAGCAGTCACTGAGTCAGTACTGTCGCTGGGACTCCAGTGGACTTACAGCCATTTGCAGATCGATGGGCCCGCTTTCTGAAAATCATTTACAGTCGGACCACGTCGGACAAGCAATTTCAAGTCCCCGAGAGACAGAAATCGGACCATCTGGACTTCTCTACCTTCTTCCGACGTCCCTGGCACCCACTCCGACCCACTCCGACTATACGTGGTTTTCTGAATTGATGGTCTATCGATCTGCAAGCGGCTGTAGGTAAGAATGGACTGCGACGAGTGAACTGTGAACTTCACAATGATCAGATTTGCTTCAACTTGCCCTGATCCTAAACGCGTGACGTTACGCGTCATTGCCTCCCGGGGCATTCTTGTGTCGTGCTCAAGCTACATGTCAATACATGTACACCTATTTACGCTTGAAACCGAACAAGGCTGCACTCCATTCTACAAGTATCCCCGCATACATTGTCTCGGAGAGCCCGGTCATGCTCCAAACAAAGATTAATTACAGTACGTTATCTCAGCTGTTCAAGGCCCCGAGTCCAAGCTGCCTACTTAAATGTTGTACCCACTAGATTGGCGTCAGGGTCCGGAAGCGGACATTAGACCTCTCTGATAAACCTTTGGCACGCAGGCCCTGTAATCCCTGAGGCGGTAAGCATCAACAATCGCAAACCCATGTGGAGGTGAACTTTCGCTCCTGGTATCTATTACCCATTCTCTGGACATTTGCAAACGTCCTAAATTCCAACGATCATAGGCGCAATCGTGAAGCAGAAGGACGTCGTTCGCCACGCGGCCGAGCATGAATATTTCGCGTACCAACGGTGGGAAGTTAGTGGCGAATTATTGGATTTCGGAGCAGCCGACAATTGCACTGAAAATAGGGAACTCATACATTATTCTTGGCACGTGATGAGTCGCCGTCATAGCCAGCACTTGCATACTCAAATATATAAGACAGGGCATCCAGCTACCCCGTTTGCATGATTTTCCCATGTTAATATCGAATAAATTCAATAGCTAATACAGTCTCTAGGAGATCACGCACACTACTTGTGATACCATTCGGGGCGAGTTCACGGAATTCATAGTCAACACCCTACACGCCACCACGATCCCGAAGAGTCTTAACTCAGAGCATGATGATTGAGAAATCTCTGATTTCCGTTTTCCAAGACACCCATAACATTATTGTAGTTGCCTTCGTCGGGCATCTCGTATCCCGGGGGCGCATACGAACGCGGAGGCGCAGTCCCCGGCGGGGAAGAGGTAACTATCTTCACCTGCTCGGAAAGCAAAGGCTGGTCTGTGTTTGAAGCAGGGACAAAACCCGGAGCGCGGAAGGGCAAGAGGACTATTTCATACTGAGACGCCATTCGAGTGCGATTGAATCAGCAGGGGAAGACATGGGACCTCTCAAGGAACTGACTGACGGTAATGGACACAGTTGGGAAATTGAATGTCGGTGTGGATGCATGTTTGACCTCAATTTCTCCTTGCAGCGTTCTCTTAAATGTTGTCTCTGAGCTTCCTGCGCCCTCTAAGGCAGCGTCGTCTATTCTCCAAACAAGAGCCCTACTAGAGCTTGTTTTGAAGGTGTTGTCACTCCTTGACTTACTGCCGGGGGATACGGCCATTACTGATCGAACCAGGAAAATTCTGCTGGCACCGTGGCTGCATAGGAGGTCGATAGCCTGTTGGTCCTGGCCGGATAATGTGAGAAAGAGATGAACGCGGCTTCCTACGGCGTACGTCAACTGTCGCCGAGCCGTCAGCGTCCAGGCGAGCCATCGGAGCTCATAGTAAACTTACTGGCACTGAAAGAGCTAACTGACAAGGAGACGTATAATTAGAGGGATGAATCTTCGCATACGCACGTCTCTGACCTGGCATTGGATTTCTACTTCTCTTGAACCGAAGAGCGTACCCTTCATTGGGATTCTTGGTAACACTTTCCATCCTTCAGGGTCAACGTCAGGACCGGGCAATGGGGCTCCGGCAGCGTATGCCTTTTGCCTATGGGATGAAGGGACTTCCCCGGTGCTTTGTGGTATAAACCCGATTGTCTGAGTAAGGCTAAGTAAGTGATTAGTATTGAGTGAGGCCGCACACTGATGGAGACACAATCTTACATTGACTGCGCTCGTAAAAGCCCTCGCTTCACTCGCACGACGATCTTGTAATCGATATACACAGGGCTTGCTCTTTCGGAGAAAGTAGGTGGAAGTCGATATTTCTCTCCGGGCCTGCCATTATATTTTGAAGCCACAGGAAGTTCACTAGGTATGGTGATAGAGAATGGCCACGAGTTTTGTCCGCGAAGTGGGCCATCATTGGCGGTTGACGCCCACAAGAGCTGTTCCTCAGTTAGGAAACGAACTTCCTCTTGGCCCACGGAGGTCGTTCCACCCAGAAGCTGGAGGGTAACTGGGTGTAAGAAGGTTGTCTCATGAATGTTGAAGCAGAGCTACGAACCGCTACTGCTACGGACTTGATACCGTCGGGCTTGTCCAGTTCTACCTCTACTGTGCCAGTAATGGCGTCTCCGTCATTGAATATAGGCAGTGATCGTGTGCTCGCTGCACGGCTATTCTTGATAATGAGATTCAGCCACTTCTTCCCCTTGCTCTCGAGCGAACACTCGTGTGAGGGGGCTCCCCCAGGCCCGTCAGACCGAATTTGAAGGTTGGAGTCTTCCCTCGTATAACTCGGCAAAGCATCGTCCACGACCATGTCGATAGACAGGTGGTAGGTATATGGGACTGCGGAGTAGAGAAGCACTAGTGCTTCCGGGATCATGAACCTGATCTAAAACCCTGGTACCTGGCGCTGCTAGCCTATAGGACATCAGCGATAATGAGAGTTATCTACCGGAAATAGACGTTTCGACCATCGCATGGCCCGGGCACACAACGCGTACAGTATGGGGTGCTCAGGGTAAGCATTTCATAAAGCACAAGCCTTGCCTCACTGTTATAGGAATGTGTAGATAGAGCACTGTGAGGCTCGAACTGGCCCAGGGTAGACATAATATTGGATATCAACGCTAGGCATACGAAGCCTATCATTCCGGAGCCTTGTTCAGTCCTGACAGAAGGTGCAAGGCGTCCGGTAAGTCATAATCAGGGCTCATTTCCAATAACGAGAAGAGTAAGTAGGCCGTATCTTCGCACATCGACTCCAGAGGTATGACACTTCCTCCGCACTCCTCAGCGTCGCAGCTGGTGCGTTACGTACGACTAGACCAGCAGGGTGCCATCTCCGTCTATTACCTCTGATAACAGTTATGTAGCGAGAACAAAGGCAGAGTCCCCGGCTGCTACGAACCGCGGCTTCAAGGCGAAGATGATTGAACCGTTTGTACCGGAGAGGCGGGACCGATTCTCTCTGAAATCAAATCAGTCTTCTGAAGCCGAGACTTACCTGATGGCCAGACGTAGCATTGGCAACAAGAGCGCAAGAGGACAGTCTCGAGCCAAGGCCAAGGCCAGGTACGATGAAGCCGCACGGCAATCGCATGCTTAGATTCGCGTGCCGATATGTCCGGGACAGCCAACAGGTTATGAAGAGACACAAAGGAGAATGTGGCCAAAAAACTGTGCTGTATTAGGCGTGGTGACAACAGCCCTACGGCGCCTCAAGGCGGCAAGGATCAAGTAGATCAATGATTCGTAACCCAGATATTGGACTTCTGGAAGCGGAGTGTTGCCCTTGCAGAGACATACATTGAAGGAAGTGTGAGCATACGGATTATACTCAAATCATGGATGGGAATCGAGCCATTCTGCGACCCTATCTATCAATTCACCCTTCTTACCAGAGACAGGTAAGCTTTTGCTCTTGCAGAACTCCTTGAGCTGATCCACTCGGAGCTGCAATGATACATCATTTGATGTTCATCAGTGTTAGGCATGTTCCGGTCCCGGAATACTTACTTTGCTCAGAGTTCCAGACTCGTATTTCGACCGAATTTCCGCTTCTCCAACGCTGATGTCCTGAGAGGAGATGAAACTTTAGTTCACATCCCATCATCAAGGGGAAGAGAAGTTGGAGGTCAAAGAAACCGTGTCACTCACAGCCTTGCGCTTTGACCCGGTTGTGGCAATTGTTATGTGCGATGATTCATCATTTACGAGTGCGAGCTTCCAATCTTTCATGAGCGGACCGGCTCGCTGTAGCGATTCAACTGGGTCAGAAGATGACCTAATAAGTCAGTTTTACAAAGAATTACCTTGTGGATCATATCATACTTCGGAATTGTCAAGTCCTCGAATGTCTCTGGGTCATATTCTTCTCTGAACGCGCTTGCCTCCAGCTGGGCGTTATGGTACGCCAACGCTGAGGACAAATAATAAGTCATGAGCCTCCGTAGTTCAAGCGCGGACGAACCGGGATTTGGGTAAGCATCTGGGGGGTAAGTACCGTTCTTCACAGACAACTTATGTATCCAGGCTTTAGCCGCATCTCTGATATCTTCCGGTGCTAACCAGATGCAGGTAATGGTAAATTCCCGAAATAAGGAAGAGAGGAACGTACTGCGCAAGGCTTCGTCTATGGGCGCAGCTCTGATATCATCCGCAAAGGGCAGCGGGATGAGGTGAAATCCGGAGGGCTCCATCCAACCCGTCTCGTCTGGTTTCTCCTCCTAAAGTTCGGAAGTATCAAGAAAACTTCTTTTCGGCAGAAAAGCCGGCAGAGGGCATACTTACTTGCGGAAGCAATGCGCAAAAGATGGGTGATGAATTTCGCCGCAGCAAGGCCAGTGCTAGACCAATCTTGTCCTTCTTAATCATAGACTTCAACAAAGCGGCGAACGTCCGTTTACTTCCGGAATATGTCTGCCTGCTACATTAGTGGAAATGTACTATCAATGGAATGGGAAACATCACCATTTCATCGGGATACACGAAAGTCGAGTGCTTGACATTATCCTCAAAAAGCAACTCCGATCTGTCCTTGAAGCCGAGCAGCTTTATTCCTGAGAGTGAGAGGTCAGGACAATCGAAAATGAAACGGGAATGTAACTGGATTCAACGATATCTACCTGGCTCCAAGCCCAATGTGCGAAACGTCTTCACTTCCTCTGCGGTATAAAATACCTGCACATAGTAAGCCAGGAAGCCCCACGGGAGAATGTACGGCATGCTCACCCGACAGCCAACTGGAACGAGGCGACCCCCGGCTTCATTTTCATCAGGATTACCGCCCAGTGTCATACCGTAGAGGATCTCAGGCTTTGGCACTTCTTCTGGTTCGTCCTACGTGAAATTGGTTTGCGCTGAGGTATGCAAAAGCAAAAACGGACGTTCGAACGTACGATATCGGTCACATCGGCGTAGACCGTCCGTGATTCAGCCACCTCCATCTTCTCCCCCAGATCAACAAAATATCTATACGATCCTTTCGTCTGTTCTGTTACTAGCCCATACCTTTAATCATGAAATTAGGGATGCGCGGCCAGCTACATGAATTCCTTCACCGACCCTTTGACGCCAATGACAAACCCGTCGGCAAGCTGGAAAGGCACATTAAATAGCGAGCGTTTCGGTACTTCATATATTCGCATCTGGGAGATCAGGTCTTCTATTCGAGTAATGGAGATCGACTCGGGCAGCACAGAAGCAGGCGAGTCGGGGTCGTCATCTGCATCTTCAAGGTTCGTGGGCAGCAAGACGGACTGCGAGGCTTCAATTAACGTTGAAACAGATAGGGACCTCTGACACTCACAGAGTAGAACTTGCTCGTGTCAAAGGGCTTTTCTTCCGTACTGATAAAGAAAGGCTCCACGTTGACCCCCGCTTGCGTGAGATCCTAGGGAAGCGTCAGAGTTTGCAGAACAGGGATATGACTATCCGCACAAGCAGTGTTGTCTGTGCGGAGGTCAGGAGTCTCTGCCCTCCGATGCCAGGATGTGGATTGTCCTCGTCTGTGATCAGGAACACACGCTTTGTCGCGGTTTTCGGTGCTCTAGCAGCATTTCATATTTCATGTGGGTTACCAGAATAGAGGGAAAGAAGACCTGCTAACCCATCACGTAGTACCCAATTGCAACTGGTGAATACGTCTCCCATAGGTACTCGCTTCCCCGTTAGGGGAGGGAATGTTTCACGCAAGTACTCGGGATCCTCTCTGGCAGCTGCAAAGACCATTCAGAATGTGTCAGACCTTGCAGATAGTACGCAGACCATCGAGCAATTGCATGAGTTCTAAGACCTTTGGTGCGCTGATTTGTGCAATAGGCTGATAGACAAAGTTATTGTGTTTGATCTCAGACCCCTGAGAGGTAGACTCGTTTCTTCTGGTCTATTCGTCGAAGAGAGACCAATGAGTGGAAGTCAGTAGAAGCTACCGTAGACATTACAGTGTTGAACAGCATAATCCCGACCGAATCGTTCGGGCCGACAAGGACCTTACGCTTCTGGATCTGCATCGCAGCTTCCAGGGCGGAGTACAAATGACATGTTTTCGTGTCTTCGTACTTCGGGTCGTCATAACTCTCAAGCATAGACTCAGAGCAGTCTATACAAAATAGGATAACATCTTTTTTGCCCTCGAGCCACTACCGGAAGGAATCGCGTCATAGTCGAGACAAGGAACGGGCGGAATGATTTACCGATGTGTCCTGCAGCTCGTCTTCGTCGTCTTCGTCAATCTTATTCCAGTCGTCAAATGGAGCCATCCTTCTACTAGACCTGATGTGAAAACCAAAAGTATAGGGCGAAGGCGGAGTGGCAAGTTCGGTGCTAAAGGCGACGCGCTACGCGTGGAGTTCGGCAACGCGTGACCCGTAACAGTGTCACGGGGTAAGTAGGTTGGAATTCGTCGGAGTCGGGCCACCCTCCCTAGTTTGCCTTGTAGTGCAAGCCAGTACTGGCAGTGCGTTCGTCCGGAAGGTACTGACCACCCCGAATTCTTGCCTCCGAATATCAGGATGGCTGCATCGCAGTTGTCTGAGCTGCGCGAAATCACCATTTCCGACATCAAACAGATATCCTCACCGCCGACGCTCAAGATACGCACCGATCACGATGTGGAAGTATGGAAGATGACCCGTGGATACCGAGATTATGGAATCTTTTTGCGCAGGCTCAGCGACTCTGTCGTGGGGACCTTTCTCCCATGGGAGCCTGAGTCCGTGAGCCAGGTGGCTTCGCCGGTCTTCTGAACTTTGTCTTGAACTCGCTAGCTTATACCATTTTCCCCCGACAGGCAATCACCAGCCTCACAGCGCTTCTAGACAAGTTGGACTCGTTGATTGACGAGATCCCTCCGTTACTGACTCCACAACGGTTTGGTAACCTCGCGTTCCGGACGTGGGGCAAGCGCTTAGAGGAGGTACGCAAGGTTGCCCCTTGGAGATATTGAGTTAACACCCGTATTATTAGGAAGCAGACTCGCTACTGTCGTCACTGCTTCCCTCACATTTATCAATTGCAGTACCGTTAATTAAACCGTATTTCCTGACATCCTTCGGACACTTTGTCCGGATGGACTACGGCACAGGTCACGAGACGTCGTTCGGGCTGTTTCTACTGTGCCTTACCCTTGTTCGGTTTCTGCACCCGAATCCAGATGAAGAGCGGCAGATAGTCCTGATCCTCTTCGTGCGATATCTCAGACTCTGCTGGCGCTTACAAGACGTATACAAGCTGGAGCCGGCCGGCAGCCACGGGGTCTGGGGATTGGACGACTACAGCTTCCTCGGATACATATTTGGCAGTGCCCAGCTACGAGGTAAGTCTCTCCTTGAAATTACAGGTACATGAGCTCGGCCAATGTACCCTAGACCAAAGCGAAATCCCGGTCTCTGCCATTCTCAGACGTCCCTTACCGCCCACGAATCTCTACTTTATGCAAATCACGCGGATTCACCAGGTTAAGCATGGTCCATTCCACGAGCACTCGTCGCAGCTACATGCCATCGCAGTCGGCGTGCCTAATTGGGGCAAGGTAAACTCCGGATTGTTCAAGATGTACGAGGTAAGCAGATAGCTCGTCTTAGCAGCACATCGGTGTTCCAACTATCTTCCGCCGTAGGCAGAGGTGCTGGGCAAGCGAGTAGTAGTGCAGCACATTCCCCTCGGCGGCCTTCTGGAGTGGGATGTCAACGAGACGGCCCCGCAGTCGAACGGAGCTCCGCCCGCGCTCGGGCCAACCAATGTGGGCACGCGCGCGCCTTGGGCTTCAGCGGCGGGTACACTTGGGAATGATGCACTTACCCGTGCTCCGTGGGCGTCGCGATGAACTGCCGAGTGGGTCATATTTTGGGAACAGATCCCACAGCGTCAGGTAAGATTTGACAAGTGTTGTATCTGACGTCTCATGTGAGCGAATGTCTTTGACATTGCTTCTGAATCTATCCGCGATTGTTTCACGACTTGATAGATAACAAATGGGACCGCATGCAGTGTTTGTACCGACGTCTTTGATCTCGTCCCTGAAATGCAGTGCAAAACGCCGGTCCTTTACTTTTTGTTGAACGCACTCTTTACGCACCATCATCTCGGCGTCTAGTCGAAGCCCCGCCAGATACTGCTCGTGAGTGTTATGTGACTCGCCCACAGTTGCAGGGCAAGGTGGTGTATATCGAGTAAGCCATATATGATCCCCTGAAAAGGGAGGAACCTGCTGGCACCAAGTGCAGACGTGCAGACATAATCAAAGGGTAACGGTGCCGAGTAACACAGCCTCGGTACTGGTAGATAATTATGTGGCTCGGAAAAGTGCTTTCACTCGCGACACCTAGTGCATCCCAATTGCAACACCCATCTCCATCCAGTTCCTTGACACCCCCAAGCATGCACTCACTGGAATCCATTACTTGAAAAGTCCATGCTTATTCCCGGGCTGTGGCCTTCTGAGACTCTAGATCATGAGGTTTGAAGCAACGCGGGGCGAACACAGTATCGACAACTAATAAAGCCCCTCGAATCTTCACATCTATGACTCATTCAAGGTTGTAGGCTATGTAGCTTACACCGGTACGGTTGTTTAAGATAACCTTTGGTATGTGGGCCCTCCTTGAGCCCCAGAAGGAGCTGGAAACGCTCTGCCACAACGGTCCCGCGCCACTGCCCCGCATGCGAGTCAACCGGAAATTACCGGACTTCCATCGATAGAAATTTGTAGGCTGCTTTCGCCGAATTTGTAAGAGCGAACCCTATCGACCGACTACGTCGACGCCGCCGACAGAGCATTCACTGGACCTTCTCTGCCGTCGTCACTGAGCTGCACGACGCAGAGACCCATCGCGCCAACATTACTGACCAGGAGAGGAATAGAGATTTACGTCTCTTGACCCGACCGTACGTGATCTGTGCTCTTCTGCCATCGAAAACCCCCTTTCTTACGTTCGCGATGTGCATTGCAGGTGGTCATCTGTTCGAGGTAAATGTTTTGCATAGATTTATTTCCAGGGCCTGGACGTGCTGACGTTTAGCCAGGTGAACCTCCCTGACAGGACTTACTCCCATCGCCGTATTAGATCAACCAAGCACTTTTCTCTCGAACCTCACCATCTCCTTCGACTTTCTCACCTTTCTCACCAACTCTTTACCTTCTACCCCGAAACCTCTCTTCCTCGCTAAAGGGGGCGAGGAAGTTACCTGCGACTGAGCAAGACCCAGAACTTACCGCTCCTAGTCCGCCCGGTTCTCGCTGACCGCGGCGGGGGGTTCGGTAAACCGGGTTTACATCTATCAAGACGAGCATCACCTGCACTTGTGCGAGCGGCCCTATAGACGCTTCGCGACCCTGCGATTGTTCTTCCAACAAACCATCATCAGATCTATCTCTTACTGTTGCGCTTTCACCAAAAAAATCCAACCGCATCAAAATAACTTGCGACTCGGCATCTGAAACCCATCTTCCCACATATAGAACAATGTCTCAAGTCGAAGTGCTCTCGGCCTCGTGCCCCGTAGACTCTACTCTCCGTGACTCGCTGTCTATCTCATACCAAGAAAAACTTTCATGGACGACCGACCTCGTCACCGGCCTGCTCTCTACGTCCCCTACCTCGGGGCGCGGTATCCAGTACGAGCCGGCTGCCATCAATCAGCGCGAAATCGCAGGGGATGGGGCTGCGCGGCACCCCGAGGAGGATGGGCCGATCTTCCCGTCCTTGCCGCCCCTGCTGCGCGGGCATCCCACCACACACATGCGCAACGGCATCATAAGGGCTTACCGCCTGGCCGCAGCCAATGAGCCCGACGCCGAGAAGGCCTTCTTCGTCGCCGACCTGAGTGTCGTATACAGGCAGCACGAGAGGTGGAAGCGTTGCTTGCCCCAAGTGGAGCCCTTCTATGGTACGTGATGGTTGACGTTATATACCCCTTTTGTTGCCCTGGCACTGATTGCGCGCTCTCACAGCTGTCAAGTGCAACCCGGATCCATACGTCCTGCGCCTATTGGCCGCCCTCGGGACGGGCTTCGACTGCGCCTCGAACGGCGAGATATCACAGGTGCTCAAGCTGGGCGTCGACCCGAGCCGGATCATCTTCGCGAACCCCTGCAAAGCCGCGTCCTTCATCCGCAACGCGGCCAAGGCCGGCGTGGACATGATGACGTTCGACAACACGGACGAGCTGCACAAGGTCGCGCGCACGCACCCGCGCGCGAAGCTCGTCGTGCGCATCCTCACGGACGACTCGAGGAGCCTCTGCCGGCTCGGGCTCAAGTTCGGCGCGCCGCTCGTGAGCGTGCCCGGGCTGCTCGCGAAGGCGCGCGAGCTCGGGCTGGACGTCGTGGGCGTCAGCTTCCACGTCGGGAGCGGGTGCTACGACTCGTCGGCGTTCGCGGACGCGGTCATGCGCGCGCGCGCGGCGTTCGACATGGGCCGGGAGGCCGGGTACGAGTTCTCGCTGCTCGACGTCGGCGGCGGGTTCGAAGACGCGAACTTTGAGGAGAACGCGGGGGTGCTGGCGGGAGCGATTGATCGGTATTTCCCCGATCGACAGGGCATCAGGATTATCGCCGAGCCGGGGCGATTCTACGTCTCCAGGGCGTTCAGCCTGGCAGCCAATATAATCGCGCGGCGCGCGGGGGAGAGCCCCCCGGCGGCTCCGGACGCAGAGATAGATGCCGATCAGCCGACGGTGATGTGTGCGTGTTATTTCCTTGCGTTTTGCGGTATAGCGCGGAGTTATCATATCAGATACTGATACTGCGATTGGTTTTGGCTGTCTCGCAGACTACATCAACGACGGTGTATACGGGGCATTCAATTGCATCCTGTTCGATCATCAGAAGGTGCACCCTTACGTGCTGTCGTTGGGCGGGTCGTTCCACGTCCCGGGCGCGGAGGCGTTACGTACGGCGGCGTGCAGTGTGTGGGGCCCGACGTGCGACTCGATAGACTGCGTGTGCCCCGTTACGCGCCTGCCTGCGGCGCTGCAGGTGGGCGACTGGCTCGGGTTCGACAACATGGGTGCGTACACGATCTGCGCGGCCAGCCAGTTCAACGGCTTCGAGGTCAGCAACGTGATCTACACGAGCGGCGGGGGGCCCGGAGACGCGGAGGTCCGCGCGGTGCTGGGGGCGTTTGCGAGGGAGGGTCGCGGCATTGAATAGGACGCTTTAAGACTATGTATTAGGCCTGTGATGGACCTTGGACGGACGAGCGTATGTGTAGAATCGTTGCCCAATGGCGGGCGTGGGAATGTGTGACGCTCACGTGGACTCGGTTCCGATGGGATAATTGCGGGTGTTGTTGATACCCCTCGTGACGTACGCTGCTGAGCCGAGGCGAAATCTGCTCTGGTGACGATCAAAAACTGCGAGCATCATTCGCTGCGCTCGAGGAGAACTGTTTGTCCGCGTTTTCCATACAGATGTGGGTCCAAATGTACGTGAATTTCGGAGACGCAATTTGGGGGCGAAATGCAACGTTGGGCCGGAATCGCAACGCTACATTTTATCCGGCGTGCATGTGCAGGATAGAGTTAGCGGCTAGCGTATATTAGCTGATAGCGTCGATTGGAGACGAGGCGTTCTTCGGGGAGGCACCGGCTTCTCGAAGGGCGAGCGACGCGAACAATAGAGACGAGGGCCCGGAGACGAGGGCCCGGGCCCGGAGACGAGCTGGTTCGCGGACCCGCGAAGCTCGGGCGTCGACATGACGAGGAAGGGCGTCGCAAGGGGCCAGATCGGGGGCGATCTCGGACGAGATTGGCCAGTGCGCTCGGCTGCCATTCCGGGGCGGGGGAGATTCGAGTGTGCCGCGTCCAGGGCAGATCTCCCCGAGCCGGGCCGCGCTGGTCCGCGTCGGTGCCTTGGCCGCTGCCACAAACGGACGGACGACGCGCTCGACTCGCCGGGCCTCGCGCGGAAACTCCCAGCGAGCAGTGATGGCCTGCCCCCGGTCTAACCAACCTCGTCCGCTGGCCATCCCTTCGGAAGCGGAGCCATGCCGTTACCCGTTGCCATTTTCTAGACTCTCCTGTGGCGAGCACACACACTTCCAATTCTGACATGTCGCCCATGCGGCCACATGCCCTGCCCTTTATTTTACCGCGCCCGTCCCGCTGCCAGCCCGCTTCCTTTTCCTGCTCTTGTCTCCCCGCTGGTTCTTTCCAACTCAAATGGACGTGAGTGCGCAACGCTCCTTTGTACGAATACTCGCTCATATACTGCTTGCAGCTCTCGTTGCCACCGGTAAGCGCCGACGGCGCAAAGTACAAACCATACCCGAGTTCAAACCACCAAGTCAATACCGCGCGTTACATCACTAGCAATGATCCTCGTGGATACATGTTGGTGGCTCTTTGAACCGATCCTTGCTTTGTCTTTCTTAGGTGTCTCGTAACAGCCCGGTCTACGAGTACCCCCTGAATGGCCAGTGGATCATGATGGACATGGACGACGGCTACATCTTATGGACGGGCATCTGGAAGGGTACGTGTTCTCGCCTGGTTTCATTATCTGTACTCACTTCGACCGCGTTCAGCTCTTGGAAACTCCAAAGGTGGGATATTAGACTTTGGTGGTCTATGATAGTTACTGACATTGTCCTAGCGGACATCGTACGGATGGTCGAGTCCCAGCCGGACCTCGCATCGCGCATCCGCCGCGTCCGCGGCGGGTATCTCAAAATCCAAGGAACATGGCTCCCGCACGACGTGAGTGGCACTTCGTCACCCCCAAGCCAGAGCCACTCTGACTTGGCTCATCCCACCAGGTCGCCCTGCAACTATCCCGCAGGTGCGTTCATTGCCGCTAACCCCTTTCACTTTTCACCCACGTTTTGCCTACGCAGAGTCGCCTACCCAATCCGCGACGAACTAATTCCCTTCTTCGGGTGAGTGCGCATCCTAACCTGCAATGTACGGTACCGAACTTTACCCTGCACAGCCCGACCTTCCCCAGTACCTGCCTCTCCCCCGAGCAGCCAGGCTACGGCCGGCTCGTTCCCCGCACAGCGGGGCGCGCGGCGCGTCTGCGCCGGAGCAACAGCGGCGGCACGAGCACGAGCGTCTGGCTCGCTACCGAGCCCCCCGCCCCATCCCACAGCAGCAGGCGGCTCTCAGACCCCCTGCGCCACGTCCCCGGGGCTCTCAAGATCCCCGAGCAGACGCAGACACAGACACAGCAGGACACGCAGCGGTACTCGCCGTACCCCTCCGCGTCCTCGTCGTCGTCCGAGTCGCCGCGCTGGTCGGACCGACACCACAGCCCGCCGTCTGCGTACCGAACCCCGCCGTCTGCGTATCACCCGCCACCACAGTCGTATGAGTACCGGGCTCATAATAATGGCGGTGGCCCGCTGCAGCCGTACAGCGCTGCATTGCCCCAGGGCCCCATCACGCTCCCGCCGCTGCAGCCCCGCGCGCAGCGCTCGCTGAGCGTCACGCTCCCGCCCATCTCTGCGCTCGGCTCGGGCGGCGGGGGCGACTCGGGGGCGGTGCTCCGCCGGCTGAAGGAGAGCGATGACTATGAGTGAGCGGCTCAGATTGCTCTCGCCATGCCCTCGAAAATGCTCATGTTGCTGTTCTATCTTGCTTCTAGGCGGGGGAGACCGGGACAAAATTGCCAGCCCCATGCAAGCCACATGAACGGGTACCGCCCGCCCGCGGTCCCGCAGCATTTCCAGGCAGACCACCCGAGATTCCGAGCATCGTCCCTCTCGCGGCCGCGCTGACTTGGGCCAGCACACGCCCGTACTATTCATCATTTCCGCGTCTGCCTCCCACCCCCACCCCCCCACCTCACCCCACCAGACGCGACGGGCCCCCGTGTGCCGTAACGTGCGCACTTCGTGAGCACCCCCGCTAAATTTGTTGTGCAGGGCAGGGCACGCGCCGCGGCAGCACTCTTTATCGTCGTGCGTCGTTTGTAAGACTCAGAGTGTATCATACGTAGGTACGTTACTCGATTGGTATATTACATAGTCGTAGTCCTTCTAGCGCTATCGCAATTCAATGGCGAGCCGGCTGCATATTGGCCTAGTGATTACTGTGCACCACAGCGCTCTTCTGTGCGGGCTGATCGCGCCGGTGCCTGGAGATCTAGAGGCCCGTTTACGTTCTGTTATGCATGTGCGATATGTACCAAGCAAGCTTGAGGCGATCGGTATACCCGCATTAGAGTTGGCCCAATTTGAAATGCGCGCGCGCGTCCTCGACCATGTGGACCTCAGGGCGAGTGTTGGGAATCCAGGGCGCGGAGGATCGTCGGGGATCAGTAGAACACCACCACCCGCGGCGCGCACGAAATCTTCGCGCAGCTGGAGGGTCTTGGGTTATTCACATTCCTTGATGCAGATCGTAGCAGAGGCCGTGGAGAGCCGGTGGCGGTTAAGTGGGAGCTCGGGGCTCGTGGAGCTTGGAGGGCTGGGATCACTGTTTGCAACATTGTATCTGGATGGGAGACGGCTGTTATATCAATAGTCAAACGCGGGATACAGAGCACGACTCGGGATTCATGACGTGGACGGAAAGGGATACCCGGCGTCCTCGCAGACGCTAGGAAATGGAGATCTGAATCATCTGATCTCGAGGACCTCGGGGGATGACAAGCACCGGGCGGTTTCTGTGAAGCCCGTCTCGGCCTGGCGCAGCGTATCATCATCAGCCTGAGCGGCGGCGGGAAAGTGGAAACTTCACTCGGAGCCGAAGGCCATCTTGTCCAGGGCGGGATGCCACTGGCAGTGGATATACAACTCCCGCACGCAGGTATTCTTAGCTGTATGACATGTGTAACCATGCCAAATCCGCTCCCTTCGTGGATACCTGGGTTAGCCAATTTGCAGGCCTGTCATGTTAGAGTGGTCACCGATCAACTATAGGACAGCTGTTTCTCTGGTCCAGATCCATTATGCAAGCGCACTTGCCATGGATCTCTTCTCTGTAAATGGTCAGGGACTGGACGTCCGAGCTGTAAAAGGGGGAGAAGTCATCAGAACTTCCCTGTAGATCAGAGTACAGCAGAGCAACGTACATTGGCACCGTGACTGATACTTCGTCGGTCTACATTCCAACGAACGGCTCGAAAGCTGAAGCGCCCGGAAGCATTTCCCGCCGCACGTGGCAACTCGTTGGAGCCCCGCTCCCGGGCAGTTTGCTCACAGTGGCCGTTAAGATCGTAAGTCCGCACTGAAATTTATGAACAGCGTCGAAAGAAGAGTTTTTCCGTTCCGAGTGCGTGGCGTCGAAATATAGCTTGAGGGGTCGAGGGGCCCGTCGCAGAGCATGAATGCCTTCCAAAAATCAACCTCTCGGCTTGCACCCTAACCTGACCGTAGGATATTTTGCCTGTCGTATTCCGACTCTGTGGTACTCCGTGTCAGCGACCACAGCCTGAAGTGAGTGCTCTTGATGAACGCTGGCAGGCGAATTATATCCTGCACGCTGGAAATGGCGGTCGCTGACGGACGTCGAAGCTGAATTTGCTTGACGCACCCGGCTATCTGTACATTTGCTACGACAGTTGCCTTTTCGAACATGCCCTCAGGCTCATGTGCTACATTTCGATTGCTATGCAATCATGCGGCTTTTGGGCTCTACAATCCCGTTTGCCATTCCGATGGAAGTTGAAATGCTCGTCAGTTTCATTTTCGTCTTCTACGTTCTGTCAACACACTCCTGGACACTCATTTCTTCCTTTCAGGTGGTAGGTGCCGAGTTGCATCCCGAAGCTATTCCTGCTACATGTCAAGACTTCCTCGATCCGAAGAGAGTCGTTCCGTGCAATTACCGGCACGAAGAACGCCTTGGTGGGCTCGACATTTCAAGCGGCTAACTAAGAACAGATCCAGCTGGAAGGCAAAGATACTGCCCCAGGTACTCTTTTGCCCCCATTCGCCCACTCAGATCCTTCGCTGTTCAGCAGGCTTGCCCACACGTGTTGGTCTTGTGGCGTATGGACACACCCTGGCCTAAGCCAGGAGATCGCTGGCCCCGTTTGCCTCGAGGTAACAGATCCCCGTCGATAAGAGACGATGCGAGCCATTCAGAGCCCTTATCATGAAATCGAGGCACGTGAAATACAAAGCGGCGAACTCAGCGTTTCCTAGATCCGAGAAAGCAAAGGGACGTTGGTTATTCTGGACTTGTGCGAACTTGTCATTGCACGAGCCTCGTATAGCTCGGTCCCCTTGCTCCCCTTGGTGCTACCTTCGCTCTTTTTGTCACAAGCGCTAAGCCTGGTGAGTACTTCCAAAACGTCTTCAGAACGTTGACATGTTTATCACCGATGTCTTCCCAGTATCCACTCCAAATCGACGCTAAGACTAGCAGGCTCTGTGGCTTCCGCCACCACCGGAGGAAGGAGCGGTTGAATTGATCGCCGGGTGTCGTACTGTCAATCCGCGTCACTGACTCGGACTCGATGACAAATGCACAAAGCTTATATGACCTACTGACCTCGGGATACGCGTCCCATGATTGCTCACTACAAGTGAACAGAGGTACATTGACGGCTTAGGTCTACGTGTCTTCGATATCCTACCGTGATTGCAAGTACGTTGGCCAATCGCAAGCTGTTCACGTCAAGTAAGCTTCTTTCCCAGAATTCGTTACCAAGCTCTGATCGAAGCACGTGATGCACATAACTGTCGTTCAAACCATCCGGTGCATGGTGTTCAGTATCAATGAGTGGTCCTCTATTCCTTAGTAGTCCGCTATTGAAATTATCTTGCCAACCTTTAGGCTGCATCCAGGATCGGTGACGTGAAGGCTATAATTATCCAACCGCTAGGCGGCTCATCCAGTGCCCTTCTTCTATCCTACTTTACCAAAAACCAAGTGACAACAAGCCGGCTGAATCTTCGCGACTTCAGACTACTCCAGCACTGCACAACTACCCGAGAACAGAAATCGCAGCCCCAGGTGACCATCAAATTATGCGGAACGATAGACGGATCACTACCGAAGTAGGTAAGACTTGAGATTACAGAATTTTCTTTAACATCATACCTGGCTCCCTTCCCCTCTTTGGCAGGTCTGTATGTTGTCAAGACATCATATATTATTGGCTTGGTTATAGGGACCCGGGCTTGCGATTCTCGCAACTGGAGGCCAGAGGTACATGCCAAGGCATTGCATTCTCTAGAATAGGTCCGTGTTTTGTCACTATCGCCCCTCGCAGATATCGATTCTCCGATGACATCCAGGGCCTTGTATCTCAAATCAATGGTGACTAGGCCGGTAGTGAGCGATCCTCCACCTATTCGGTTTGCTTCCTGTCTGCGCCTTGACTTGCGCTAATATTACTCTGTGCAAAACCGCAATTCAAATCCCATCGCAAAGCAATAGGAACAAATGACACGGTTAAGATCAAGAGGAATCTCCACTCAAATATTCCCGAGAGCCCACAGGTCCGCGATGAAATCGCATCATCCACACATAGTATGTTGGGTCGATCTCGCCCATGTTCAAGTTTGTAAGCGCGGTACAGTCGACAGCCCGCCTGTTGCAATCGAGTGAACGCAGCGGCCTCTCACAGGCCTCTTAGCGACTGCAACCCTATGTAGGAGGGTGAATACGAAACATCGGTACTTGCCCAAGTCAAGTCCTTGGAAGACTTGGTTGACCAACATGAGCTAGTGCATTGGTCGCTCGGCGGGTCTCCGAGTTGCCTCGTGAGTTGGATAAGGTTTGGCGGTGCCACTGCGTACTACGAGACCTCCCATACAACATCAATATCTAGCGCATCCCCCTTCTGAATTCACCTCGTCTTGTTCTAAATTTATTCAGAGTGGCTGTCACTTCTACTGATTTATATGGTTACGGAAGCCTGATATACTAGCGTAAAAATCCGCATTCTAGACAAGCACTAGATCAAGGCATCGCGGGCGCAAGTCTCCATTAGTTCGGTATTTCCTCTTCGTAGTTCCCTCGTTCTCCAGGGAGGCTTTCGTGATCCCGCAGTGTCGTCTGATACATCCAGTGCACTTCCAGTTCCCACAAGTTCAGCCGCAGGTGTGTAATCTTCGGCCCGCTGCCTCCATAAAGCCTAAGAGAACGCTCGTGTCTGCAAGCCTCGTCTCGGCGATTGCGGCGCTGGGTAACGGACCTTGGATGTGTCTGCCACAGAGTCCAACCAGCTCTGGCGAATCACTACGAGGTCCGAGGTCTCGGGGTGTGTAAGTTACATGCGCTTATATCGCACCTATCATTTCGGTGGACTGGTTCTGCGCTACGGTCAGTGGGACACAGAGCTCGGGTTTCATGTTGCAAAAAGACCCGCACCAATGATGACAAACGCTTCTCAGGAATCCGCTATACCGCATGAAAACCGGTGGGAAGTAATATGTAACTCTCCGTCGATACAGCGTCAGCAGGAGGCCAGCTAACGTTGTCCCGAGAGACGATGGTGCTTAGGGGCCCTAACGCAACTCAAAACCCCTTGCCAAGGGTATGGTAGCATTGCATAGCGTACCTCTCCGCTGGCTAGGTTCGCGCCGCTTCAATTGAAGTTCATGGTTCGGTTCGAGGGTGGTGACAAGCAAGAGACGCATTGTGGAGTGTCGCCGTACATCTGAGTATAAACGGAACCCCGGTTTTCTTACTGCTCCCGAATCTCTCGCACGCGCTCGCACCGCGCCCCAACTTGAGGTCCTTCTGGTCTGACCCAAAGACTTATGACCGGGGGGGGGGGGGGCACGGGAGTCAATCATTGGGTGTCCGGGCACCTGTCCGCTCTATATTCCACTCCAGTCCTGAATATAAACTGAGGACTCGAAGGTCTGACGCGAATGAACAGGAAGATGCCTTGGAGCTGTTGATCTCCAAGTTAGCTGGGATGATATTGCAGATGGAAGGAAGGGCGGACCTAGCCCTAAACAGCTTCGGGCATTGAATAAAGATAGTATAACGCAGCCTTTGACTTGGTGGTTATGCCGTATAAACAGCAGTCCGAGTAGCCTAATGACTGAGTATTCGCCGCACGCTTACCTCGGTGGCAACAGGAAAGGCCAAATTTTTACCTGTCGAATCCACACTGCATTTGGGCAAAGGGAAGGACCGAACAATTAGCAGGATCTTTCTGCATATGCACCATATGAAGCTGTGAAGCTGTGGTTGAGAACTGCCGGCACTTAGCCGCCACTGGCCTGCGTACCATAGCAAGGTATGGGAGCACGGATCTTGTCTGCTTTCCCCTTCCAATATTGTAGCACAGACCAGGATCAAGAGCGACCTAAGGGAGAATGAAGATGATCAGGTCAGTTGGTGACTGAGAGATCAGGGAGTGTGCGCAAGCACGCGTCATTTAGAAATTTACTAACGGACTGGCTCAAACCCTAGCAGGCATGCACGCTAGTGGGTGGTCCGTCCACAACTCAGATATGGTTCGTCTGCGATCATTGTAGAAGGACAAGCCCAGGGTAGATGAAGGGTCCAAAGTTGCGTACAGCATATGAACTTATACGGATTTATCGGAGGTTCCGGATGGCCGGATTATACCTTGTCATGCATCAAATATAGAGCGCAGGGCTTGGATCAAGGGCGTCCTTAGCTTCTACACCAGGGATTGAGTAAGAAATGGAACTGCTAATCGTGACTTGCGTTCAAGGGTCCCGAACGTCGCCAGGAGGACAACCGGGCGCCGTATCTGGCCACCCCGATACAATGGTGCGGGAGCCCGCTTCATGCTGACTGATAGTCTAATGGTGGTCTGTCCCTAACGCGAAGTGAGCGCAACGATGGGACGGGAGGTACACTGGCTTACAGTTCCGTGACTTGGTTCAAAGCAATAGTGTACGCACACGCCGAGGTACCAGCACTATGCGACGGACGGAAAACACCTGCATTGGAATAGGCGCAGATTTCTTACTGAAGGAATGAGTGGTCTCGAACATTGTGTCGCATGTGTCCGCCGTCGGTCGCAGAGACCAGCCAGTACGGGAATAGGGAAATTCAGGACGTAGTGCAGTGCCGTACCATATGCCTCCCAGATCGAAGCTAACACAGCTCATAATATTAACCTATGAACGTTTGCGGAGATGTCGGAAGTGGAGAATAACCGGAAGACTCACTTTAGCATGTCGTCTTGACATTCGGTATTCACGAGCGAGCGAACAGAGAACAGAGATAGACCGGGACGCGAAGTAGACCATACCTGCGTATCTACATGGTATGGTGTGAGCAATCAGCGTTAACAAGTGCATGCCTTTCACAGCCAAGATATCTAAGGGAGCCGTAAAATAGAGCACGAAGACGAGCAAGCTTCACTTCGGTCGGTCAGAAGGATATCCCTCCGATCATCCGACCAGAGTCGCCGGAACCAAAGAAATACATTGCACCAGTCAATCACTTTACATCAAGACCAACGCGACGGTACCCAGAGCGGTCGCGCCGAGCACTGCATAACCAGATCGGTACGCGCCCTTGAGAGAAAGGACTGAAATATCACAGACATAAGTATCGTAACAACACTGGTACAGAGCAGCGACTCACAGTATCCCATATCCCAGCCCAGGTGCCTCAAGCCGTTGAACGAGTGGAAGGCGAAGGGCGCAGCGAGGATAACCTTGCCCGCGTACTTGACGGAGTCGGGCACTTGCTTCACGTACTCGACCACCTTGGCGCTGCTGAAGTTGGTGGGGGAGATGAGGTAGGCGAGCGAGAACCCGTAGAGCACTGTAGCAGATGTCCACGTGAGTACCATTTCCCCCTGCAATATACGGGGGAAATACACCCACAAACGCTGAGAGCAGCACCAGTCATACGGTTGGCAATGGAACCGAGCCAAGTAAGTTGCGGCTGGTAAATTGTGAAGTGGGGGCTCGATGGACGCTTCAGGCGCTGCTTGTTCAGAATTTCGATCGAAGCAGAGGGCGGCAAGGACTGCGTCTGAACCCCACTACACTCGACTTTAGGCCTCGTTTCTCCCAGAAAACACATAATAGAACTCACCGCTTAGCAGCGACATTCCGCAACACGATCTGATTCCTGACTGAACAATGAATGCATTCGAGTCAACCGCAACACTCTAGCTGCAGACTCTTGACTTTCGCAGCCTTACCAATTCTTGGGCTGAATACAGCCTTCCTGAGTGCTGGCCCAAGGCCGAGGACGCGCGTGGACATCATGGCGGACGATGAGGACGAGGGTATGTGAAAGTCCCGCTGCCGTCCTCCGGGTCCGCCCGGCACGTGATTAACCGGTCGCGTCGGCGGTCCGCCGTGCTGCATATTCCCTCTCATCTCTCAGTTTGCATCGAGGGACTTGTGTCTGCTGCAGCCGCATTGCATCGCTCTGAAACGTCTCAAAATATTCCGGATATTCGATAAATCAAGCGGTATCGTGATGTATGTCACAGTCGCTGGTGGCGTTCAAGGTGCAAGACCCCATAGAGAAGGGAGTATCATATCTGCTGCCACGGCTACGATAGGGAGTTGGTATGGATGTGCACTGTTGACTAGCGACGTCTGATAGCCAAGGATTGTGTTAATATAACATAGTTGGAAAGAACGAGCCAGGTGAGAGTGTAATTCACTGGCATCTGCGCCACTGGCAGTGCTTTCTTCTTCTGTACGAGCGATAGTCCAATGCTGACGATCCTAGGACGTATGTGACATATACCATGCCTGTTGTTAGGCTCTTCTGCAATCGGGTTTACTGCTCTGGAATAGGCTTTCGTTTCATCATGGCCTAATGCCACACTTCCTGTTTTAGGACGGACCTAGAAGTCACGGTGTGATCATCGGGGAACCAACCGGTGATTCACCTCAAGACTCGTCTGGATAGAGAAATGTACTCGTTCGCCGAAGTTTGAATTTCGTATCATCATCCGTGCCAGAGTACGTGCTGAGCTATATACAAGTATGATCGTGATTGTCATGCTCGTAAGCCCTTCTCCTCCTCTCATACACTCGTTCCCGCACTAACCCGAGCGCCAACCCATTCCCCAATAACCCGACCAGAGGTGATAAATGAAAGTAATAAACATGCTAAAAGTACAATTCGTCGCACGCGAACGAAGTTCAAGGAACATAGTAGGTATCCGGAACACACGTGCAGCTATCTGCAGTGGTGGAAGGGGTTATCTTGCGACAAAGAAGGGCGATGGAGGGTCATGCGAAAGGTTCGAAAGTGGTGAGTGTCGGCGTTACGTGAGTGGTAGTGTTACAATCTGAAAGCCACCATAAGCATCAGATGCGATAGCATGCCACAACGGTAGGGTAGCGTACTTACTCATCGGATGGTCGTGTCGTCAAGCAGCGTCCTACGACAGCCGCATTCATGCAATGACGCAGTAGGAGAATCCGCCCGTGCCCGCCGACTCCTCGTCCATCGGGGGGTAGGTCATGCTCGTCTCCTCTGTCGAAGAAGAGGTCGAGAACGTCACAATGGTCAACGAGTCCATTTCTTCAGCCGCGACGAAGACGAAGAGGAAGATATCGCAGAGAAGGGTGCTTGCTGAGAGCGCCGCTGGATTCGATGAAAGCCAATTGCTTGAGGATGGGTCGGCCTGCGACTGATGCTCTTATACGAGCACTGAGGTGCCGGGAAAGCAGGATCTGCCCGTGCCTTTCAGTGCGCAAGACAATAGGCGTAGTTAATCATATCTCTGCTGTCGCGGGGACGGGTATATGACGGCTCCCTGCGTACCCATGCGCGTAGCACAAAGTTTATCGGTGGCGAAGAGACAATAGGATGGCCGGCGAGAACGCGATGGTCCCGTCGGAGATCGCGAGATCCATCTGGACTTGATCTCAGTAGAACAATAAGGCCGGCTTTTTATGGAGATAGAAGTAGGCACGGAGGCACAGAATCTCATGCAGACGGTGTATCAGCCGCTCGCTAAGTGGGCTCGATGACGAATCGCTTGAGAAAGACAGTGCGGTTCCGGAGACGAATATATACGAAGGTACTTCTACTGTATTCTTCTACTAGTACTAAAGATACATCATTCAATATCGCCTATGCGACGCTCAGACGCGAGATCACTGCGCATCTTCAATACGGGATGAATCAGCGAAACGCTAGTAGGATGTGGCAGACAATGGTGAACTTAGTATTCCTCGGGGTGTACATCTCGCCATAGAGGTTTCGCGTCCCATGGGACCATCGGGTTGCCTATCATAACCGTCCACCGTGACCAGCGGGTCGTTCAGACGAAACTTTTCTGAGATACTGTAAACCGGCACCTGGCTTCCCTTCTCATTTCGGTGGACCTACAAGCTGGACCCACATTGCCGTGCGTACCTCACATCACTGACTTATTTATCAGTTTCTTTGTCTGTGGCGACACAACGATCGATGTTATTCTGCAGACGGTGGAAGTAGCCTGCGTCCTATGAGTGCTTAGAGGTACTTTCGATGAAAATCACCCGCTGGAAATAATCAAGCGAAGAGTCGCGTTGAGCATTGAGGCTCCTACGATGCATGGCCAACGTAGACAATGAGAATTCCGGCCTAGGTCAGGCAAACACGTGCGTGCCCATCGAACAAACAGCTGTGCCCCCGTGTCTATACAATAAAGACGGGTACCGGCTCAGCCTCGAGGGAACACACTTATCGCCTGGCACGGAGCACAACGGTGATCGGCACTTACAGGTGCCGTAGCCACAACCTGGAGGGACAGCGCCGATGGATTGTCTCTCTCCTTATTGTCCACTATGGGCACGGTTCTGGGAGTTCCGAGGATGATACGGAGGAAGATATGAATGACCAATGAATGGGTAGTTAGTGAGAGCTACAACGGTCGAAAAGAGATTTGTCAATATTGTGGAGGCTCGGAGCGGAACAGTGAACGGGACGGCGCCTTCCGAGCAGCTTTCGGTGAACGTACAATGCGCAATCTGGATTACCAGTTTGGTCCAGCGCGCGATACCTCGACGATTGGAGCCACGATATGAATCTTCTCAACTTAATTTCGGTCACAGATCCATGCACGTCAACATACGAGACTGACCTACGTTTCTTCAGTTTATCTTTACTTATCTTGGAAAACCTACCGACGTGAGTGTCGGAAGTTTCAATGGTAATTCAGACTAGCTCGACAGTTAAACATGGTCAGTCCCACAGCAAGAGCATCGCTCCGTAACAGATGGACGCGATGGAAACTGAACGTGCTTACCTGAGCATAGCAGCCGAGTAGTAACTGGTATGGTCGGTCCATGGCTGTGGCTTGAAGGGAGTGAATACTATATGCTCCGTTCACTTCCAATAAGTCATTCAGGTCCAATCTTGAGTTGATATTGGCAGATGATATCCCATATAAACTTAATTTGATAGCCTCGGGTAAAGTATCGCGATCGCTGTCGTCCTGTAAGACATACCGCTCCTGCCTAGGGCTTAAGGACCAACAAAAAGCCATTGTTTCTCCAGAGACAGGAGTTAAAATATTAGTGCGCCGCGGCCCGCGTTTTGCTTGGTTACAGTGGTAACGCGCTGTCCTCCGATGGAGAACAATGAGCTGATGCCAGTGCAGTGTCATCAGCGGGAAGCGGCATCAAGGGATCGCAGGACACATGTGGTCCCATTAGCATCCATGTATCGCATGTATGATTGCGTTCTCGGGCTCGAGAGACCATTGTCGACGTAAAGTGCAGGTCTACTCACCGACAATGGAGTCGGGGCGAGGCACTACCGCGGATGGTGTTCCTCCGGCAGATATGTATATATCGAGCTCGCCAGCATAAAGAGGGATTATCATCCAAGGAACATCATCATGAATAGAAACCGAGACTTCGAAGACAGCTGAGGATCACTTGGGGTGAGAAGACGGTCGATAAAGAGGGAACAAGGCGCTGATGGTGTACGCCAGAAATGGAAGTTGAGACGGGAGAAGGCCCTGCGTTCAGGTTAGGGTTACATTGTGGCTACACAGCCCAACCTAATCCGTGCCTGCACCTACATCTTGCCCCCAGCCCTCTCAATTTTCTAATACCCCAGCCTCTAGGAAATTGATGACGAGTGCATACACAGTATACGACGCAACGACGATCACGGTTAGGAGCTGTGTCCGATATTAGAGTAGTACTTACCAGTGACGAATATGCAGACGCGATCGTGAATTTAAACAGCCACAACTGGATTGAATTGGATTCCGTAGCCTCTATAAACACTGTCTCTTATTTCAGGAGTCGTCGTTACGGTACGCTCTTGCAGGTCAATCTATGGAGATTCCAATCCCCTCGCTGACAGCCTCTTGGGGGTCCGCAGTACTTCGCCTTCTTGCACCGACTGCACGTCATGACTGGCTTATCCTCCAGTCCACAGAAAGTGCAGCAAACCTGGTTTCTCCGTTTCCGCCGCTCGTCCTCTTCCTCCACTATTTTCGTCAGCGTCCCGACTCGCCATTTCTTCGTGGCCGTCGTTAGTAGTTGTCTTCCGCAGGTGAGACCTTCATTCTCCTTGATGTCAACGTTTCCTCCGTGTGAGAGGAACCAAGTGAGCGCTTCCGCTGCACGGGGAACATTCCTTCGGTCCCAAACCGTACAGATCTCGTTCGCCGCCACATCACCGTACCGATTTTGGTGATTGATATCCGCACCGGCGTCGTACAGCAGTTGTGCGAACTCGGGATCGAATGCCGGTTTGGTTGAAATGCAATGCGCGAGGGTAGTAGTACCAGTCAAGTCCGTTCCGTCGACCGGCACCTTGGCTTCGTAGACAAGCCAACCCGCAACGGCAAGATGGCGGAGACGCAGGCCGGGGAGAATCAGCGTGGCAAGGAGCAGCAGGTCGTAAATTGGTACTTTGGTTGGACCCCAGTGCATGGCGTACAGTTCGTCTAAGGCTGCCATTCGGGCCTTGTCTTCAGTCCTATCCTTAGCCTTGTGTCTTGCGACGCGTTTCTCGAAGTCTGCCTTTACCTTATCGAGGTCACCCATGAAAAGAGCTTGTCCATATGGGTCCAAGTCACGATTGGGTTCCATAGACTGCGACGTGGCATAGGTCCGAAGGCGTTGCGCTTCGACTCCTTTCACGGACCCCTTGCTGCAACGGTCCACTAAATCAGTCGCTAGGTCACAAAATTAGTACAGATACATCCTACGTCTTAATGAGCATTTCTAGCGGCCTAGTCGTCAATCTCCGTTCATTAACAGCCCGAGGCGCGACAGTTTACCAGCTTCAGCTTACCTTCCCTGCCCTTTGTCCCACGATGCTGCGATCCCCATGGCACCAGCCCTCAGCATCATCTCTTCAAGAGACTGGTTTTGCATCTTGATGTCCTTTGCTGAGAAAGGCGGGAGACGCGTTTGAAGATGAAAGACGAGAAAGGGAAATCGCTTGTCGTGGCACGCGATTGGTCGACAATTCACAGGTCTAGCACGCGCAACGGTCACGTGAGACGGGAATGCTCTCCGTGATCTGATTCTGAGCCTCAGGCCTCAGGTCTTGACCAGACATGGCGAGTCCAGTCACAGAGACAATTACCGTCAGAACAGATATCTTCCTCATTAAAATTTTATTTGACCCTATTTGACCCAAGCGAGTTCTGGTCATAGGAGACTGTAGAGTACACACAGGGCGCAAATCCCAGAAGCGTATACTACTGTTGACGCTTGAGGGCTACACTCACGAGATGATTCCTCCCGGTTTCATGTTGTCCCAGCCCATATCCGCGTATGTCCATCCCATCATATTGCCCGGATCGATATTGTGATATGCCAGCAGCGATCTGTGCATTCCAGGCTGCTTGTGAAGGTTGTTAATTGCGTCCATATCTTCATCCAACAGTTTAACAAGCTGCAGAAAGCTCGTGAAAATCACGTCGTTAAGGAGAGAATCAGCTAGGCGCGCACGGTAATATTTTGTTTCATCCGCTCCACGTTCTCGCTCTTAGGAACAACGACAGTTCCTCTCTGCACACCCCAGCTAACAACTACTTGTGCTGGTGTGGCGTTTTTCTTCTCCGCCACGCTCAGGATTGTCTCGTGTCGGAAGAAAATAGGCGGGGTGCCGTCAGTCATTGGGCGACCTCGCGGATTAAAGTCAACTTTGGACACGGGTAGATATAAAAAAGGGCACGTACCTAATGGAGAGTATGCCGTCAGCAGTATTCCTTTGCTTTCACAGAACGTCTTCAACTCGTGCTGAGGCAAGCACGGATGGAGCTCAACCTGATTCGTTGCGGGGACAAACTTGCAATGTGGGAGCAGCTCATTAAGCGTCTTGATGGAAAAGTTAGAGACACCGATGGATTTCACTTTTCCTGTGATTACGGGATCGTTTAGCAAGGACATACAGAATATCATAGAGCTGTAGCACCGGCCTCTAACAGTTTCTCCATTTCTTTGTAGGTGTCGATAAAAGTTGGGTGCTCATTGGGGGCCACTGCCTTGCCTGTAAGGCGGAAGTTGGGCCAGTCAACATCATGTTCAGCTACGGCTTGTGGCCAGTGCATCAGGTATAAGTCGATGTAGCCGCAGTTGAGGGCCGCCAAGGACTCTTCAAAGGACTCTCGCACTTTGTGATGGTGATGATTTCTTGTCGCGTTCACCGCGTTAGTATCAAGAGTCGCCGGTTAGACAGGGTTCACGTACGGGAGTTTGGTAGTTAAATATACCTCTTCACGAGGGATTCCTGATTCACGGATGGCTCGCCCGACCCACTCTTCATTCCCTATAAGATAGATGTCGTGAGGAATTATTACAGATATCACTCCACGCAGCTCGCACCATAGCCGAAAGCCTAGCACCGTAAGGAATACGTAAGGCGAATCATACAACGGCGTGGCAACGCATACCGTATCAAAGTGGCGATATCCGCACTAGAGATCATGAGGATACATGTGACACACTCTGGCACACCAAAGAGGTCGGAGGCGTAGATTACCTTCAATGCGTTCATACACATCTGGTATACTCTTTGGCCTCCTCCAATTTCCCCCATAAAGCACCTGAGAGTGCTCCCGTCAGTGAATAACAGAAGCATTTGCGTGACCGACGTACCCCATGCCGACGGATGGTATTTTAGTGCCGTCATTCAGCGTAAACAGCGGAATGTCAGCCGCCATTCTGTCAGCGCCTCCAGCGTCGCTGAAAAGAAGTCCTCGGCGTTGTCTCTCTCATGCTATCATTATATACGAGTAGCTACCCGCCGCGGGACGCTGACCCTTATTCCCGGAGTCCCGCATGGTCATGAGTCCACAGGCCCGGGATATCAGGTATAAATAGGACCTGATACATTGATAGGCCTCTGAATGGACCAGTCATAAACGCCTTCAAGTTCGTTAGCAAAAGTTCGGGATGTGATAGTACCAACGCATGAGCTCACCTCCCGTCCCCTTTGCTGATGTAGCGGGTCCCACGGCACTAACCCTCAGCGCCATTTCCTCTAGCGACTAACTTTGAATATCTTCAGCAAACTTCGGGTGCCGGACCGAGAAAATCTCAGATTGGATGAAAGACGGGGAGGAGAGTCACCACGCGCGAATTCCTACTACCAACATGAGAACGCGTAAAGACATCGTGGGGCCCATCGTTCCCCCTTGGCCGCAATCTCGAATATCTTCCCGACGCCATTAAAATGCAACCTCCCTATAAGATACTGCATAATATACACTGAACGTGAAGCATAGACTTGTACATCGCGTACGTGCTTGGGACTCGCTCACGATATGATTCCTCCCGGCTTCATATTATCCCAGCCCATGTCCGCGTACGTCCACCCGAAGACATTCCCCGGGTCGATATTGTGATACGCGAGGAGGGACTTGTGCATTCCAGGCTTCTTGTGAAGATTGTTGATAGCGTTCATATCTTCATCGGACAGCTTAACGAGCTATACGAAAGACATAAACTGCTTGTCAGCGCGGGAGAGGTTAACACGTACAGTAATATTCGCTTTCATCCGCTCCACGTTCTCGCTCTTCGGGACGACGATCGTCCCTCGCTGCACACCCCAGCTGACGACTATTTGGGCGGGAGTAGCGTTGTTCTTCTTGGCCACGCTAAGGATGGTCTCGTCTTGGAAGAAAATGGGTGGGCTGCCTTTAGCCAAAGGACGACCTTGGCATCGTGGAAATAAGGTAGGACTTCCAGAGAACTAGAAAGAAGAAACATACCCAATGGAGAGTACGCAGTAAGGAGTATCCCTTTACTCTCGCAGAACGCCTTCAACTCGTTCTGAGGCAAGCACGGATGAAGCTCAACTTGATTTGTCGCTGGGACAATGCTGACATGCGGGAGCAGCTCGCTGAGCGTCTTAATGGAGAAGTTAGAGACGCCGATAGATTTGACCTTGCCTGTATGATCATAAAGCGCTCGTTTAAGTAATTACGCAGTTGGGAATTTGTCGAGTCATCTCACCAGTCTCTAGTAGTTTTTCCATTTCCTTGTAGGTGTCAACCGGAGTTGGGTGCTCATCCGGGGGCACAGTCTTGCCTGAAGTAGTATTTAGCTTCACTTGCAATGCATCTGGAAGCATCGTTTTCACCATCTTCGCCTACGGCTTGTGGCCAGTGCATCAAGTACAAATCGACGTAACCGCAGTCAAGAGCCGCGAAGGATTCTTCGAAAGATTCTCGCACTTTGTGATGGTGGTGATTTCTGGAGCACCGCCTCCGTGTAAGCACGACGCAGCTTTACGAAAAGAAGCGGCATACGGCAGCTTGGTAGTCAAGTATATTTCTTCGCGAGGGACACCGGATTCACGGATTGCGCGCCCAACCCATTCCTCATTTCCTACAAGATAGCTTCGATCAGTATTCGTACGAGAACTTTCTTCGGAGGCCCGTACCATAGCCAAAAGCCTGGTATTACAATACATAAGAAATATAAACAATAAAACGATGCGTTTTCACGCACTGTATCGAAGTGGCGATATCCACACTAGAAATGATCAGTGCGTCGGAGGGTATATCAAAAGAGCCAGAACATCTGTACCTTCAACGCGTTGATGCACATTTGATATACTCTTTCTCCTCCTCCAGGCTCACCCATCCAGCAGCTGCCGTGCGGCGGTCAGTTAATCGCGAAGGCATTCGACGCCATTGACGTACCCCATACCAATTGACGGTATCTTGGTCCCATCATTCAACGTGAAGACAGGGATATCGGAAGCCATTGTGTCAAAACTGGGAGTATCACTGCAGAGCTCCTCTTATGTTATCAATATATATGAGCAAGAGCTGATGGACGCGGGACGCTGCGACTCAGGCCCGGAGTTCCGCAGGTCATGCGTCCAGTTGGTAGGCCCGGGACGTCAGGTCATAAATAGAGCCTGAGATTGCTGCACAAATACGACGCTTGTTTCAGTGGCGCGAATACAAGCGTGACGATATAGAAGCCGGCCGAGAGGTGGAAGCGGTCCGTTGGAGTCCGATATCCTCGAGGATAAGCGTGAGCTAGCAGGAACTAGCAGCATTCTGTATGTCAGTCTGTTCAAGGACTTATCGCCTCGAACTCACGCGTGCATATCGTGCTCGACGCGAAATAAGAACTTGGGATGCAAGAACTTGAAGCCTTGCAAACGAACCCGGGTAGGGCCGATTACAGTTTTCCACGCCATCCGGACGTCGAGGTCGGTGCCTGCCAGACGCTGCCGCTACCGCGTCCTTTCCTTCAAGTTCGACACTCTGGCTATCTGAGAGCGGCAGTCTGCTCTGATTCTCCGAGAACCATGGGATGGTTTAACTGGTCAAGCTCCGGAAAGTCGACTGAGGAGTCTAACCCCCCGCTGCGGCAAGACCGTCAAAAATGCTGGGAGACGAGGGACGCTTACTTCGATTGTCTTGACCGTGCTGGAGTCATAAAAGCGGGTGATGAAGGCAACAAATGCGCGGCTGAGAACGCTGCGTATCAGGAGAACTGTGCGAAGAGCTGGGTTCGTCGCAGTGCTCCTCCCGAATCGATCTGTGACTAGTACTAGAGCTACACCAATAGATTGATTATTTCAACAAGCGGAGGGTACTTGCAGAACAACAAAAGGGGCTCCTGACGACGGCGAATGTGCAAGCGCAAGATGCAAAGCGGAGATGACGATGTTCGCTACGTGCTATGTCAATCCAGACATTGCAGCAATCTATAACCGGAACCACTACATTTGTGTTCTATCGAGGGTTCATTCGAAATTACCCTTATGTCACATTTGTAGCGAGATATCCTTTTCATCGACTTCCGCGTTCTAACGGAAGTTGAACAATCGAGGTCCGTGTGTCGGTATGAGGCGCCTGGAATAAGAAACTGGTGACTAACACATTTGGCAATTCTCTTCACGTAGGAGGGACCAAATGCTCGCCTTGTTGGCAAGGACCCGTCATGACAGTTTCTGCTGCATGTGGTACAATTCCTTACCTCGTTCAGCTAAACGCTGCTTCTTTAGTTCTCTGTATAGTTGCATCTTGATCTATGATATCTGAAGGCGCTGTCGTTTCTCCTAGGTAACCTGCTGCATCAACAGTATCAGGCAAGTGGTAGAGATCCCGGTCGCTCGAGGACCGTGCTTGTATTCGGAACCTGACGCCACTGATGCGCGTGAATGCTTGAACTGTCAGACTATCGTGTTCGGGCTCGTCACTTTTGTCTTGCGGCGTGCTTGTCGACTCGCGTTATCCTGGTCAAACGGCTGCGGTTCCGGACCAAGAAACGTGCACACCTGTCTACTTGTGCTATTTTTTGCTCCGAACAATCTTTGATGGCTAGCTGAGGCTTCTCGTTTCAGCAAGAATCACTGGTGATGTCGGGTTGTGCGCTGCCTCTGCTCGCCATCTAAACCCACCGCCGGACGCGAGGCAGTATCAATACATACCCTGCGCGTGTCGGTAGCGACCAGGCATACTCTCCTCTTGTAGGGCCCGCACTCCCCTACGGGCACTATAAATAAGAAGCTGATAATCACGCGAGCCTTTATACATACGACATGGGAACCAAACTCGGACCGATGGCTGCTATAGGGGGCATCGAATGTGGCGGCATTGGCTGTTTGGCACAGCCGTCATACTGTGCATCTGATACTTCGCCACCATTCACACTTGCAGACCCCATGTGGTTATGGGTGTGTACATGATGATTAAGCCCCAACCAATCATTGATACTCCTTGGCAGAGAGCTTATAAGAGCGAGCCAGGTATGACGCTCCCAGCGCGCACCCAAAGACAGTGTTTCCTTGTCTTTGCCTTTGGCATACCTGGCTTCGGGAGCAATGACTGATTACTCGACGGTGAAGAGGCTCTCGATGAGCTTTCGTGCTCTCGCGGATCGCCTGATTTCCCGCTCGAGGCCTTCATCCCCATGGCCCTCTTCCACCATTTCACCGGCGGCTGAACCGGTACGCCACCATCATAGGCGACAGTCTATGGGTGCCGTACCATCGCGATTCATTGAACGCACCTTATCCACGAGGAGCGAGCGCCGGCCTTCTGAGCCTACTCGCCGACATAGCATGATGGGACCTGAGCGGAGGAGTAGCGGATTATGGGTCGACCGAAGGCTGTCCCATTGGAAGACACCCCTCAGAGATGAGAAATGGCACAGAAGGAGAACGTTGTGTCCTGAAACGCCAGAGGCATATTTCTCTAGAGTTCCGTGAGTTTTCACGCGTTATATATAAATGTGTGCGCGTCGTGATGAGAGTCGGTTTGAAGTGGAAGCCACGATAAATCGAACTCACCAACAAGTTCCGTGGAGCTCGAGCCCCTCTCGTTCTCCCCAGTCCCCTTTGTAATCACCTTGTCCGATGCAATCTCAAGCGAGTCATGGCTATCCCTCTCGGACCACTCGCCAATGGACAGCTGCCCCGATCCTTTGCCAGCACCGAAACCCATCAGGCCGACGTCCGTACCCATTTTATCACCATCATGTTGGTTGTCATTTCCGCCAGACATGGAAGAACATGAAAGCGAAGACGAAGCAGAGGACGCCGAGGACTGGTTATCAGAGGAATTCATCCCTGCGGAGTCTTCCGCCCCCCACATATTAACAGAAGACGCGGGGGACACCCTCGACTGGAGGGAATTCCACGACAAATGGCTTGAGAAGAGCACATCATACCCGACAACGCCTTGCGAGCTATGATCTGTCTCCTTATACGGTACCTCATACTTTACTATCCATCTAGGACTCGGACAATACCCAACCCAGTGCAGACCGGTTAGACGGACTGCATCATCTGAGTTACTCACAGAAATGGTCGTTAATAGGTCCCTGTTAAGTTATGCCCGCTTGTACGACTACTTACATGTTGGCTGATTGTATAAATTACCTTGTGTATTTTACCTTTCCTCATGAGTCACGGTATCTTTTCCTTCTGTAGGACTCATTTCTACCTCAAATTACATTGAGGTGTGGATTATACAAGCAGAAGCCTGTCGAAGGACCCGAGCGAAGGGAGGAAGTAATCGATTCAAGAGTTCACCGAAAAGGATGTGGGGTAACATGCGCAAAGAGACGTTTTTTAACCTGGGACGTGTCTCTGCAGAAACTCCAGTTGAGCTTGTAGCGATGTCTTATGGTGTACTTGACCGGGATATGCCTCAAAATGATCTACGCCACGCATGGATTGAGATAAAAGGATATGCCTCGATCATATGCCGACTTACCACCTGATATACGGACAACCTCGGCATGTTTCGTTAATTTGGCGATGTCCTCAACACCACTGAAAGGACAAAGGTTGTCGCACTCCAGCCCTATGAGCAGAAGAGGGCAGCTCAGAGATGCCGCCGAAGCAGTAGGGTTGTAGAACGGCAGCTCGAAAATACTGGACGCAGACATCTATGCAAATTTGGTCAGCAACGATTCTGATACATACAAGGAGCAGTGACTCGCTTCGTTTGGGTAATCACTAAACAATTCTGAGTGAAAAAGGTGGATGAAGATGCGGATCATGCAATCACCTAGGTGTTGGTACTATGGCTAGCATCCCCTCGACACTTCCGGGAGCCGTCATTACTCCCACGTTCCCCGGAATAGCTACAGCGGGGATGTAGACGGGCCGCCCATCGAATGCTTGATTAACCACGTCCCATATTGCGAGACCCACGGTCTTGATCACTGTCGTCGAAAAAGGCATCGGCAACGATTTGCCGGTGAACGGACATTGAGCAATGGCAGCCCGGATATTAAGGTGAGCCTGGTATTTAAGTGGAAGTCGAATGGGGACAGATAAGCAGATAGAGAGGAATCGGTGATCCTACCTCGCTTGCGAGTGTAATGCAATGTCCCCCTTTGATCCTATGAGCTCGTGTCTGAGATTATGAGTATCATCCACATACCAGAGAAACTAGTGCCCCATACTAGGAGACGGTTCGGATCGAACTCAGGCTTCTGTCTACAATACTTGATGACGGTTCGGTAGTCCTCGAGCTGCTCCGAGACGAAAAGGCAATGTCTTGGGGTTCCGTCTATATCAGTGTATCACATATGATTTCTCCTTGCAGTCGTAAAAGCATATCCAGAAGCAAACCTACCTGAAGCACCCCAGCGTCGGTAATCGAATAGGACGCATGCGTATCCGCGCTCGGTGAACGACTCCGCGTATGCTCTGAGACTCATCAACTTATTTGCACTCAAGCCATGAGCCCTGGGGTGAAGGATCAGGCAATACTGTCCAGTGCTACGCTGATGGATGTAAGACAGATAACTCACATTACGATGACCGGATATGGGCTTCGTCTCCGAGGAGGGGTATACTGCCAGGCATCTAGATTCCAACCCATTGTTGCAGATGGAATTTTCATGGCTTCTAGAACAAAACGGGCTTCATCTTCAACGATGCCTGACATGAAATTGTCCGAGGCCCAAACGATTCTGCTGTTGAGGTGGACAGGAGGAACGTTCAACTGGCATCACGAGTCGAGTGTGAGCCGGGAATTCGAGTCTTGGGCCGCAATGGGCGCTAGAGTCACCCGCTATAATTAGAACCTGGTCACTGGGAAGTGCTGACTTCACGTCGGCATCTGCCCCTGCTGCTCTTATATTTGTCTCGGCTTTGTGTGGTTTATCGACGCTAAGTGCGCATGCTGCAGCAATGCTGCCCTGCAGAGCAGGGGCACTCCACCGAGGATCAACACTTATCAGAGCAATACCTTACTACTAGTATTAGCAAGTTAGCAAGCAGGGCTCAGGCTAGTAGTAGCACAACACAGCGCGACCGAAGGGAATGTAGCATCGATATCATGCTCATCTCCCAGAAATCAAAGTAAGACAGTTCAGTGTTGCCGCGGCCGATCAATATTTGACGGTTGACGACGAAATTCCAGAGACTCGCCCATATTTTGGGCTGGAGCCTCGGTGAAATAGAAGGTCTCTCAGAGCACAAACACGGTTACAGTTCAGTCCGGCTGCGCCTACTAGCGTGGAGCTGCTGGCCGAGTTTTGTGCCTTCGCTCAGTTGGCTGACACAATGGGGCTTAAGGCTGCGTTCGGATGCATGGCCGCGTCGCGGCCAACGACGCCAAAACAGTCTTTCAGCCAATCGCCTCTCACTAAAAGCACTGCCACGCGGCCGAGCTGGCTGTGGCGCCTTGAGAGCGCCGCGACGCGGCCGTGCAACCGAACGCAGCCTAACTTTCTCGAGACTCGAGACACTGGCACGCGTTACTCTACCGATGAACTGAACACATCGACCCGGGCATTGCAGGGACAATGGCTCTCCTGATAGGGAAAGAAGAAGGGAAGTCAGGATACCTGGAATTCATGTAAGGTTCCTCCATTCTCAAGATGGGGGCTTCTACTCATGACGTGAGTCAACAAGCAGTCGGGTCCGACTGGCTATGAGAAAGAGAATCATGACTCACTGATCATACCTATTTCCCAACAGCACGCGGCGTGATATTCACACAAGGGACTTACAGGGAAGCAGCCCTACCCGCCTCAATTAGCTCCGCAATCAAATGCTAATAAAGTCTTTGGGGAAGTAGTGAGACTGAGGCGTAAGTAGGGGATATACAATCAAGCGCAGGTCGAAGTGGAGGACCCAGAGGATGGCGCGAGACTGGAGAAGCGCTCATCTTCCTAGAATTCGACGTACGAAAGCAAGAAACCGAAATCCTAACGGGTTAATATTGTAAGTGAAACGTGTCGAAATGAAGCGTAAAATGCGAGTAGACCATGACAATGGCGGACTGCGGTATGCTCGCCATTGCAGGATGAATTCTTGGGGTAATGATTTCCATAAGTCCTCCAAAGATGGCATTTTGCCTAAGACCTCTTCAGGAACTTCAGCAGAGAGCTCTACTTCCGACATATTAGAGATCGTCTCGTCAATAAAATGATAGGCTTCGGCAGCAGTGAAGCGACGCGATATGTCGTCCGTGGTCATGTGATCCAAAAGAGGTACAAGGATGGGGACGACGGGAACGCAATGCTGTGAATACACATAGCATTAGATGGAGACCTCTGGCGAAATAAGTTCACCCACCCAAAATCGAGCTTTTAGCGTGTTTCCCATGCAGCCGACATCGAAACCGAATGGATTATATATTGGTTCGCCCTGAGCGAAGTCATTTGGATGAAGCCACGGTTTTCCAAGGTCATATGCCTCCGAAGAGGGCACGAAGCGTTGCCGTAGAGGACTATCGCGAGGGTACAGCCGGGATAAGTCATAGTCGAATAGACAATAGTGAACGTCAGGTGAGGCTCGGTGCCGCCTCTTTCGCGTGGCAGTACTCGATGTCCATTCGGCATTCAATGGGTAGTCTAGCAAAAAGTTGTCGTCGGAGATGTCCTGCAGTACCATCAATACTGCGGGGGAACCATACAGAAGCTAACTCACACGATGAGCAATACGATGTTGGTGAAGGGACGTTAGGCCCTTCTCCCTCCCAATCGCGTCAGAAATTTTTCCGGGGGCAAATACGACTTACTTGGAGGAGAGATCGTATGCAATACATAACTTCCGCGGCAGTCTTGACTTCCGGGCTGAATGGCTGATCGTTCCACCTGTAAAAGCGGTCAAAGATGGTTCCCAGTATCAGCATGATGCATACCGGGGGAAAACGACGTAGGCAAATCCATCAGGACTGTCAAGAATATCCACGGGAGGTAGGACTCCGGGGAAAGTTGCAGGGTCATGTAGTTCAGGAATCCGCCAGAGATATTTGTATATTGCATACTCCTCAGTACCCCTATCTGTCAATTTGACAATAATTTCCCGTTGTTGTGAGTCCTGACCACTGCAGATCAATGTTGTCTAACAGACTCAGTGAGTTACCGAACCTTGAAATAAACCTGCTTTGACCAGACCAACCGTAATTATCATCTCCATCCGTGACGAATCGGGCAACACTTTCGTTGGCCAGTGGTGATCTACATACGGTAGGGATGCAGAACTGTACACTCCTGAAGGCAGCCATGCTTCAGGATTAGAAGTCGGCATTTCTAACTGGTAAAGCTTGTATCCACGAGAAACGAGCCACGGGCGGGAATGTTCCCAGAATGCAGAGTAATTCCAGTTAGGCTCGTAACCCAGTCTGATCTGCAAAACTGACTTCGCCCCGAGCTACTGTTTGGTGAGCTGAGCCCCGCCGTCGAGCTAGAAGGAACTGACCGAAGGGCAAGTCTCTTGTGCGGCTGGGGGTGACATTTCGGACACTGCCGGGGAGATAGCGTTGCAGTTGATTTTCTATCCTCTTACCGCAGAACAATACGCCACAACGCTGGTGGAGAACTTCAACTTGAGCCAGCGCAAGTCGAACTGATCACGTGATAAGGATCTTGACGGGTAATGGTATAACCGCCCTACCTCACCTAGAATACTGTCTTGTAATGCCCGCCTGGTGAGTCTTGAGAGACTTCAGAATGTCGGTCCCTGACCTTATAGAATTACTACAACGGGAGATCTTTGGCATCGCCCGTTTGGGTGTATTGAGGCTGAGAAGGACTTGCCGATGCTAACTCCTAGCCTTCCACGCTCCTTAAGGATTAACCCAAATTACGTTGATGCTTACAGGTCGCCTTATATTTTCCCTGGCATGTCTAACTGGATCCGATCATGCTATAAGGTTTGGAAGATTTCCGTTCCCGAGAAGTACCATCAGGTCCGGAATCGACCTGGAGCCTGAGGAGTCATTCTAGTACTTAGTGAGTGTAAAATCTACGAGAACGTGGGGCGTGCAACTCGATCGTGTGGGTATAGATGAGACCAGACTACATTCCCGCATCCATAGTGGCTTGCTCGACGGGCCAAAAATACACTGTAAGACCCAGTCGGGTATGCTATCTGCATGCGCGCCAGTGAGACCTAGTTTCCAATGTCATCTTTCGATATTATTGTCCACCTTCGGTATCGCTGATTAAATCGAGCGGCGACCAGCTGAGTATCTTGACAGGTAACCTTAATTCTCCCATGGATATAAGGCCACCCACCGGATTCCAAGTTTCTTCAGGTGTCTCGCGATACTAAGTACCTGGTCCCACCTCAGCCCACAATGTCGACACAAACCTACAACTTACCTACGGTCATCTCCCAACAGCCCATACCGTTAAACGATGCACCTCCCAGCAAAGCGTCACTAGTGAGGTTTTCATCTTGTCGCAGGTCGGACTTGATTTGATTCGATAATTCTTCAGCCTGATACTTGGGTTCGCGTGAAATACAACATCCCGAACTTGCCAACGGCCGGTTCAGTTGTCAAAGTCATCAAATGTGTTCCGGTCCCGGACGATGGGGTGAGGCCTATTCAGTATGCAATTTTATTGGGTATCCGTGTCATTGGAATATCACGCAGGACTATGCCAACAAGAGCACCATAGACGACAGCCTCTACTTCATCGGATGGAAAGTGCTGGTGCTGCGTCACGAACCTGTCGTAGCGGGAAAACCTCCCAATACGCCCATTCCGCATGACTGCCTAACGACTGACAGTAGGAGGGGAAGGCCATCAGAGACACCACTTCCGGGAGATTCCATTGTAAGTTCAGTTGGAATCATGGTCTAATAAATGGCTACGTACTTGACCGACTTTAATATGTCAGGTTTTCACTCGGAGCGATACTGTGTGTGTTAGCATCAACGGGTATAATAAGCATATCCCTCGAGGCACACCATGTAGGGTCCTTCGCGGGCCCATTTCAAAGGTATATGTTGATATCAACGTGCCCTTGCTGGTTTACTTGACACGCAGCTCGAAATACAGAGTGGTACCAACGTCGGCGCAAGACCGGCCCAGGGGGCGCACTATACCCTTGCTTTTTGGGTGGAAAAACAGGATAGGGTGGAGATACAGCACCTTGGACACGCGGTTTCGGCAAATCTCTTCGAGACAATCCCTTGTGCTGAGCCTCCCAACCCTGTGCCAGACACGAAGCGACAGCACTGGCCCAACGAGGAAGATATCATCTTTGTACCGCCGCCAGCGAAGAACTTCACATAGGGTCGTGAACGAGTCAACGGCCTTGTATTCTCAAACATCCACTGTAACTGTTCTGGGTGTGAAATGTAAACGTACAGTACGTCTATAGTATGCTCCTCAACGGTGATAACTTTCTCTTGACTGCCACGACAATATGCTACGCGATCTCGGTCGTGATAGCAAGGGGTGTACATGGCAACTGCGGGTTGAGGAGGATGTTAACGATTCGCCGAACATGAGGGTCTCACTACAACATAAGCTCGGATTGGACGACGCGCACAAGGTTCTGAAAGCAGTCGTCCGTACTGGCATGGGAACCTAACTGGATCACAGGATCATGCGCAGAGTGAGCAGTTCGGAGCGCAGGTTCCGTGACCAAACCTAGCTTCGCTAACTCTGCCATCACGCAGCAACAGGATCTGGGACACATAAACACAAGACTAGCGCGAAACGGATCGTACGATGTATTCCGTATCTAGGTTAGATGAGGGGTATCAGATGCTATAGAGTGTGTCAGTACGTCTACTTCGTGACGAGGGACATATGATCTCACCCTACAAGTTTCATTAGTAAAAAGCCAATGGTGGCTACAACCTGTTCCCGATCGTTATGTCAGATGCAGCAGAGATTAGGAATCAATTCAACACATACTAGAGCCGCGATGATGCTAGCGGGGACTCCATTCTTCAAGAAATCGATATTAGACAGATAGAGTTGCCCGACCTCGTCCTCCTGGGTCGCTCTGGATGCACGCTCATCAGTATTTCGCAGATGCCCAGGTTTTCCTAACAACGTACGCAGTCTGATTCGGAAATCCTGAAACGGGCATGCCCATTCCCGTCGAACATATTAGGCCAGTGATGAAGACTAGTAAATTCGATTGGTCCCCTGGGAGATGTGACCCGACCTCTTTGGCAATAGGGCATAATAAGACGCTTGCAATCGTGTGACTAATGAATGTCGACACGACCTGAGGAGGTGACGTAAGATCCCGGGTAAAGCAGACATGGAAGGACGCACAAGAACAACGATTGAAAGGACAATCACTACGCTATATAGCGAAAGACCTTCAACTAGTTTCCGGATAACATCGTCCATATTCTCCAGTAGACCGCTCGAGGTAACGCCTTTGCCTAGAGCTATACCGCCCATGGCCAAGAATACGACCGTCCACAGAAACTGTTCAAAATCATCCTGGATGGAGGAGACGGCAACGATCAGTCACAAAGGACTCTTGTGAGCATCGCAAGGAACTCGCCTTCTTGAGTACTCCAGTCGCAAAAAAGGCTACGATCGGGATGATAGCAACGATCCCCATATCCCCAACAAGCCACTCCAATTCGTGCTCAATACACCACAAACCGATAGTCACCAAACAGACGAATACGACCCAGTACTGCTTGACAGTGAAACTATCCTTCGCAGCCTTTATGGGTTTGATCTCTATGTCGCCTTCTCCATCCGGTGAGCGCGCCGGTCTGTAGCTCACAATGAGGAGCAACCAGATCAGCAGGATAGATATTGCCGAGACTGGAATGGCTACTGCGAACCAGCGCGCCCAATCTAGTTTGGGATCCATGTTGTCGAGAGCGATAAGGTTCTGCGGTGAGGAGATGGGTGAACTCTGGCCCCCGATATTGGCCGCTAATGCAATAGCGAGCTGCAGGAATAATATGAAGTGACGGACGATAGTCGATGAAGGGACTGACATACGATTAGACAGGGCGCAAAGGTCGACCTCGGAGGTAAAGTTCTGAGTATGGGCTGCATGACCGTTAGCGCATGGAGAGTATTGGCTATATCCTACTGACCCGTATAAGAGTGAAACACAGCGTAGGCGCCGCAACATTACTACGATCATATGACCCTCAGTCGAGTCCATTAAACCTCCAGATTAATAGCCTACCTGATCCACATACTAGCGAAGCAAGAAACTCCCATGAAGGCCAACAGGACGATGTTGGGTTTCGTGCCAGCAAGACTCAGGACACGAGTAATCAGCAAGCGATCAATACTCGTCTTGCTGATGGCAGACGCAATGGTGAAGCCCCCGATGAGAAGCATTATCGTCGGTGAGAACATCACCGAGAAGATGTATCTACGCTGGGTTGAGTATAACACACTCTCGACGCAATGATATTACCTACTTTGTTGCTTCGGGAACTGGGAGCATGTCTCCGTCTGGGGACCGAATAACTCGCAGACAAGCCATGAGCAGAGGTACCAAGATGGACGTCACAAAAAGCGGGATGGCCTGGATTCACCGTAAGTCGGGTCTAAGTTCAGGGGAGGCACACATACCTCAGTAGCCCACATGATTGTGGCAAATATCAGGATCGCGAAGCAACGGTTAGCCGGGACTCCCTCTACAGTCCGCACGTCCAGAAGGGTGATGAACACAGCTACAGCAATGAGCAACGAAAGTATCTTCTTCGTGATCTTGATCCGGCCAACAGGAGTGGGCAAAGAGAGCAATCCCTTCTCTGGCTCATGCTCCAGAACTGGAGCTCCTGGGAACTCGTCCCCGCTGTCAATCCCTCCTCTGCCCCTCCGTGCGCGGCCTATCATTTGCTTCCAGACCGTATCACGTTCCCAGGCAACGTGCTCTCTTTGGTAGAGCCTGAGTTGCCGCTGCGCTGCGCGCAGGTCGCCTTGCGTGACGCATTTTGCATATAAGTTGACAAGTCGCGTTATGGCGTCGTTGAGCGTGTCCTTCGATTGTTGTGTGAACGGTGGGGTCTGTTCCACAACTTCGCGGAGGTACTGATCTTTCAGCTATGTCCCTCCGTAAGTATTATAGGACCTGAGGAACGGATTTCAATACACAAACCTCGCTTTCCGTGACCTTGTCGTACCTATCAGCGCTATCGTAAATATGCGGAGAGAATGACATAGCCCGTAGCGACGCACTTCTTCAAGATCTTCCGAAACCCCGAATAGTTGACCTCAACGTACGACTTTAGGGACGTAACAGACACATAGAGCGTCGTTATTCGTCGCTTAAACAGGAGCCGTACATCCATAGCATAATTACTCCTGGACGTCCATACGGACTCGGGGAAGCCTGTGGTCGAGGTTATGCTGTCTTTCAACTTTGTCACGAGTCTCCGTGCACGGCCGACAGGGGACATGGACGCTCCGTCCTCTCTTGAAGAATGTCCATGGGCATTCTGACGCAGAGACGCTATACTAGCCTCAAGATCTGCAAAGTCATCGCTGGACGTCGTGCTATAGCGACGGTGGCGCTCCGTCTTCCGATGGCCGCCTGACGTTCAGGGTGGATACGCGTAGAGCATCGCTGCGGAAGCATGTACTTACCTCTCGAGCTTGTCCCGACACTGGGCTGACGTCCGATGCCGGGGGGAGACTGTGCTCGCGTTCGGCTCCGTACGGGGCTCTCATCGTCGTCGTCGTCGTCGTCATCCTCATCGTCTTCGTCAATATCGTGCATGTAATGCTCGTCCGCAACGGGTTCCGATTCATCCTGCTCTCTGACGAGTTCCTCCAAGCCAGCGAGTTCCTTCAGCACTTCTGCCTCCTTCGCCTCGTAAAATAGCATGATCTTCTTCAACTCATGGTCGAGGAGAGGTATAAAGAGCGCATCTGTCGCCGAACTGTCTGCGCGATCAATGAGCGAAGTCCGCTCATTCGATTCTAAGTCGGTATATGGGTGATCCACTCCCGTCTGCTGCTTCTCCAACTGGTATATAGCCTTCTTCAGGGAATCATAGCTGGAACGCCGGGATAAGCCAAAGATACATCCACAAGCTGCCCGACTCACGCAATGTACTCGTCCCACCACTCCGCAACGGCGTTAAACTTGAGCGAAGAACTGTAAAGAGTCTCTTACATCGGCCATTTCCATCACGAAATCGACTGAAATACCTGAATTTCATAGCAAACGCCGCAACGTCGAACGCCGCCTCCTCTTCAGATGGATTCACTAATTGTAAAGGGATATACTCCGTCTCCCTGCGGCTTGCCGCTGGCCCGGATCTTGATACCCAAGCAGGTAGAATGGTGGAAGCAGTAGAATTACCCAAGTCTATCTTAGGGATCCACGACAATGGGCACGGACTAGTATGAGCTACGCGTGGAAATTATTTGCTTACTGTGAGAATTATCCCCCTCACATAATCCGCTGCAGTCCCTCGTTACTTGAAACGATGTACACGACGCCCAGATGCACGTCGGACGTGTTGCAAAAGACCGGCAGCAATGAATTCCAGCCCATCCCCTGGCCCTGCGACGACTCCCGTTCATTTACACCCCCTTTCGCCTGACGAAGGCGCGTCTCGCAGCGGTCGCAGAACACGAGGCAGCCAGCACTCGGGGCACGCCAGAGCGGCCACAAGCTACTTCGCAGAGAGAGCGAGCCAGGAGAAAGGTGCGCTCCGAACTGGGACCTCTGGCGCGAACTGGGACGGCAGTGTACGGGGCTACGGTAAGGCGGAGATAGGGAAAGACGACGGACGCGAACCGACGGTGCTGTGGGATAGACCGGCACCTCTTTTCATAGTTGGGTCCTCAAAAGACTCCCCTGCGTCACTACCACTTACCCCTCGCAGGAGAGCAGAGTCGTTGGTTCCGTCGGAGCTGGGCCCCGTCGCGACCTCGCATGTCCTATCTACACAATGGCATGAATACTCAGATGAAGCTATACAGTCGGCTGTGTCCAGTCTGAAGGCCGCCCAGCCGTCTGCTGACGGTGGCAATAATATGTATCACCCAGTAATCCGGGTCCTCTCGTCCGCGGTTCATAACCTCACCAAGGCAAGAATAGAACTAGAAGAGAGTCGCAATAAACTCCGAGAGAAGGAGGAAATACGTCGCAACAAAGCAGAGGACCTCCTGAAGAAGCTTGAGCCCTCAGAGCAGGACATTGCAAGGCGCGTCCTGGAGACTTTGTTCTCGGACGAAGCGAAAGAAGAAGGCAAGGACAAGAGTATCCCCAATAAACACAGTTACATAGTATGTTTGGCTTCTCCACGACTTGCCCGCAGCTGACGGCGGATATAGTCCCTGAAAGACTCCTTGTCGGAGGCTATCTCGGATGAAGTTGGCCGCCCTTCGAGCATGCCACAATCCATCACCGTCCCTACAATGTCCACTGTGGACGAGGATGCTGCCACCATCGCTACCTCCGTAACCACGGACTACGGTGCTGTCATCGAGACGCACTACGCCGAGAGCACCCTCAGCGAAGCCCAGCACCTGGCCGACCATACATCGGACGCTACCCCGGATGAAGCTACCGACGTCGCATCGACCAAGTCCGAGAAGGCTGGGATCGGCGAATGGATGGGCACATGGTGGGTCAAGGGCAAGACCCGGAGTCGCAGTCCGGGGGTGTCATCTCTGGACGAACAGCGCAGTAGCCAGGACAAGGAAACCCAGGCTGAACAACCAGAGAGCGCGGTGTCTTCCCCTGCGTCTGAGCAGCCTCCTCACAAGTCAAACAGGCGGAAAGCTGCAAGGAGCGTGTTTGGCACTCTTGGATTTTCCATTCTCAACCCTGCCTCTGCGTCTAACAGAAAGCTGCGACGTAACTTATCTGTAACGGATGTGAACACGTTCGCCGAGCCAGGCTCGTCAGATGACCGGGTATCGATATCCGTCTCAACTTCAAGCACACCTCTGCCGACGCCGTCGACGCTGCCGGCGATACCGTCCGGTGGCGACGTCTTCAAATCAGGTCCCGCTAGCTCGGCCTCATCCGCTCAAGTGCAGCAGGATTCACTCGTGCAGGGATCATCTTTACGAGCAATCGTTCACGCGACTCGCGTGATGACCTCTGATCCGGGCAGCATCTTGGTCGACCATGGGCGCGAGACTGGCCCGCTCATATCAGAGCTGGCCATGGAGCTAGTGCGTAACGCCCGGGAACAAGGCTTGATATTCCGAGAGAAGCCTAAGGAGAAGAAAGAGAAGAAGAAGTTGGACGGCGAAGCCCTTCCTCAGCCCCAGCCGACTCTTTCTAAGCCTGGAATTGACCCTGCAGAGGTTCTGAGCCGTGTCGCGGTCAGCAAAGGAGACGCTGCGATTTCTAGACATAGAGCGCGGAAACCTTCTATTGGTATCCCATCCGCCCTGTCTTCCCCTATTTTCGGTACGTTCTTCTCGCAGCAACAGAAGAGGCTCTCGACCATGGTCGATGCGATACAGAAGAGTGCCGGCGTCGTGACCGAAACATCAACCGCAGCACAACAAGCGTCTGTTGGAGGTGCTCCTGCCAGTGGCAGCAAGCCTGGGTCTGTGCCACTTGATGCTATCATTCCCGTGAATGCCAAACCGCCCACACAGTACCTATCACGAACGTATACATCGCTTGCGTCACGCGATTTCCGCCCGTCTATTCCTCTGCCAAACGCCGCGCAAAGGTTCTCTGTGTATCACGACGAAGAAAATCAGGAACCACTGACAGATCGGTATGGCTTCATGTACGACGTGTCGCAGTACGACTTTTTGCTTCTTCTTCGTGCCAAGGAGTGTGGCAATACGGCTCCCGCTTGTCTCACTGGCATAAAAATCGCAGATCGATTTGAGGACGGCAACTGGTCTGACGAAGATGAAGACGCTCCTAAGGACCATATTGAAGTTGTGAGGGAACGGTGTGATTGCAGCGGCGGTGATTTGATGGACTGGACCAGTACGGTTAGCACGCGTTCAACCATATTTACTTCAGGGGATGACTCTAGGTCCACACATTCTCGCAAGTCGCGCGCGACGTCTCCGGCATCTTCGAAAGGCCGCCCGCGGTCGTCCACTCTGACCCCTAACCCTGTCTCCACCGTGCAGACCCTCCGATCGGTTACCTCTATTCTGTCCATTGAAGATGGTACACCACGGCACGTCTGCGCGAATACCATCCGGAGACTGCTGGCACAGTTGACAGAGATCCATGATCAGCACCAGACAGCGCGTCGGAAAGAGTGGGACGCCTTTGTCAATAAACGACGCAAAGCAAGGGCTTCGAAGGGTACTACCACATCCGTTGCTTCGACTTCTGCTGGAGCAGCGGCCGTCTTAGGTCTCGGGAGCTCTGTGGAAGAAGAGGAGCTATCACATTCCGAAGGTTTGATTGGTTTTGCGCAGCTGGGATTATCGTCGAGTCGCGACGAGAGGAGGGAATTCGATCGTCTTGTTCGCTCCGGTATTCCTCTCGTATACCGATCGAAGGTGTGGTTTGAATGCAGCGGAGCATTGGAAATGATGGAACCTGGGCTTTTCCGGGATTTATTGTCCGAACCCGATGGAGGCAGCGGGGTATCCATAGAGATCGAAAAAGACGTTGGACGCACTATGCCGCTCAATATTTTCTTCGGCGGTGATGGCACTGGTGTCGACAAATTACGAAGGGTATTAACGGCCTATAGTCGGTGAGTCGCCGTTGTAATCAGAGTACCCTCCGTTATCCTACCTGCTTACCTGCGCGATCAAGACGTAACCCAGCTGTCGGCTACTGCCAAGGAATGAACCTCATTACATCGACCCTTTTGCTAGTCCATGCCGATGAAGAGGAAGCGTTCTGGGTCCTCGCGGCCATCGTCGAGCGTATCCTTCCGGAGGAATTTTTCTCGCCATCGCTGCTACCTTCTCGGGCATGTCCGTTGGTGCTAATGGATTACGTGCAAGAATTCATGCCGAAACTACATGCTCACTTGAACCAACTCGGTGTAGACTTACCGGCCATATGTTTCTCATGGTTCCTTTCCCTCTTCACGGACTGCTTACCAGTTGAGGTACGCGGGAAATTAGTGGGGTGCTTTACGGTACTGAACTTAACTCGCAGACCCTCTTCCGCGTCTGGGACGTATTTCTCGTGGATGGTATAGACGTTTTGTTCCGCATTGCGTTGGCAATTCTTCGCAGCAGTGAGCAAGAACTATTGCGTTGCGAGTCTATACCTGCTGTGTATGTCTCGCTTGAAAGTCTCCCCACGCGGATGTGGCAGGCAGACAAATTACTGCAGGTAAGGTGGAGTTAATTGCTCTGAATCCTGCTCGCTGACGTTGTGATTGAAGCATGAGGCTGAGCTTCGCCCGTCTCTTACGCGCTCGGATATACGGAAGCGTCACGATACCCATGTGGCAGCTCTCAAGCAATGCCTTACATAGATCTTCCGCATGTTGCCCATGTACTCTAAACTTTGTGGTCGTATTCTACCATCACGCTGCATCCAAATGTATGTCTAGTGTTTCCCAGAGACCCGACACCGGGGAGCTTACTCTTCACGCTGCTTCAGCGATGACCTCTTCCTGCGAAATGGAGACTGCGTGTACCGTTGCCGAGCAGGACCAGGTCGACTTCAGGAAATCGAGCACAGCAATGCGGGCTTGCACTCGGGGTCCTGGCACCGCGTGATGGAAGAGAGTGACATCCACCTCTAAATATCGAGTTCCTCCTGTGCTAATGCTTGTTGACTTCTATGAGCTCTCTAAGTACACTTATATTAGGTCAGAGAGTATGGAGAGAGCCTATATACATAGTCTGGTACAGTATATGTGTAATTAGCACCCTTCTCTGTATGAATTATGCAATACTATATATTACCAAGGTCTGCCTATGGTATAAGTACTAGTGACAACTCTGCTTCGTTGTTGAAGATCTAGAAATACCATGTAGTCCGGTCATAGCTTGTATACACTCGGCATGGAATTGTAGGAGTGGTGGTGTTTCAGGATTGATGTGACTCTCTAACACGCATCCCGAGTCGGAAGGTAACAAGGTACATTGGTGAAGTACCCTGTGCCTCAAAGGCTCCAACAAGAATTCCAGTGGAGGAAAGTGCTATTTGAAGCAATGTATTGCACTTTATAGTAGGTTGGATAGCTAACGACAGTGGACTATATGTTGGTATCAGAAACTGGCCAGTGAATTAAGTACATGTCCTAGGCTACTACTAAATCTGAGTGTGACCAGTCTCATCTCCTGGCAACTTGTATCATTATCATCAATGTAGAGAAACATTGAACATGTCACCATTGAAGCTGCTACTTAGTTGAAGCTTCAATACGGCTTGAATGAACAATGCTCTACCGTGCCGAGC